CACCTTATCGAAAGCGGACACGAAAAGAAGAAAACCATAGGACGATAAGAGCTGAAAGCAGCCGCAGGATTATCAAGGGACGGTTATAGGGAGTAACTAATAGTTTAGGGGTTAAATTCCTAGGTTTATAATCTATAGATAAATAAAGAATACGAGTTTTTTAATTAAAGGTAAGATTCTTGAATTCTTAATAATTCTATAGATAAAGGAGGTCTTTTATACTAGCTTAAATTATGTGGTTGTAGACAAAGAGCCTTTGTTCTAATAAAGAGCTTCTAGGCAACTACAATGAGGAATGGAGGGTTCCCTGTGTGGCAATATGCATGTGTGTACGACATTATGGCACATACGTACCTAAGAAAAAGTGGAAAGGCAACGATTTCTAAAAGCTTCACGTCGTCGTATCGCAAGGCAAGTTGAATTATACTGCTAAATATTACCCAGAGAGAGCGTGTATTTGCGCAAGGCGGCATTTGCGCCATTACCTCTAGCACAAAACCAGTCGTACCGAGACTAAACACTAGACCGCACACACATCACCGTCCTTCAGAACCGCTTGAGCGAGAGTGGGGGGCAGGACCAGTGTTATGGTGGGGGTTGGGTAGCATACACAGTGAAGTACTCTCAATCGACAATTGCTACCAAACGTGGCTTATCCCACTGTTGTCCCAGCCTCTGCACCTCTCAACCACGGGAGCGGGGCGGCGATGGGTTATATAACTACGGTGTTCCCATCTAGCAGAAAGAGTCAATACCACATACAATCAATTACTTCACAATGGGCTCAGTTGATACTGTTGGACCTTTGTTTCAGCCCCTACGCTTGGGTGCTGTCTCCCTAAGCCATCGAGTGATCCAGGCTCCATGCACCCGCATGCGATCGACGAAGGAGTCCGATGGCGTGTTCGTTCCCAATGAACTTAATGTGGAATACTATGCACAGCGAGCCTCGCCTGGAGGTCTCATGCTGACCGAGGCAACTCCGATTAGTCGACTGGTATGTACGAATCCTAGTCTAGCCACGGCGTGAACTAACAGCCCAGGCTGCTGGATATCCAGGCGTCCCTGGTATTTTCACGGCCTCTCAGATCACCGGCTGGAAGAATGTCACAGATGCGGTGCATGCCAAAGGTGCCTACATATATTGTCAATTATGGCATGTTGGTCGAGCAACGGTGCCCTCTTTCATCGAAGGAAACCAAGCCCTCAGTGCGAGTGACATCCCAATTAGCGGGAAGGCATTGGATGGTAGCGAGTACGCTGCCACGCCTCCGCGGCCCATGAGCGTGGAGGAGATCCAAGAGACCGTGAATGAATATTCCGCGGCGTCCAAACGAGCTATAGAAGCAGGGTTCGATGGGGTTGAAATTCATGGTAGGAGCGGCGCATACACCTACAAGAAGAAATTTGTTCACTGAGAAAAATATCAAACAGCCGCAAATGGATATCTCCTGGACCAGTTCCTGCACGACAATGTGAATACTCGGTCAGACGACTATGGCGGCTCTATCGAGAAGCGGTCCCGTATTGTTCTCGAAGTACTGAAGGCAGCCGCTGAGGCCATTGGGGCAGATCGTGTAGGAATTCGCCTCTCCCCATATAACTACTTCCAGGACACTCGAGACTCCAACCCGAATGTTCACTGGCTCGCGCTCTGCTCGCAAATCGCTAACCTCCCCGCGGACGCGCGACCCGCATACGTGCACATGATTGAGCCTCGCTTTGACGAGGTGCTGGACGAAAATGCGAAACTCGATTCTCTCGCGTCGGAGACACCGTCCTTGGATGTGTTCCGGCCAACACTTAAGAAGGGCGGCATCGCATTCCTGGCCGCGGGGAGCTTCAACCCTCAGAATGCTGGGCCGAAGTTGATTGACGATGGAGCGGACGCCGTGGTCTTTGGCCGCTGGTTCATCTCCAATCCTGATCTGCCTCGACGGCTGAAGGAGGGACTACCATTGAACCCGTATGACCGATCGACCTTCTATGGCGCTGACCCGGCGGAGAAGGGATACATTGATTACCCTTTCCACAGTAAATAGATGTAGGACAGAGGAGAATGAATGGAATTATTGCATGTTTAAGACAAGGCTACTAGTACTTTCATTGCATCATGAACAACCGCCCATCGGACAGTCGCCAGTTGCTGTGCCATCGCGGCTACTAACGGTTTGGGATCGTACTTTCCGGACAGTGCTGCCAGCTCCGTAGTGCTGGGGCAGTTGGTCATCATGACAATAAGTGAAGACAGATCTGTATTCATTCGCGGTTCGGAGGACGCAGGATCCATGCCCTGGTGAAAGACCCAACAGGCCAACGTAGCCAAGTAGAGGCACCAGGGGAAATGAAAGGCATCTGTCTGGTCCCAATCATGAAGACTCAACACCGCATCCTGCAGGAGATGGGATGCATGCCGTGCCACAGCAGTCGATGCTCCGGAGTCCTCGTGCAGCCAACGAACAATATTCTGCTGTGATCTTGACTGATCAGCTGGAGTGACTGTTCGTCCTAGAATTTGCACTGCTCCCACAACAATCTGCAAGTCGAGGATCTCCACACTTAATGCCAGGCAGGAGGCATGATAGAGAGCATGGGCTGCCATTTTCAATCCAGTGAAACGACGTGGATCTGCTGTCTGGGCCAGTTTCATAGCGAGGCAGTCTGCATCAAAGTCCACTTTCCATAGAACGTACGACCGGCTCATTCGTGGAGTCCAAGCTCCCACCCGCTCCGGTGTCTCCGACCGTAGTGTAGTTTGATCTCGTCGCTTGAGATCGGCCGATACAGACATCAAGCCATGTAGGATGACGGTGCGAGCAAAGACATTCAGATCTCGGGGTCGAGAGACAGATCCTGGGGTGATATAGCCTTTCAGAACAGTGAGGAACGGTCTGTTTGTTTCACGGGCAGCGAGGTGCGCCCACTCTCGAGCGGACGATGCTTCCCAGATGGCAGCGCTACATGGCAAACACGACCGGATCTCAAATGCAGACATGCAGAGGGATTGGGAGAAGAGGACTGCATGCTGCGTGTCCCACATAAAGCAAAGCATTGCCAGCCTTTTCCGCTGTTCTGCATCCATAGCCTGCCGCCATGCCTGATCGATATCCTCCGATCGTGCTAGCTGAGGCAAATCTTGTATACTGCAACAGTTACTACGGCGAATGAGCTTAATCAGGACACAGTGGAATAGCTGAGCGCGTTCACGCTGCTTGGGACCGGCCCTCATCTTTCCAAAGCAGTCAATCAGCAGCATTGTTTGCAAGACCCAAAACTCCGGCTGTGGTGAGAACTCGTCATGGCATAACAGTTGGTTTCGAAGTTTGTCGTGGATCCCCACGGCGAGTTGATGAGCCTCACGCGTGCTATAGGTCGCTCCCATGAACAGAACCGCCGCCAGAAAAATTGGGTCAATGGTTTCTGGGTTGAAGGTTGCCTGATGGACCAGGGGATATGTAACATTGAAGCGCGTAAAGAAGAGATCGCAGTAGCTTTGTAAAGCCCCTAGGGTAAGCAGAGGCGAATCCAGCGTTCTTGGCCGACCGTCGATACCTACTGGGGATACCTGCATCACCAGGGATAGGATGCCTCGCCGGCAATTCTCGGACAGCCGTGGTAAGTGTGGCGGCGGACTGGGCCCGAGAAAAGAGGTCCCAGACATCCAGTCTGCCTCCAGGATGTCAGGCATGATCGGTGACAGGGTAGACTGTGGCGTCTGTCCCTTGTTCATCATAGATGCTACCTCTAACAAGGCTGATGGGCCATCGTACTTATCCACTGGCGGATTGTAGTCCGGATTAAGCGCCCCAGGGAACGGCTCTGTATCGAAGCCGAGCGGGAAGTCGAATTGATGAAAGGCATCATCCAGAGAGGCGACATCGAATAACCAATTATAGTTGCAGGTCGCTGCAAACGGCAGATTGAAGTCGGTGGCTATGTTCATTAGAGAAGTTGAACTCGTATTGGAACCAGGTGCGAACGCATACCTGTGTCCATGCTGAGGAAATCGCCCATGCCGCCCAACCCGAGATTGAATGACCCGTCGGCTGCATCAAACTGCCCTGGAATAGGTTCAGCATATGGTTCAAAGGGACCGCCTGGCATCATCGGCGCTAAGAATGCATCCGTCTCGACAATGGGTAGAGAGGTTGGGTCTGAGCCAGAAATCGGCGGTGATAAGGGGGCCTCGTCCATCGGCTCTTCCTCTTCTTCGGCTACTAGATCTTGACCCGACGACAAGGAAGCAGTTGTTGATCGCCCTCTCGACCGCATCTCTCGCTGCGAAGGGCGCACTATGATGGTGCCATCACGAGCTCTGCGAGTCCTCTTGCGTGTGTTCAAGACGCCTAACCCTGGACCACCGGCTTCTTCATCTCGTTTGTCATGACGCAGCATGTGTCGGGCTGAGTCGATTAGCCTTAGGGACTCCGATCAATGTCGAAAGAAGGTGTCGCTTACCGAGTAGATCCGGACGCTGAAAGTGGACCGTGCAGCGCTCACAGGTAAAGCCCTTCCTTGGCTGTTCATGATTGAGTGCATGCCGACGTAGATGCTCGGCGCGAGTGAAGCTTTTCTCGCAACCGGGATATTTACAAGCGTGAGTCTTCATCGCGTTGCAAATGGATCTGAAGTAATTGCGCACTCGAATGGGTGGGAGTTCAGTTGGAACTTGGAACTGGATAAAAAGTGCACCTTCGGAAGGATGACCGATCTCGCTGATAAGAATGCGGGGACAGTGGGGAGAGGCTAATGCAGAGATAAATACATTGATAGATTGATTAAATTATTCCCTATCTCTAAGCGTGACCACTATTATAACCCCAATGCGAAGTGACTGGCAATTTAGAGATGTGAAAGGTTCTGCCATACAAGACTCTTGAACATTGGAGAGGTCGAACACTTAGCCCTAATATATGTTTTGCCTCACCCGCCACGTACAACCGGTGGATGATCTACGCAAAGTACCGCCATTGCACGCTCCGACTGCCCTCCTTGAACTGACTCGTATCCACTCCATTTTCACCTAGTCTGAATCCTTGTTTCTGATCGCGACGACGATTCTCGAACCGCATCCATACCCCTAATCCCGTCACGAAGATGATGCAGACAGCATTACAACAACAAGTCGCAATCAGTGTAGGAAGATATCTGCGCCGAGTCAGTGACACTCTCTTCCTCTTTTCTCTCTCCAAATCAGGGTGCGACATACTTGGGGGCGTATGCAGTCCGAAACGTAGCGGCACTCACGACACCGGCAAGATTCCCCAAACCCACCAGAAACCCCGTATTCGCCGCGCGGGAGTTTTCATGGACGTTGTTGTTATTATGCCAGGCATGAACAAGGCATGATAGGATATATGCGCCAGATGCCATGAGAAAACAAGCGAAATAGGCCACTCCCTGATGGTGAAGAACATCAATTGCCACTAGAATAACCATCCCCACAAGGGAGAGGGTGAGAGAGAATACAATGTGAAAGGTTCTCTCGCGGAAATAGTCCGATGATTTGGCGACGCCGAGCAACACCACTGCCCCGACGAGATTTGGGGCCACCGTCCACAAATTGGTCTTGACAACAGAGTACCCAAGACGTTGCACAATCTGTTTGAGTTAGGGGTGAAGGATTAGAGACGATCGTCAAGCACTCACTAGAGGGAAGAAGTTCATTGCCGTTGCGTAAGCGACTGGATAGGTGAACGATATGATGCACCAAATGGGGAACTGCCAGTCGCCCCAGGACTGAAAGCAATCTTTAAGATTGAAATTGGTCGCGACCTCTGATGAAGAGTCTCGAAGGAGTCGAGCTGTTGCTGCCTCTCTCTGCCTACCATTCAGGAACCAGGCGTGCTGTGGGTTATCTGGCAGCACCAGAAACCCCAAGACCCCAATGATCAAGGTCATTCCACCCTCGATGATAAATAGGTACTGCCACCCCTTCACAGAAGCGCTCTCAATTTGGAATACCCCGAAGGAAATCAGTCCACTAAATGCGGAAGCCAGAACAGCGAATGACTGTACAATGGCCAAGCGAAAACCCATTTCCCCGCGAGTGTAGAAAAGGGTCAGGTAAAAGGTCGCTCCAGCAAAGAAACCCGCTTCAAAGATGCCGAGGAGGATACGGATGGCAAGTAAAGAACCGAAGTCTTTAGCGGCACACTGGCACAGTGCAAGAATACCCCAAACAACGGACACTTGATGTATTATAGCGTACGACTTAGCTATTTCCTCGCAGCCATGTCTTGGGATGAACTTACTAGATGAGAGCATAATTCGACCAGAATAGCGCTTGATCAGCAGGTTCCATGGCAGGTCAAATAGACCGAATGGAATATAGAACAGAAGAATCAGTAACGAGTAATCATTCCCCTGAAAATGTAAGTCGTCGTCGAGACCGTCGGTTTTGGCATTTGCCAAGTTACTCTGGTCACATCAGTATTGTGCATACAACCACATCAGGATCATGAAGACCCACGCGATCCATGCAATCAAAGAAGTACATCTGCAGGTGTCAGTCTGGGATTGCTCTAGTGTCTGCGACCGGTCTGGATATTCTCACCAGGCACAGCATGGGCAACACCCACAGGTCCACTTTTCTACGGTATGCCCGTTCGGCGTCTGCATCTACAGAAGTGGAGTTTTGCCCCAGATTGGCTTCGGCACTTGGGGATGTCATCGTAGACTGCTTCAGTTCAGACATATTTGGCGGTTTCTGCTTTTCCTTTCTCCCATCTTCTATCACCGGCAGACTACTTAAATGCTACTCCTGGTGTTACATGGCTATGAAGGGTGTAATTCGCTCTGACAATACCACATGTCTACCATAGACGGGGTATGCCATCCGGTACAAAAGCACGAGTATTACCCAGTCGAAGCTAGAAACTGACTGCCGAGATAACAACCCCGCCTCGCGCTATCGTCTTGCCTGCAGATCGTCTTATCAATGTGATCGGATGCATCAACTCTATCACCCCATCCTTGAGCAGCACCCCCACCCTCGCATCCTTGCCCTTGTTGTCTTTAGATTGTGCACGAGGGGTTGGAAATCGGTCTTCTGGCCGAATCTTGGTGAGAATGAGGAGGTCTTGACGGGGTTTGTGAGGGATATATTCGAGCAGGACATGTTGTCAGGAGATTTAGACACCAGTCGCAAGAAGAACCACACTATCAATAGCTTGGAACGATGACCACACCAACTGCTCCCCCGATCCTGGACTTCTCTGCTTTCTACGGTAGCGACAACGACGCAAAGGCCAAGTTGGTGGAGGAGGTGCGCAAGTGCTGCCACTATAATGGCTTCTTCCAGATTACGGGCCATCGCGTGCCGCTCGACCTGCAGCGGCGCGTTATGAAATGCTCCAAACGCTTCTTCGACTTGCCTTTGGAAGAGAAAATGCAAATTGACAAAAGTATGGGCTTCACTTTGCGACGAAGAACGGACTCTCACTGACCTGGTAGATCTGAACACCTTTAACCGCGGCTACGAGCTGCTGCGATCCCAAATGCTCGAAGCAGGCACCGGCCCCGAGCTGAAAGAAGGGCTGTACATTGGCGAGGAGATCCCCGAGGATCACCCATACTTTGTCCAGAAGAAGCTGAACAGTGGTCCTAATCAATGGCCACAGACGGTGCCCGACCAAGCGGAGTTCCAGCTGACAACGATGGAATACTACCACGCGGTATTCGAGCTCGCGAAAGACGTGCTGGGTGTGGTTGCGTTAACGCTCGGTGTGGACTCGACCTTCTTCGAGCCTCTCACCCAAGGCGCTGTTGCCACGATGCGCTATCTCCACTATCCCGCGCAACCGAAGGACCAGGATGAGAAACTGAATCGTGGAATTGGCGCCCATACCGACTTTGGATGCGTCACTCTGCTCCTGCAGGATGAAGTGGACGGCTTGCAGGTCTTGGACATGCCTACTGGACAGTGGCTTGATGTTTGTGCCTCTCCTGTCCGTCTTTCGTCCATCGCTAATCCATGTCCTGCACAGGTTAAGCCGGTCGAGGGAGCCTACGTCGTAAACCTGGGCGACCTGTTCATGCGCATGGCCAACGATAAATACAAGTCGAATATTCACCGCGTGATTAACAAGTCGGGCCGTGAGAGATATTCGATTCCTTTTTTCTTTAGTGGAAACCCAGACTACCTTTGCGAGTGCCTACCCAACTGTCGCGCACCGGGCGAGCCAGCCAAATACCCACCCATCACCGTCCAGGAGAGGGTGACCGAAGCCTACAAGGAAAGCTATGGTCGGGCAGAAAAATACAAGAAGCAGCTGAAGATGCAGGCCCTGGGGTCTACCCCAGCGGTAGCTTCTGTTGGGGCGTAGCGAGCTAGGTTGGATGCTTGTTATGCTCTGTTTTATTTTGCCTTTTTTTTTTTTTTCCTCTAGTGCTTCCATAGCTTTAACTGCATTTTGATCATGAAAATTGTACGCATTTATCCTATGTCTATCTTGGTAAGCAAATGAATGCCTGCCGCGTAATGCTGTTATGATGAACTGTCGAGCGGGAGAGGTACTTCCTCCTGGCCCAGCCTCAAGTATGGACATCCTCCTCGTATGCCTCACCAATGGACACGCAAAGGTGGGGGGAGCCTGGCTACATCTAAACCCCGTATCATATTCACCCACCTTTGGTATCGCCTCCTGGGGCTGTAAATCCTTGAACATAATTGGCTGTTACACATACTAAGCCGAGTGAACAGCCCTAAAAGTGAGTATATGAATTGACTTGGAAGCATACCCTGAATTCGAAGGGCAAGATACCACGATCAAAGACATCGAAAATGGACAGAGTCGCCCTGGAAAAGAAGCCTAATCCGCCCGTTCATGATGCCGACTCAGATAAAGCCGCTGGCAATATCATTGCCCTCGATGACCATGAAGCTGATGAATTCTATGGCTCTTCTACCACCCAGGCATACCGCCTCAAGTCAGAGCTGGTAGGAAGTTGCATGGAACAGATTGGCATGGGAAGGTAAGCATACAGGATACCCCTGTATGTAGAAACTATCGCTCACGGAATTAGGTTTCAGTGGAAGCTTTTTGTAGTAACCGGCTTTGGATGGATTGTGGATAACGTACCTATAGCCTCACATCCCTCATTCCCCCTACCCCCCATTGCTAACGTTCCGTGTCCTCAGTTTGCTTCCCAAGGTATTGGCAGCGTCCAGCCTCCCATTGAACAGGAGCTTCCGGACATTGTCAGTGTCAGCTATAGCTCATTGGCCTACTACGCCGGTCTCATTCTCGGTGCATCTTTCTGGGGCATCTCCAGCGACTTAATCGGTCGAAGACCCGCGTTCAACTATACAGTCCTTATTGCAGGTATCTTCCTCTGCGCTGTGGCGGGATCTACGAACTTCGTGACCTTCAGTGCTCTCTGGGCCGTTATTGGTACCGCGGCTGGAGGGAACGTACCGGTGGGTTCGATGATGTTCTTGGAGTTTGTTCCCAGGAGGTCCGTGGCTCTGCAGTCTAGTCTTCATCTGATAACTAATGGGCAACCAGCCACCAATATCTTCTCACTGCATTGACCGCATGGTGGAGCCTAGGTCAATTGATTGTCTCCTTGGTGGCATGGGTCTTCTTGGCCAACTTCAGCTGCCCAACAGACGCGACTCCAGCAACTTGTCCCCGTCGCGAGAATATGGGATGGTATGAATCCACATTTAATATACCTTTCGAGGCTAACCTGGTAATGCTCAGGCGGTATACGATGATTACACTTGGTAGCATGGCCCTTCTCTTCACATTACTACGTCTGTTTGTTTTCAAGCTCCCGGAGACTCCACGATACCTGCTGTCTCAGGGTAGGGACGAAGATGCGGTGGCGGCAGTCAACCATGTTGCTCGACAGAATGGAAGGCCAGAGCCCTTGACAATTGGCATGCTTCGCGAAATCGATATGCGGCTAGGCGCTACGCCTAGTGAAAATGGAGCACACGCACGACTTTCCACCAAGCAAGTGGTCTCGGAAAACCTGCGATCCTTCAGGGGTGAACATTACCGCGCTCTGTTTGCAACATCGAAGCTTTGCAGACATACCATAATTACTTGGGTTATATGGCTAACCATCGGTAGGCATGGTCCCTACTAAAACACCAGGCATGGCTGTCTTCGATTGACATCCGTCACAGGCATCGGATACCCTCTATACTTCAACTTCCTCCCGTCGTATTTAGCAACCAAGTTTACCCAGAGCTCGACTCTCGATCTAACATACCGCAACTACTGCATCACCTCCGCCGTGGGAATCGTCGGTCCCCTATCCGCTGCTGTAGGAGTCAACACGACGCTCGGCCGCAGGTATATGATGGGGATCTCGTCTGTGGTGACTGCCGTGTTCCTTTTCGCCTACGTGGGGGTCAATAGCTCCACGGCCAGTCTGGCTTTCTCCTGTATCACCAGTATACTGGCGAACTTTGGTACGCTAGCATGAGAGCCGGGAATATTTCTTGACCGTTGAAACTGACAGCCTTTCCTAGAGTATGCTGTTATGTTCGCCTTCACCCCTGAATCCTTCCCAGCTCCCCACCGTGGTACCGGGACTGGCACCGCATCAGCTCTTCTGCGCCTTGGGGGTTTAGTGGCTAGTCTCATCTCCTCTCAGACCGGATTTACCAGCGCCCCGATTTATGCCAGCGCTGCAATGTGGGTGACGGTGGGCGCTCTCTCTTTCGGGTTACCGTTTGAGACGCATGGTCATGAGGCACTGTAAGATCCTTCATGGGCGGTAATTTCCGAGCTATTGGACTTTGTAGGCCACTTGAGGACTGAATGGTTGAATCTATGAGTGGAAAGATGGGGTTAGCGATAGAAAGCCGGAAACTTCCAATGGATCAGACCAAGCTTTCAACTCTACCCGGTTGCTCTCAAAGGCATTCTCAAGGATGGGGGTGAGCATAACGTGTATATCTTTCTGCGCTGTCAGATGGGCTCCGCTGAAGTGGATACTACTTGGTTAAACCTTGGAACGCAGGGCTAGGTCAACTAAGAGTGGGGAGGAAACATGCCGTTTGAATCTTACATAGCAGGTCATAAATAATATTACTTGCCTTCATGGAAGATTGAAGGTATCATTCCATTCGCCAGTCGCCCAGTAATCAATATGAGCAAGGTTTTCACAAGTGCTGAAGGTATATCAATAGTTCCTGAAAATCAAGACTGATCTAACTGCCCAAGTTGCCCAACACAACAACGAAAATAGCTGCTGGGTTGTTCTGTACGGAAAGGTCTATGATGTAAATTTGCCCTGTGGCTTGAACGTATCTCCATCACAACGTGCTGATCGGGACCAGGTAACGCATTTGCTGTCAAGCCATCCTGGCGGCGCCCAAGCCATTTTGCGTGTGGGGGGTATAGATGCCACAGACGACTTCGATCCCATTCATCCTCCTGAGACCATGCAGAGTCTCCAATCGGCACAAATCGGATCAATTGACTGCGACGAGGAGCCATTTTGTGCAAGTCATACTACGGGTCCCACGAACGAAATCGACGTTAACACCCTCCTGAACCTGGACGAGATAGAACAGGCCGCCCGCAAGGTAATCAGCAAGAAGGCATGGGCCTACTATTACTCGGCATCCGACGACAAGATAACCAAGAACTTTACCACAGAAGTTTACCGATCACTGCTGCTACGTCCCCGAGTCTTTGTCGACTGCCAGAAATGCGATGTGGAGACCGAGCTTTTGGGATGGAGGCTTGGTCTCCCGATATATATATCTCCAACCGCAATGGCTCGCTTAGGACATCCTAGCGGGGAGGCGGGACTCGCTGAGGCATGCAGAGTTTTTGGAGCGCTCCAGATCATCGCAAATAACTCGTCACTCTCCCCCGAGCAGGTGGTGGCCAATGCAGCACCGACGCAAGTATTTGGATGGCAGCTGTATGTCCAGCGAGACCACAGTGCCAGCGAAGCGATGCTCGCACGGGTGAACAAGCTAGATGCGATCAAGTTTGTGGTGCTCACGCTGGATGCGCCCGTCTCGGGAAAACGAGAAGATGATGAGCGCATCAATATGCAGGCTCATCCAGCAGGTAGTGTTAGTGCCCAGCTTTTCGCTGGCACAGATCCGTCTCTCACCTGGCACGAGACTCTTCAGTGGCTGTCACGACACACGATGAAGCCTATCATCCTCAAGGGTCTGCAGACTCATGAAGATGTTGCTATTGCCGCCCGGTATACACCCCTCGTCTCAGCGGTTATTCTATCTAATCATGGTGGGAGGTCCCTGGACACGGCACCACCGGCCGTACACACCCTCCTTGAAATACGGAAGTACTGTCCCTATGTTTTCATGAAGATGGAGGTATGGGTGGATGGTGGTATTCGACGAGGTACCGACGTAGTTAAAGCGCTCTGCCTTGGTGCGAAAGCTGTTGGCATTGGGCGACCGGCTCTCTGGGGCCTTGGGGCTGGTGGAGTGAAGGGAGTTGAACGAACGCTACAACGTGCGTCGCCTATTCTTTTCTGTAATTGTTGGTGGCCATCTGCTAATATGCCGTCTTCGTCCTGTAGTTCTGTTGGAGGAGACCAAGACCTGCATGCGACTCTTAGGCGCTACCAGTATCAAGGACTTGGGCCCCCACTATGTAAGGGATGCCTTCTTTCTCTTTCCCGATACACACTGACTGGATTCTGCGCAGGTCAACTCCAGCGGTGTGGAGCAGCAGATCTATCGGACGCCGCCCAATGTCAAGGATGAGCGAGCTGTAGCATACAGGGGGAAGCTCTAGTGAAAATAATATCGCCTGAGTAAGGTTCCAAGATCGACGAACGGTCAAATGGGGCTCACTATTTCTCCTCCATAGCTAGAGGGTAGCTCGTAGCATAGTCAATGCATCATGTTGGGAGAAATGATCTTCCTCCCCCCACCTTTGATATGATTACTAGTAAATGGGGGGAATCACGAGATAACCGCCATGTCTGACATTGTCCCCACTTCAACCCCTCTTCACGTCTTCCCTCCAACCACATAAACATCGACTTTCGCCATTGATGTTCCATTGAGGATTCACTATCGCAGTACCTACTCTGGGCTCCTCATAGCCATCCACATTCCGTCCGAAACGAACATAAAACATCGCCAAGCCCCGCAATCCGCAACCCCGCACGTACAATGGGCAAGAAGCGCGTCTTGGTCGGTTACGGAGTCGACATCGACGCGGTCGCAGGTTGGCTCGGCTCGTACGGTGGAGAGGACAGCGTGAGCGATATCAGTCGTGGACTGTGGGCGGGACACGTCGGCACCCCGCGGCTGCTGAAGTTGTTCGAGAAATACAATATCAAGGCATCCTGGTTTATCCCTGGCCACTCATTGGAGACCTTTCCCGAGGAATGCGCGCAGATCAGGGATGCGGGTCACGAAATCGGACTACATGGATATTCGCACGAGAACCCGGCCAGCATGACCCAGGAGCAGCAGCGGGACATTCTCGACAAGACCTATAGGATGCTCCGCGACTTTTGTGGCAAGCCGCCGCGCGGGATCGTCGCCCCGTGGTGGGAGGCCAGTGCCGAGATGGTCGACCTGCTGCTCGCCTACGGGATTGAATACGACCACTCCATGTCTCACGAGGACTGCCAGATGTACTGGTTGCGGACGGGGGATTCATGGACGAAGATTGACTATAGCCAAAAGGCCGAGACGTGGATGAAGCCCCTGGTTCGAGGCCAGACGACTGGGCTGGTGGAGATTCCGGGGAGTTGGTATATTGATGACCTGCCCCCGATGATGTTCATCAAGAATTCTGCAAATAGTCACGGCTGGGTGAATCCGCGGGATGTGGAAGATATCTGGAAGGTGAGTTCTTCCTCTGGCTGTTGTCTGGCACATGTCACCGGCCAATGAGCCATCATTGAAGGACGTTGCGCGGCTAAGATTGAACCCCTTGTCGGGATCTAGGACCACTTTGATTATTTCTACCGCGAATACGACGAATTTGTTTTCCCCATGACGATTCACCCCGATGTTTCTGGGCGGCCGCATGTGCTCCTGATGCACGAAAGGTAAGAACGAGGACTAGGCACGGCGCTCGGCAGGGAAGTGTGAGCTAACGCGCTATAGAATCATCGAACATATCAATAAACACGAAGGGGTGGAGTGGGTAACTTTCGAGCAGATGTGTGATGAGTTCAAGAAGAAGAACCAGCCGCCAGCCGGGGCGCCTATGCCAGCGGCAGCAGAGAGTGTGCTCCAAGATACTGAAAAGACTGCTCACAGTGACGCGCCATAGTTTACGCTATTTTCACTGACATGGTATGCCACCGGCGCTGTTGTAATTATTAGGTTTAGGCGTGGGGAAACATATATGAATGTCCCTTAGCTACTTCTCTGCCAAGGTATAACATCACGTCTGTACTTGACATCCTAAGCCAGACCGGTTACTACGAGTAGACTTTCTGAAAATTTACATATTCCACAAAGCTTCCGTATCAAAGGCTTTTGAGGAGTAAGGTGCTGTCTTCGTTGCCAGGCACTCTTAACGTGGCCTGTGAATAGAGTTACGAGACGCGCCCGAGGCTACATTTCGACAAAACTTACAATGATGCTCTACGGTCCCAGCAGCCAAATTAACCAAGAAGCATGCGATAGACCATCAATCGTGTATGTCTTCAGTACCCATGCGCCGAGTAAGGGAGATATGTGGCATACCGTGCACGCAAGAGAACCAGAAAACCACAGCGAGCAACAAGGGAGGACGACAAGGTAGTGAATGAGGCTGGCAAATTGTCACATGGACAATGATCCCCGTGATGGGATATCGGTACCATTCAGTAGCTAACAAGTCCTGCCCGCCGTCAGTAGTCATTCTCAGGTAAGAATCCGTTTTCATCATACACCCGAGTTTATTTGGCTAAATTTGATCAGCTCTAGGCAGTAGCCAAAACTATCCAAAAACCAGTTTTGAGCAAGTCGACCATGTTGGGGGATAAGTGGAGGCGGTGGAGCCTGTTCCCACTCAGCCATATATATGTCTTACATGTATCCCATATCAAGGCGGATTTATATAACCGAGGTTGAATGTAACAACGACGATATGTGGAATAGGGGCCAGTTAACTCAAGAAGGTAATTAGGCCGACTGGGAGACGATTTCCTTGACAAATCTGTTCTAGTGGCAGTGGACCTCCTAAGTGACTCCAGATGAACCCTGGATCATGCTTGGATAGCGGGGTGTGGGGATAATTATGGATCTCGGTCTCTTAGGGAAAAAGATCGCACACTCGTGGGCCACGGGTCTTGGGGGCCAGAGTATTGTTTCCACTCAAGGCAGACTGATCAAGATTCCAGAGGTCTATAAGAAGAACACACCTTCCTTCCTCTAGTCCTTCTGTGCTATCTACTCCAATATCTCTACCTCCGCTTCTACCACGAACCCTTCCACGGAACGGCCAGAACCAACATGATGATCCCTACGTTCCTTACTGTTCTTTCAGCCTTCCTTGCTAGCACATCAGCTGCAGCAGTCGAGCGTCGCGATCGCACATGTACTGTTGAATTATCCGAGCAGCGCGGTCAGGTAAGTTCCGTACACAAAATCTTCAGAGCGAGCCGTGCCTAATGATCTCCAATCCTAGAACGCTGTCGGTGGTGGTGATAATTCACTGACCTGCGGTGTTAGCCTCGACTATGGCGACGGCCGACAGGATATCCTTAGTGAAGCATGCAACCAGATCTGGCATGCTGGTGATCACTGCTTTAGCTCGCAGCTGCCATACTCGATCTGGTACGTGCTTCGATGTATTCATATCTACTGGGACGGTGATGCTGACTCTAGAGAATAGTATCCACACCAACGGTGACAAGGATGGCTACCTGAACTACAGCAATGAACACCGGGACTTTAACGAGGATGGCTGTTCACAAGACAGCTCAGCAAGTATTGGTGGTGACGCTCATACTATCACTTGCACCTTCCCGTGCACATAGAGAAGCACCATAGCTGTAGACAGTCCACAGTGCAGCAGGGATTGAGTCACTGACATTCGAGTAACGCATTTGCGGAGTTAACATAGTTAATGTTTAACAATATGAATAATCAAATCGAATGATTCAACACTAGAGACAATTAATCATAGTGTAGGACGTATCCTTGAAATTTAGATGCATCGAAAAAGTAGATACCGTGGCAAAGGGTAAAGTGTTCAGGATGAGCTGAAATGTTCTCAAGCTGGGTTCCCTAAGTCTGGCCAGCTACTACGAGTACGCCATCGAAAATGACATTAGTTCCATGAATAGTCCATAGAACAGGGCTGGGGGATATAAGGTCCGGTCTTATTAGTTGTCAGGTAGTCCTGGTGAAGTTGGTGGATCACGGAGTTACGAGACATGCTTAATGTCTAACTGCTGTGCTGAACAGTGCATTTACGCGTGTACATCATGAATAAAGGCCATCGGTCTTACTAGAATATTTCCTGGACGATACCGACAAGTTATTAGTACACGGCATTTATACCCATGGAACTAATCTTGCCTTGTCGCAGTCTGTGCAATTGTCACCGTATCTCCTCCAACAGCATGTCCCAGCCACCATCTGGTAAACAAATCCACCACTGCTGGCTTATGATTCGTCATGTCGTAAAGCTTGGTCATTCACACTATGAGACTCTTGACATCAGAATATGCCTCTAAAGCACGAATATGCGAGGGGCCCATGATGGAGTATACCAGAAGCTTATGATCGTCAACTTAGCAATATTTCTCCACGATGATCACAGCTTACCGGGGCTATAACATGATAGCGAAGAGACTTGGTATTCAATCGGCCAACCATAATGTTGACGATGCTAATTAGTCTCCTTGCGTTAGTCGGTCGTCTCCCGTGACGTCGTTATCCAGGAGGCATTTCATCTGAGGCAGTGGCGTATCCGCCGGCGTAGGGCAGGTTAGAGACACACTCCAAAATCCCCGAAAAGATTCTTGAAGTTGAAATCGCCCCATCGGCATGATTGGGTGACATTAGTAATATAGTAACACATCGAGCGAACTGTGTCATCCATACGATTTGTAGCGAATACCTGGACGACTCAGATAGTCCCTGTGAAACGCCCTATTTGTATACGTTTGCATGTATATCAGCAAAGCTTTCACAATCCGATGGTTCTCGATGTCTTGACGGTAGCATGGATATTCTTGTTGGTCCGAGGGTGCGAGCTTCTCCTAGAATGGGGCAAAGAAATGGGGGTAATCGGACTTGTCTGCGAGGGGCATTGAATGCAGGCGAATGCGTGCTTCATTTGCCTCGCGCGGGTCGATCTGCTTTGTACCCCGCGGGGAAATCGCATCCCGGATTGCACGCAGTGCGCTATGAAACTCTTTGCGACGATGCTGTGTAGTCTCTGAGGATGCGGACATCATGGGCAGATCACAGAGAAAATGAAAGGGTGGAAGATAGTAGGCAGAGCGAGGGATCCATTCTTGGGGACAATCGGCGTCAGTCGCGCCAATTAGAGGCTGGTTTTAGCGACCCACGACCGGACTTCCGATTTGCAGGTATTCCGCAGTCCCTTGGGCTTAGAGCCTGCTATTAGGTAGTAGAGGGAGTATGCTTGGATTATGTGAGCCTGACCCGGATGGCTTCGTGAATAGCTGCGGCCGGTAAGTTTGTCGATGCTAACAATAGATGAATCGTCATTCTAGCCAGTTTGTTAATATTGGTTTCCAGGACAGGCATGAGATATATTTCGCGTTCATCGAGCATACTGACGGCCTTGGTTCAGTCGTGAACAAGACGCTCTCACAACGGGTGTCTACTTTATCTGACGTTAAATCTCTTCCGCAAGAATAGAGTAAATTTGGTTCAAGTATAATATATTAGAACAAGGGCATCAAAACAACCCTGATGGTCTAATCGCCAGTTTGACCCGCCGCACAACACATTCAATAGCAACGTTTCTATAGCGAGTCAGCGAGATATCGTGAGAAAATAATCGGTGAAGGTGTAATATACGCAGCAGACGAGAAAAGAACCCGAGCCGTCACACTTGACCAGGCCACTATGAACATATTAGCATCTCTTGGGTGCATTGTCCGCAAGTCAGGAGTACTCACTGGGCGCCACAGGTGTCTGGGCTGTGGACCTCCTATCGAATGATCAGAGAATTCCTACTTTTGATAGTCAATGCCATATATATACCTTACAACCCACGCCCTGCTGTCTCTCTTCTAGAGCGGGCCCGGCGTAGGCCAGGGTCAGGAGGGTAGCAATGATGACAAGTACGCGCATAGTGAATCACGGATAAAATGGATGATTGATCTGGTTTTATTCAAAGTGACTGTGAATTGTATGAGGATGAGGATGGCCTCGGGGTGAAGACATCGCCTATTTATGTATTTACTCTTCCGGCTTTCCAGATAGCTGAATTCGACAATTTAGCTGGAGGGAGACTTTTCCATGAACAACAATGTATAGCCCCATCATGACGTGGCCATCATCTATCAGATACATACCAAGATAGAACTATATACACAAGGCCTCCCAAATTCGTTGCGAAAGAGCCTAAAGCGAACACAAGTCCGTTGAGAATATAACCGAGCTGGTTTCTGATTTGCTCGTAGCAGGCTGTCGATCTGTTGCTGCTGGGGGCCTTGGACGCCTAGCTGGTCGATCGTTGTCTTGGCACAGCGATGGATGTCCAATATGAGCTGAGAACAAGCCCAACACTTGGTCGACAAGATGGCTCGCAAGCGGGGCAGTGGCTGTGTACCCCGGAAAGATGGACACGGCGGGATTGACTGTGATCTTGGTTCCAGGGGTGTAAAACTTAATTACTGACGCTGCGAAAATGGCCATTCGTCCCACATTATTGTAATCATCGCGCCCCATTCTGGCGGATCCCGAGGACGATATCCTGGAACCCAGGTGGCCAAACAGGCAAAGGAACTAGCGAAGCACAGGACATTCGATGACTCGTCCAGTAGTGACAACGTCCCACCGTCTCTGGGGGAAAGAACACTACAATTAGAATATGTAGGTGAAGCTGGGGAACGAGGGTCCAACCTTATAGAGAAGCTGTTTGCAGCCTCAATCAGTGTGGGTTCGGGGAGGGTGCGGGTCCGAATTTTGCAACCCGAACCCGACCCGATAACCACTCCACCCCTGCCTCATTTACAAGTTCAATTATCCTACAGGCATACACAAGTAGGGAGCTGGGAGTAGTGCCTGCAAATTACTTCTTCACAATTGACATAATCATAAAGCCAGTACCGAAAGGAGCATAGGGACGCGGTTCAGCCTTTAATATGGTGGAGGATAAGTCTGTTCGTGAAGAACATCAAAACATCTGCATACAACATACCCCCGTATATAGTGGCAACGTGTGGGCTATGGGCGATGGTCGCGATCGATAAATACAGCAGACACTAACGGTCGGATGCCCCGCTATAACATAGCTAGGCACAACAAGGAAGAAAGACTGAAAACTAGGCCCTCCATTTTCAACCCCCCCCCCCAAGGAACTGTACAGAATGACATGAAGGCTTCTGGAGTACCGAGAGCTCCCCCGGATCCGCTGTTACCTTGCCAAATATAAACACTACATAGAGGTATACACCACCCCCGCCACGTGATGCGACAGATGGCGAACACTCAGCCTCGCTCAGCCTCGTCATGCACACCGCCATGGCTGTTCGCCCAACCTCGAGTCCTTCGCTCTCTCTTCCGCCCATTTCTACTCACAAAGGCTGTGGGCTTCGACAGAGCATATTACAATGGTACAGAAGAGCCAGGAGCGACATAGTTCTGCGCTTGAATCACATGTGAATCTTTGGGAGGATCCATCGATTGTTTGCAACCAAGCGGCTTGTGCAATGAACAATCTACCAGATGATGAAGCTGCTGAGCAGTTCTGCTTCCTAGAGGCTTCACAAGTTCCTGAGCCACAGGACCACCTACTCACAACGGGACATTTAGATTCTTGGTGGTGGGACGGCCATAATAATACTGAATATGAGCTACTCCCAGCACACCCAACTCCGGCTGAAGTGCAAGTAAGGTTCAATCTGCAATCGATTGAGACGGCGATCAACCATATCGGTCCCAGCCAGCTTGTGGCAATTAAGGGGTCTCTTAATGAAATGGTTAGTAAGATCGATTCTATGATTCAGCCCGAAGGGCTACCGTTCGATCCTCCTGCCCGCCGGTCTCCAGAAGACAAATTGCCCAGTTCGCGCCAGGATTACATATGCAGGTGGTGCACACCACACAGCAAAGTATACCAGTCTCGAGGTTCAGCACGGCGCCATATTACAACTCATAGACCACGAACCATCTATCGTTGTGACAGGAACGGCTGCAACTGGGAAACAATGCGAAGAGACAGGATGCATGACCATTTTCGGCTTCGTCATGCCGAGAACGTGCGTCGTTTGTCACGGCTGGATATTACCCACTTTGAGGTCCGACTGGCTCCCCCCCAACTCATGCGATATGTGCCATAAACTAGTTGCATCGTGGGGCGACTATTACAATTGTATACTCGACCATTGCCGTTCGCATCCTACTGTCTCCTCCTCGCGGGAAGGTGACGATGGTTCACGCGTCTCAAACAACAAGGACACTATCTGGAAAATGACGCCCCTACCAAGCGAGATACAATCGTTGACCAATATACAAACAAATGTTCAAAACCTGCCTTATTTGTCAAGGCAGCAATCCTACTCAACCGCAGGCTTGGCCTTCACTGATTCAGGCTATGGCTCAACCACCCATAAGGATCCAAAGACGACCAAACGTAACACGAAGATCAACGATGGAGGTTGTCGACGTCCATCAATACATGTATATGAAGGGCTGAACAATCCTGAAAGCAACAAAACAGATGAGTATGTTGCACCTACAAGAGATTACGATGATCAAAGCATCTACTCCGCTGCCTCAACTATATCTGATACCGTGAAAGGAAGATATATCATGGAATTAGTTGGCCTTATATCTAAAACCATACAACCATTGCATCCTACGACTGAGAGTCTAGACCGTATGTCAGAAGGGCTTCCCGGACTCCTGAGAGCGTTTTCTCTAAGCCTTGGACGTTCCTCATCAACGCAGTCACACCTCGATGTGATGGTTTTTATCCATAAATACCGGGTGTAAGTTGAGCCATACCACCAAAGGACTGAATCCATTCAAGGCATGCCAAGTGTCTAACTTAGCTATATCAAAAGTGAGATTAGTGCGGCTCTCATTGACAGTTTATCCGAAGGTCTTGATCAAGAGCAGGATATGGCGGATGGCGAAGATCGAAATTCTGATAAAATGCCTTTACAGGAACTGATGTCCCTCTGGCATAGCAAAGGGCCACCGGAGCCCGGTTTCAATGTTGAGGAATCCCTGGAAGACATGGAAAATGAAGACCAGGTTTTGATAGACTCCAGTAAGGTAGACGGCGAGGATAGTAATCTGCCTCAACTTCAATCATATAGGGCGCTTATTATCAATTCCCCGTCATACAAGTGGCTTTTAACCATTCTTCACCGAGAATGCATGCTAGCACCCCCAGAAGCCAACGTGATGCACCAGATTCGAGATTACATACTTGCTGTTCTTCCAGTATCTCCCATTATCAGCAGAAAAACCCCTACAATGGCATTCGAGGTTTTCGTACGGTTGAACTGGAATCCAATCGCCTTCTACACAGAACAGGAATACGCTGAGAGCCCAAAGGATGCAATGGAACGGGCGATAACATTAACGGGTTCGCGTACGACAGCCCAGGCGCTGACATGCAGCCAGTACATGAGCCAAACCTGGCCATTGACTGGAATTCAAATTTTGCAATTGATAACAGAGTTTGCTTCAGGCGAGCATAACAACCCACCTTTTGCCGTCTTACCTGATGGGACCACAGTACAGGTTTTTGCAGAAGCTCTACAGTGCGACAGTGGTACATACCCTGCCGTGTGGGTAGCTATCCGTGGAACAGGGGACTCCATCGCAGAAGTTGGGGAGCAATTTGCGTGGCTTGGGTGTGCTCTTCGCTCATCACCTGTCGAGTCCGGAATCGCCTGCTGCCGGCCATTCATCAAACAACTCGAGAGAGGTCGGTTTACCGATTTGCCGATGTGGAATGCATCACACATCTTGGAAATTGACTTTAGCCTACATCATGACGAACAAGACGTGACAAACATGACGAACGGATGTTGCTGGTATGGCTTGTTCAGAAATCCGGTAATTGTGGAAGGATACCCCATTCCACGTAGACCCGAACCCAACACAGGGCTGGAGATTCCCCTCCAAATATTGTCGGGGCTCACGCGAACGCGCCGGGTGAATGTCTTCGGTGGCAGGACTGTCCTGAAAGGGTTCTCAGTAATGCTTGTTCCAACAGCATATTGCGAAGGTATTGTTTTCTGGCACTTACAACAATCTGACGTAGGCGAGCGTCTTTCATATCACTCGAGCGATGAATTTCCTGCTCTCGACCTGTACAGTTCAGATTTGGAGAGAGCCAGGCACTTGGTGGGATGGTGTCCTGCTATGAAGCTCTATGCTGGTATGCTACTGTAGTATTTATATAAGTCCAAATTGTACTTACCACGACTCATAGGCGCGCCGGATGCTATTTATGCCGTGGAAGAGTCTCGCCTCCAGCGCCCCAGTGGAAAAAGCACTCTCGCAGAAGTCTCCATGTCCACAGGCCATATCATCACAGGGGATACCGCCTTCAGTATTGGCCATAAAGACATTCATGTCCGCCGAAACTGCTACGTTGCAAAAATGAGATGGATTTCGCAGATGTTCCTAATGCTCTGGGACGTACAGATGAAACGCGGTTGGCTAGTTAACGGCGCCAGTGCCTTACTACATCTGGTCCGAGCGTCTCTGAAGCAAGACAAAAGCAACAAATTTGGCTCTCGATTGATGTTAGCCTCGGAAGACATTCAAGACGCCATCGACCCATACCAACATGACTCGGCACTGGAAGTCCTGCTCAACCCGTATAATCTGAAACTCAAGGTCTACGAGGAAAAGGACCATTTTGTTTACTTTGAGGACCGCGTGGAGGACTTTTATGATTCCCTAGAGAAAATAATCGATTATCAAGCCAGGGCTGATTATAGCCAGGTGCCCCGGTCGTGGTTGGAAGGATGGGATTTCACTGATCTAGCCAAGGAGCGACCTCTCTTCTATCCACGGCGAGCCATTATTGACCCGGAGGGGCGCTCTTGGGTAGATTTTTCTAGATCCATCCACACCGCCATACTGCTTGGACGGAACTTTGGGGATATTATTCAGCCAGTTGGCCAGCCGTGCCCTGAGTGGGCATCGCTACCAGTCGGCAGGTCTTATCTCGCAGCTTCAGTACCGGATTTGGAAAATATAGTGAGAGCATGTGGAGATCTCTATGCGTCACCGATGAGACTCACAAATGACTTGCTTTGGTATATTCCGCAGACGGTATTTAGTAAGTGTCAGTGTCTTCAACTGCGTAATGGCAATCACTCCGACCTCGCACAAATCATTCTCCCCGAGAGAATAGCTCGGGGCTTGGCTATGGAATGTTCCACGTACCCCGGGGATAGCGGTGGCATTGTCTTTGGCTTTGACACAAATCACAGATGGTACTGGAAGGACAAGGGCGACCCATCATCGGTGGATCTAGATGCCTCGTCTAATCTAGCAGGTTCAACTGAGAAGGATCATGCCTCTTCCATTGATAGTGGGCTAGGGAGAAGCACAAGATCCACTCTTTCAATAGACAGTAGCTCTATGACCAGTTCAACGTTCCGCCAACATGCGAATCTTTCCCACGAAGAGACGTCGGGGTCAAGTCGGCAGCCACAAGCGATGCAATTTCGTCCAAAGGACTATGCTGTCGGAATCATATGTGCCCTGGCAATAGAGCTAAAGGCCGTCCGCGCTTCCTTCGACGAAACACATAACGAATGCATCCCTCCGGCTGATACGCATGCTTATGCCCTAGGTCGCATAGGGAAACATAATGTTGTCGCAGCCTGCCTTCCAGATGGCGAATATGGTACCAGTTCCGCCGCGGATGTCGCATCTAATATGAAGCGCAGCTTTCCTGCAGTCACGTTCTGTCTGTTAGTCGGGATCGGTGGCGGTGTTCCGTCGCGAAATCATGACATACGCCTGGGCGATATAGTCGTCAGCACACCGACCGGACCATACTCCGGGGTCCTGGCGTATGATCTCGTCAAAACGTTTGAGTCTGGCAATTTTCGGCTGAATGGCTGTCTGGCCCCACCTCCACGCCATTTGCGGTCTGCGAATTAGCGGATTGAAGTCTGATTCCTCATCATTCCTCTTGACTCTCAAAGGCTACTTAGACGAGATAGGGCAGTCACACCCTGAGTATAAGCATCCAGGCCAGGATAAAGACGTTTTGTTTCATGCCAACTATCTGCATGTAGACACCGGAAACAACGAGATGTGTGAATCATGCGACTTGAGCTTCCAGGTTCAGCGGAGCCTCCGGCCATCAACCCACCCGCATATACATTATGGGTTGATCGCATCTGGGAATCAACTCATCCGATCTGCCCAGATCAGAGATCAAATGAGTTGCGAGCATGATGTTCTCTGCTTTGAGATGGAAGGCGCTGGAGTCATGAACACCTTTCCCTGTCTGATCATTCGAGGTATATGTGACTATGCTGACTCTCATAAAGATAAGACCTGGCAGAGATATGCTGCTGCCACAGCCGCTGCATTTGCCAAGTTACTTCTCTTGCAAGTGAGGCCAACTCAAGAATATGAACCTGCTGTATTGACCTCACAGGTGCAAGAACATGCCCCCATAGCAAAACGGTGGCCAGACGATGGGCTAGAGCAGGAAAAAGCTTCTCAGAAGAAACAACGGCGATGGATTTAATACCTAGTATATTCTCATCCGTCTGCATCTATACATTCAAAATCTGCGGATCCGGGGCGCAACGATTTATATGGGCGTCGCGCTATGGAGGCAGGCAGCTCCTCGAGAGGCAACCCAGCCCATTAAGCGAGATCAAGGCATATGTAGGACATTAAGACCGTGGAGGCTTTTGACAAGATAGAACAAGAATAAAGGACAACAGAATCAACACGTAATCGAGCTGTGTTTTGTCGCCTGAACTAAGGCATTCTGTTGGGTGGCGTGTTAATTATACCGAAATTATTAAACAGCTAGGCTTCGAAAGAGTTCTTCTAGTTTTCAGAAATATAAGGCCACCAAAAATCGCTCTCAGATGAAAATTTGGCCAGCGGAGCAATTCCAAGGCCAGGGCCAAACGCCAGACGGGGCAAGATTGAACTAAGCGACTTGGCTGCCACCATCATTTTACGACCCACAAATCACCGCGCCAGAGAGCAGAACAATATCTGTTGGTTATTTGGTAAGACCCACACCATGTCTTGCAATCTTGGGGGCGATTTTCTGCATTTTCTGCATCCGTTAACTTCAACGACTAGCCAGACCGAAGAAGGCCGGAAGAAGAGCATATGGGGAAAAAGCTAACCTGTACGCTAGTTTGACGTACATATACGCGATATCCCCACCAGAGCCCCTGAATAGTAGCTACCATGCCATTTGTATAGGTTCTCAGTATCTTTGGTGTTCGAGTTGCAACGGGCCGAGATGGACAGCAGACAGCGGCATCGAACCACTTTCATCGAACTGTTATAGAAGACACATAGGACTAATCGAAGATCCCTGAATATAGAGCAGAACGTTCCATTTGGAACTTCATCAAGCTTCTACGGGTCTCGCACGGAGGCTTGCCCAGAGCCAAGCCTAATGACTATTTGGTCATTTGGTCCACCAGGTAGCCTCCGCAGGCACAAGAAAGCTTCGATACTACATGATCTGAATCTTGAATGCCGAGAGGTTTTGCTGCCAAGTTTCGGCAATATCCGCCATGTACCAATTGGATATCTCGACTTTGGTAGTCAGTCTGTTGGCTCTAGGTGTAGTTTGATTAGGTGGAAGTGCCAGTAGCGCTTGGCACTTGGCACTTTTTCCTGGACCCCTATTCATGTGAATACGTGGATATATTCAAGAATTATAAGAATGGCCTGTAAGAGCGCGAGAACTGTCGCTTCGCTTTCTGTTTCCACGAACTCCATGCCCCATTCATCATGAGGGTGGATCGCAGCGTGTACCGGATGATGCATCTTTGCATCATCGGTCTGGCGCTGTTTGCTTTTACTCTGGCCTTGCCTTCACCAACCGAAATCCAAGACCCATCGACATCAATTGACGGTGTCCCACGTTTGGAGGCTCGCGATGCCAAGCCCTTTGCTCTCCGTATCATGCCACTTGGGGCTTCAATCACGACTGGATTGAAGTCAAGTGATAAGAATGGATACCGGATATGGATACGTGAGCAGCTTCGACACGCTGGATGGGAGGTGAACATGGTGGGGTCCCTTAAAAGTGGAACCATGAGAGATAATGTAAGTATATCGTGGACCCGGGGGCGTGCTCTATATGGAGTTAACAGGCCAAATCTCTAGGACAACGAGGGCTGGAGTGGATGGGTCATCGACCAGGTTGCCCAAGAGGCTGAGAAGACGATCCCGAAGGCCCCAAATCTTATTTTGATCAAGTACGTCGGTAGAATAACATGTACATATGTTTCTGGAGACTAATTCCCTGTTTGACAGTGCTGGCACGAACGATGCCGTGAAAGACCTGGACGTCGATAGGGCAGGAGAGCGGATGAATGTGTTGCTCACTCGTCTGTATGAAGGTATACCAGGAACGACTATCATCCTATCAACGTTGTTGTCCAACGGAGATCCCAAGGCCCAAGCCAACGTCGTGAAGATCAATGAGCAATACCGCAACATCGCCGCTGCTCGCCGAAAGAATGGCGACAAGATAGTTTTGGCCGAGATGAGTGACTTTATCAAGGTCAGCGAGCTGGTAGATGGAACTCATCCCAATGACTTTGGATATAAGAAGATGGCCTCGGTATGGTGGGCCGCAATTCAAGAAGCGGAATCAGCCAAGTTCTTGTCAAAGCCCAAGGACATCGGGGAGAGCGATTGGGCTTATACGACTTGTGAGAAGAAGTTCGGCTCAGGTAATGACGGTGGCAAAATCCAGACCCAACGCGGCAGTGGCTGGGACGATGGCGATTACAAGCATAACGCCCAGAGTATGGGCCGTATTAAGCAGATTGGCATTACCGGCTCCAAGGGTGACACCCATCCTGGTATCAACTATGCGCAGTTAGTAAACCAGGGAGGTGCCCACCGTGAAGGGGCCCTCGATGAGCTGGTTTGGACTCGTGATGGAAAAGGAACCTGGATGTACCCAAATAACAATAATGGCAAGTTCGGTGAGCCTGTCAAGATTGATGTCAAAGATAACTGTCTTGCGCGAGGTGAGTAGCGAAGTCAACAAATTCTCTTTGGCCACACTTTTAATAGAAGCAACAGGTGTACACTGGGGTGACCTAAACAACGATGGACTGGACGACTTCATTTGCATCAGTAGGGAGGGTGCTATGTATGCATCAATGAACCAAGGTGGGAGTCCTCCACAGTTCAAGTACATCGGCTTGGTCAGGGAAGCGCCCGGTGGTGACCTAGCTCAGGCGAATGTCCGACTCGGTGACATTGACGGCGATGGTCGTCTTGATTACTGCCTTGTGAAGGGAAATGGTGATATCCAGTGTTGGAGAAACGGTGGCCAGAAGGATGCTCCAACACCAGAATTCAATGGATACTGGCAGGACCTTGGAACCGTGTTTACCGGTAAAGGCATGGGCGATATCGCCGGCGTTCGCCTGGTCGATATTAACGGTGATTTCCGCGCCGACTGGCTCTGGCTCGATGAGGAGGGCAAGGTCACGACGTATATCAACCAGCGTGGTACAGGGAAAGGCAGCCTGGCTCCCGATTGGCGTCGCATTGGCGTCACTCATGCTGGAATGGGTGTGAAGGGTGCTAGAGACCGCATCAAGTTCGGCCAAGTCTATGCCAAGGGAGGTGCTGATTACGTGTGGATTGAGTCTCTACAGAATGCCGATACTTATAATCACTATACAACTGTGTGGAAGAATATTGGAAGTGGTGGCACTACACTCAAGGGTGAGATCTCTCTTCCGATTGTCCCTAGTATATGCCGTTGATGTGGCTAACATTTCTGCACAGGCGATGGTGACTACTACTGTGACTGGCGTGGCACTGGTGCTGATGACTATGTAAGCACAGCTTTGACTCTCTCCTTGCATCTTGGCTGTCCAGAGGGAATTGTTTTATTGATTGTGTGTCACCTTTAGATCTGGATTTCGCCAACGGGACGGGCCTTGCTCTATGGAAACGTCCATAAGCCTCCAACTTGGGTGCCCGAGGGACCGCAAATATTCGACCTGGGTAGGGACCGCAAGGGCATTCACCTAGCAGACTTCAATGGTGATGGAAAGGTAAGTATAATTAAACATGGCTTGCGATTCTCTTGAGCGTATCGTCCAATTAATGATCTACAGTGCGATGTTTGGGCTGTGAATCGTGAGACCGGTGCCGCCGAGGTTTGGATTAACCACTGGAATGAGGATACTACCAGTGGCTTTCTAGATTACAGAGGAGTGGTGACTGGGAATGTGAAATGTACCGAAGGATGGGGAGTCGGGTATCGCGACATTGGTGTCCGGATGGCTGATCTCGAGTTTGTGCTTCCCAGTCACTATGCTTTGGACAATATATGGCTGACTACTTCAGTGGTGACGGCCGCGCGGATTACCTGTGTATGGAGTGAGTGCTTCAAGGCAGCTTTTATGAGAACCGTCATACTAACCTTTCTGGTCAGACCCAATGGCCGGACAGTTGGATGGTTAAACAAAGGCGAGAACAAGTTTGAAGCGAAGGGTCAAGTCAAACGCACGCATGGATACGATCGTGCGAACCATGTTTGGGCTGATGTAGATGGTATGTCTGTCTATAGATTGGGATTCTGGTCATCGGATCTCCAAGCTTACCAGGTTACAGGCGATGGTCTTGTCGACTTCCTCTGGGTTGACAAATTCAATGGCAACACCAAAGTCTGGATCAATAAGGGTCCAATTCCCACCGCAGGCTCCAGTTGGAAGTGGGAACTCCTCGACGGCCCTCGATATCAAGGCTCGGATCGTGGGGTGAGTGGAATCTGGAGGGATTACAGTCAACCTCGCTGATTATTTCTATAGGCAAATTTATACTTCCCAAATATTGGAGGCCTGGGGCGTGCTGACATGCATAATGTCATCCCCAGAAGCAATGTTGTGAGTTTCCCTTGTATCCCTTGCGCACTACGAAGCCGAATGCTAAATTGTGTAGGCCTATACGTGGTTCAATACCTGCCCCGGAAGCGATAGCACCGCAGCCGACGACGTCGACCCATCTGTAGATCCCGACTTACCCGCATACACGCCCCCTAATCAACCCACGCCGACGGGCACACCTCCAGTCAGCCCGACTGCGACCGGGATCCCCATTGGGGAGGCTCCTGACGGTTACTAGTATGTTGTGACCCGTATATCCCGCGCAGTGCACTTGGAGTTAACACGAAATTCTAGTGAACATTGGCCCTTGAACGATAGGGATCGAATGGAATCGGTCTGCAATCACCTCGATGAACTGGATAAGGACCTCTGGAACAAAAACGACATGGGTAACTGGCTGACGACTACGTATGTCTTGGACCAGAACTTCACTTTTTTTCTCCCACACTTTCTTCTATGTCGTCAAAGCTAACACCAGGGGTTTAACTAGCGCCGGTTGGTACCAGAAGCTGTCCCTCAACCCGGACCTCAATCTGGACCCTGATCATCCTTTCAAGTGGCCCGGCGGTCTTGCCGATGCGCTTGCAAAGTACAACGGAAGCAGAATAGAAGTTCCTCCTCCTTACTCATGGGAGTGTGCGAAGTATGTACCTCCAAGGCTCCGGACAATCAGTATCGCTAATCTAGCTGGTCCAGCGTCCGCGGGAGTTGCACTGTAAACCACTTAAAAGATGTTGATCCGTGCAAGGAGGGTCGAATGTACCGGGTCCAAGCTCTAACTGCGGTACACAACTTGGCAGAGTTCCTTAGGGTTATGTATAGTATGACGGAAGAAATCTGGACAAACGCAGGGTTCAAAAACGCCGGCCTGGTCCTCCGATACTCGCACAAGGGTGATGAGAACACCGAGTTTGGTGAAGATGCGGGCATGACCATTGGCGCCGGGTTTGCCAGCATCATGGGTGCGTTCTTTTTGACGCCCATGGCCGGTGTCGCTGCCGGGGCCATGACCATTGGAGCCGGCGCTGTGGCTGCACTGGGTGGCCTAGCGCCAGCCGACCTGAAGTTTAACACCTATGCACAGCTCGGTGACAAGTCGGCGGATATGCACAATGCTATGACCCAGGGCCTGGACGTTTTCTACAATAGTCTGTTTTTCAAAAAGCCTCCCACCGATCCCAGCTGGGTAACCAGCCCGACTGCTCTTCCACGCATACTCAACACGGGAAACTTTGCTTCACATAAGAGTGTTGTCGCACCCACTGATGAGGAGACGAGCAAATATTCCATGGTTCCGGAGAAGGCCGGACTGGTTAAGTATGTGGTCGCTCCGTTGATCAACATGTTGTGGCAAAAAGACCTGTACTATATTGTCCGGATCGACAACAAGTCGATTCGAAATAGCAACGGCGAGACGTACCACCCCTGCGACAAGAACGGAGACATGTTCGAAAACACCGATACCACCAATATGAAATGGTGCAATCCGGATGATACGGCTTTTTTCTTTGTACGATATCCCCTATCTATCCTCACTGACATAGAGTCATAGTGCTGACAACAAACAGTATCATCAAGGGGACAATGACCATATCCCCAAAGGTATGGACAAATTACCAGACGACTATGGGTTCAATGGATACGATGTGGCAAGATCTTCCTATCTTGTGCAGCGCACGACAAATGAATGGCAGTCCAAGGTCAACATAGACTCATACTTCAGCTGGGTTCCGCAAACATCCGGCAGTGATATTCCTGCATGGCAAATGATGCGATGGAACCTGCCAGTGTGTGATCTTGCAGAGTATGGCGTTGAGGAAGAGTGTGGCTCTGGGCTTTTATGGGATGTGGTATGGCTTGACCTTCCCGTTTTCGAACAGGCCGAATTGCTAATATACCTGTTTAGTGCATGTACTCCATTATCAAAGAGGTTTGTGGGAGGAGAGATGGATGGCCAAAGGATTATGATTTCATCAGTGGTCTCACCGGTCGTCCCCTACCTCACAAAGAAGAAGGAACTCCTTATTCCAAGCCTCTCTCACCTGCTGAAGCCGTCCAATTGCTTATGGGCTAAATCTGCGATATTGAGTTAGAGAATTGCTTTGCATGGCTTACCTTTGTCCTTCTGGAATACCACTGTATAACAATCGTGGTCTAACATTTTTTAATATATCATTCTTTGCAGTACTTGTCATACAACCTGCACCCAGGCTCAATATATATCTCCACCAGCGGTGATGATGGTAAGGTACGTACCTGCAGCATGTACGGGAAACGGGTCAACAAGCCTGCATTATGCTGCGTCCCATATCACATCCTCTTCGTCAACTTCCGGAGAACATATTTTTCTGTATTCGGGACACCCGAATCTATCGATTGCTATCCTGATTCATCACGGTCAGGGATGGCGTAGAGACCCACCGCCAAGAAGGCCGTGCAAGTGCTAATACACAATAAGGTAAGATTTTCTCCACTACCAGTAACATCAGGGAAGTTTACGAGTCAGACTGCAATATGGCAAGGCTCAAGGCTGACAGGGTGAGATTTTGTCGATCGCAATCCCTCCTCGGTCGAACTGTGAGGAAAAGGATCTGCTTGGAGGTCCATGAGTGGAAGTTCAGTGCGCCCCGATTAGCACAACCTGAAAGGCTATTCAGGGCTAACGTGATAAATTAAACAAACGGACACTCCGATTTGAAGACCGTTTTGCAAAACGAGAGGCTCACAGTTCCACTTTGGGGCCAACACTCCCCGATGCGGATGCCCTAGACATTAGCGCTGGTTAGCTGCATGCCCTAGAGGTCCTCTAATCTTTGGTGAGATGAATTACCGAGCTGATTAAGAATGGCAAATAATCCCCTTGTCTTCCCCACCTGCGTTCTGCTTTTTTTCTACCCAACTGAACATGCCAACGGTGCAGTCGATATCCGGGATGCACTGACGTGGGATTTAGATACCGCCAGAGTGTTTTCTAGATGAACAAGCTCGGCCAACAGTAAAACCCACATCATGTCAGCCATGTTTCGTCTTCTACCACTATTAGCTTTGATCACAGCATCGGTCGCGGTGGACTCTGATGCGACCTGCTACTTTGTCAACGGCAATATCGCCACGGCCGACGTTCCCTGCAATACGAGCGCAGAGATAACCACCTGCTGCAACAAGAATGACATATGTCTCTCGAACGGCCTCTGCTACCTCCAGAGCTCGGGGAATCATCCGGTCATGTCAAGAGGTAGCTGCACGGACCAAAATTGGGGTGGTGCGTGCAAAAGTGCCGAGCCTTGTGGTACGTTGCTCCTCGACTTGTTTGACTTCTGTCGGCCACCATCGTGGGAAGCGTATACTAAAATGGGTTGACTTGTAGCGCGCTGGGACCAAGGCACGGGGTACCGGGTTGTCAATGCCATCGATGACCAATACTGTTGTGGAAACGTCGTGAGTATCGACAACAACTCGATTGAATGTGCCGTCGATCGTGCCTTTACAGTCCCCATCGGAACCGTGATGCCAGGCGTCGCAGCGTTAGCCAACTACACCAAAAGCAGCACGAGCAGCAGCTCTTCTTCAGCCTCATCCTCGGGCAACAGTAGCAGCGACGCTTCAGGAGGTACCTCGGGAGACAACAACGATCAGTCGACACGACTCGCCCTCGGATTGGGTTTGGGCATTCCCCTTGGTCTAATCGCCGGCTCGGCATTGATTTGGGGAGCATGGGAGCGGAAACAGAGGTCAGCTTCAATGAGAGAGCTAGAGGGATTAAAGGCGAGCTTTGCTGCGACCAGTGCCCCAGGTGGAATGGCCTACAATCATCACTACGGCCACGCTTATGCTCAGGTCCCTGCAGCGCCACCCACCGAAATGGGTCAATCCCCAGTCCTGCCATCCGAGCTTGACTCCACCGGGGCCAAGGATATGCCTAGAAGGTAGGATATGCGTATTGTATAGAGTAGAGTTTATAGTCACTGTCATGCTGCTCGCATTCTCGTCCAGGTGTAGAGCCCATCTCCCCATGTTTAGAAATTTCCATCCCTTTAGTTTACGTCGGACACATTGCTAGGATGTTCCAAGTGAGTCACAGCGTGTCCGACCGGTACATCACCATGTACTGGAGTCTGGGACAAATACACGTCATACGCTCTTGATTCAAAGGGAGGTGAAAGGGAGGACATGTATGTATGTAGTGTACTTTCAAAGTAGTGACCATATTAAAATTCTTTAGAATCATGACGAGATATGGCTGGAAATATACCAAAGATCTTCTCTCTCGCCAAAGTAATCCTCGTGATATATGGATACATCAACTACTGCCAATTCCCTATATCTATATGCACTATCTTCTAGGCAGCCATGCGCTCGACACGAAGCTGCAACTCCTTGACCAAATCTATCCCAACCTTGGTAGACGCATCCAGGTTCTCCTCCGGCAGCCCAAGCAGCTCATTCTGCCCCTTGGCTGAGAGATCACTGGGATCATCTGGGTAAAACGCCCTGGCGTACAGCATCTTGCTAAAGCCAGCCATATTACCCACTTTCACCTGCGCCAGACCATCCTCGTATCGCTTCTTGGTATCCACGTGGGTAATCGTCCAGTCGCCGTCGGTGGTGCCAGTGACACGCTTGACGCTCTCAAACATGTCGTTTTGGCTAACCACAAAGCTCGTAATGTACACGCCCTGGTTGAGGAACGTGGACAGAGTCAGGCTGTTATCATTTTCGTCCTGGGGAAGCTCATTGAGACTCAGGACCTTGGCCACAGCGCGCCCAACCTGCGATAACGTCGACGTCGAGTTCTTGGTGTTACCATCGTCATAGATTGTCAAGGACCGCTTGTCAAAATCGAAGCCAAAGCGCGAATCTCCGCCCGCCAAACTGTAATCGTACCAGAACCCACAACACACTGTGATCCACTGCATCCCGAGCCTCTCAATCTCGTCTCTATTGGCCTTGGCGACGGGCCCCAGCATTGTGTCTTCGCCGAGCTTCGTGTTGCCAATGTCGCCGCCATACCCGTTCGGCATGATATAGGGAATACCGGCCTTGGCGGCCGCCTGGACAAGCTTGCTGTGGGAGTCCCGGGGAGCGGTAGGGGCCATGGTTATGATCAAAAATTGCTGACCGTTGAGGGCGGCCACCATGCTGGCCTCATCATTGTAGTCGATTGAGGCGACGAGGACGCCCTCGGGGAGTCTGTTCCCGCTGCCTTTGCGAGTAAGGGCCGTGACTGTGTGCCTTCCGGTCTGTAAAAGGGCGTTGGCAATATGCCACCCAATGGTACCTCCAGCCTAAATGCGTTGTTTAGTTTAGTTTCGTACGTGGGGTCACCGAGGGGTTTACTTACGCCGACAATCGCGACTCTTTCGATGGTGTTTTTGAAGTCGACGGACTGGTCTTTGGCGTACTTGGGCATCGTGGTTGGGTTGATGGTTGAGAATGTCTGGATCGCTGCTATTATGGTCAGACGAGGCGTTCAAGGTGTTTAGGCTTGTGAGATAGTGGTAAATGCCTGGCTATCCCTATGCAGAGTAGGGCATGCCCGTCTATTTATACATTTCAGACCCAGTGTTCAGTGCAGCAGTTCTATGAGGTTATCTCCATCGCAGCCTTGTCATATCTGACTGTACGCAAACGTCTCGGTCAAAAGACCTCCACATGCTCCAGTATATCCGACTTGATTCGCTCGGAGATAAGAGGACTCGGGGCGAAGGAGCCATAGCAGCCGACGCCAGCCATATTACACACGGCGATAGGCAGAGACTGGTAGTAAGCCCGCGCTTCTCCGCCGCAGCCGCATGAGCGGGTCAGATAACTCTGCCTCATAGGGTGGTGCGGCGTTAGAAGATTAATCCCTCAATGGCCGCACGTAAAGCCGCACAATGTGCATGGCGTTGATGGTTCAGTGATGGAGCTCCAAGCATGCTCTCAGCCTCGTTGAATAAGAGGGGTTAAAACTCCTGCCAGGAGCACAAATATATATATACTCTATTGCTTCTCGCGGTGAGGCATCATATCTACGTGCCCTCTATCCGAGACTCCCTTACATACTCTCCGGGGAATCCAAAAACTTGGTAAAAGAAATAGCTTCGTTGCAGTAAGTCTTCTTTCCAAGATTCTATATGTATCATATTATTATAACTACAAGGCTCAGCTTTCCGGCGTGATTACAACTGGATGTCGGGACCGAGCATAGATATATATGGCTCGATAAAGAACTGATCCCACTCCACTTCCCAATCCATATCTGGCACAGCAGTGTTAGCCTCAGAGGCCGACGGTGTCTGAAAGAATTCATAGCCCGCCTCGATAGCTTCTAGCTGAGCAAGTTCTTTTCGCTTCTTTGCCATACGAAGGCTGAGGAGGTGCCGCGCGATCGACAATGCCTCCCGCGTTAGTGCTGTATCGGCAGCCTTGACAAGGTTCTCCAAGCCCTTCAATGCGGTGCCGATGTGGGTGGTGGCCACGGGCGTGTCAATGGCCAGCAGGATGCAGGTATACTGGAAGACGCTGCCGATGACGTTCCAGAACAGACGGCCCTGGCTAGCTTGCTGCTCGGCCGCCTCCACTGCGGCGTTGCCACTATCAATGACAAACTTAATGAGATCGTCTGGTATGCGGGTCTTGAGCTGGTACAGTCGTCGATAGAAGCAAAATGCAATGTCCGCCTTCGTCACCAACAGGAACGGATGGGTAAATTGTGGCTCATTCAGTGCCTTGAGACGCTCAAGTAGCTCTTCACTCGGATTGGGAGGGCGCAGTTCGAGCTGGAACGGAGAATTGGGCGATGGGATGATCTGGATCAGCTGTACGAACTGATCGGCAACACACCCAGGTATCGAGATGATAGACTGGCAAGTCACGGCCCGAAATCCTACAGGTGAACGATCGTACTCATAGGACAGCATGTTATGCCCGGCCCACGAGATCCAGAAAATTCTCCTCAGCCGGTCCGCGTCATGTCCAACGACAGCAGCGCCAGCGATGGACGCTATTTTCTTGATATTCTCTTCCTCATGTAGCCCGATCGCCTCACAGAGGTGCATCTGCGTGCACGAAGCGATCCAAGCATTGCTGGGGCGGGTCGTTGCGCGTAGGTAAAGCACTCGCATGCCCCATGCGACGATGTGGTCGATATCATGCAAGCGCATGGAGGCCGGATCATCGAGAATCGCTTTCGCATATTGCACCAGGTCAGACTCCCGCGGGTGTCCATTAGGAGATAGGAACGATCCCAGAGCAGCGATACCAGCAGCCACGGCGGCAAATGCGGCGTTGTTGCTGCCAGAACTACGGTAATAGTCCCGACATCGCTGCGTGTAGATCCTTGGGTCCATCACGTCCATGATGGGGCCCAATACCGAGAAGAACGCATCCGAGAAAAAACTAAGGTCTTCCTCCGAGATGAGACTTCCCAGAAAGCAGTGAGCACCGGATGCCTCCTCCGGGCGAATGCCAAAATTATAAGCGAACGACCGCATCTTTGGAGGGTTGTCGGAACCGAGAGCCACACCCAGGATGTGCGGGAATGCCATGGACGCCGATGCCCCGGCGTATCTGAACTTCAGCTCGTCAAAGATTCCCGGGGATGCACCGGCCACGACGGTGGGACTCTTGGCCAACGAGTCATCGCCATAGTGATGTGCTCGCCGCATATGGGTCCTACTCAGACGACTTGTACCGTCGAGACTGACACGCTTGGCTGGAGGCGGAATATGCACGCCGCCGTCCATAGAACCACTGGTATTATTCTCGGCATAGCTGCAGTTGTATCTGTAGGTGGTGCACATGCCACAAGGATATACGTTGTCGCATTTTCGCTTGCGCTGATGGCATGGGATACATGCCTTCCTCGCACGCTTGCGCTTGGCGGTTGTCGTCGACATGACTGGCAACAAGTTATGGGCCTTAACGCTCACCGCTGTGCAGTAGAACTGTAATAGTGTTAACCTTCTACCCAACGCTTCGGGGCAGTGCTGACACGCTTGCTGTATAGGTTACTTCCTGGTAGTTAGCGATTGGGTGCATATATTGCTTAACCATGGCTCGTGGTGTACGATATTTGGAGGCTGGGGCCAACAGCCCTGGGCTAGCTCAAAGCGGCTAGCGTACCTCTATGCTCACATATTCAATGAGCTGCTTAGGTGCATATCCTGGCGCCAAGACGTTATTGCTTCAATTTCACTACGTAGGGCCATAGGCTGCTACGGAATCGGGAATTGGCAAACGACCTCCCCCTCTGTCAACAAGGTTAACAAAACGTCCAGTAATACATTGTCATAGCTACCGATGTCATGGATAGATCTTTTATGGTGTTGCTATTGTTTCTCTTCTCTGGACTATATAACTCTGAATTGCGAATTTGCTTGGCGCCATCGTGATGATATCTGCATACCCAGCAGGATTGTGAGTTACTAACCCTAGATGCTTTGATATTATCAAGTACTTGGGCTTTATTCCTTTCCTTGAGGTGTTGTAAGTCTGCAATAAATCTCTGGAACTCGCAGTGCTGGAATAATTTTCATCGTTCTTGACTGACTGAAGTCGGATATGGGATATCGGATGCCGGGGCTCGGTTGAACTATATCGTCTACTCGTACTTGGCGGAGGGGCTCGAGATCTGCCAATCCATCACTGTCAAAAGGCCGGTCGATGTACAAGGTACTATCTTCCAAAATAGAATGCAAAATCGATAATTCTAACTTGCCTCCTCACTGATCGATTTCGCCATGGCATCCCAAAAAAAACTCACTGACGCCCAACAAGCCTATGATGAACAGATTGAGGATGTTTCATATGACCCAATATCTCAAAAGCAACAACAGGGTTATCATGCATCGACACCTCAAGATACCAAGTTGGATCGCCAGCTCAACCTGAAGCTTGACTGCGTCATTGTCTCTATATTAACAGTGGGCTTCTTGGTATGGTCTTCCGTTCATATCGCGTCTGTATTTTGATATCACAGTTGCTCACGGTTCTGCCATTAGCTCCAAGCAGTAGACAAGTCGAACATAAGCAACGCTGCGACCACGGAAAGTATGTGAAATCCGAGCATTTCAATGCTCCTCTTCTTCTTCCGCTGAGATACAAAGAAAGATTCCCTAACAGTCAAGTGCAGCGTTCAGCCAGGACTTGCATCTCAAGCACAATGACGTGCCGAATGCCGTATCTCTCTATGCCGCTACTTTCATCCCATGTATGCCTATCTCCGTCATGCTGGGGAGAATTGTGGGGCCTCGTCTGTGGCTACCGTTCATCATGGTAGCCTGGGGCGTGGTGACAATCACTCAGGCTGTCATGAAAAACCGTGCACAGATGATGGCCCTCCGCTTGCTTCTCGGTGTCTTCGAGGCTGGATATGTTCCCACCGCATACTACTATATCGGCACATTGTATCCTGCATACCACGCCGGACTTCGGATGGGGATGTTGGCCCTGAGCTTTGCGTTCTCGGGGGCATTTGCTGGTCTGATTGCCTATGGATGCTTCCAGATCCGGTCGACACAGTGGAAGGACTGGGAGTTACTTTTCCTTGTCGAAGGAAGTGTCACTATATTTGTCGCTGTCCTGGCGCTGGCAATGCTACCGAACAAACTGAGAACAGCCTGGTTTTTGAATGAAGGGGAGCGAGCACATGCGATCCGTCGCATGGCTACTGATAGAGGGGCACACGAAGACATGGCAGAAGCCAATGCTGAGGAATCTGATCATCGCCTCACCACGAAGGATATCGTCAAGGCTCTGAAGGACTGGAAGAAAGTCCTTATCATTGTGTGCAACCTGTGTGCCACTACGCCTGCGTATGGCTTTGCCATCTTCCTACCTCTGATGGTCAAGGGAATGGGTTATGAATCCATTAAGGCAAATTTGATGACAGTCCCCCCGTTCATGGTGTAAGTGAGGCTCTGGGAAATAAGCTGATCACCGAGCTAACCGCAGGCAGGGGTGGTGTAGGCCTTTTAACCATTGTCTGGCTCTCGGACCGCTTCCACGAGCGCTCCGGGTTTGCCATTTTATCGATGTTGATCTCGATTGTTGGGTACATTGTCCTCATCGCCAGTAAAAGCAACAAGGTTCGCTACGGGTTCCTCCATGTTGCGCTGATCGGCTCGGGCACTGCAAACCCGCTGATTGCTGCATGGTTGACGGACAATACACCAGACCATGCCACACGTGCAGTCACGATGGGTTTATTCGGGCTAACTAATATATCTGCAGTCATTGCCGGGCAGATATTCAGAGAGAGTTATGCACCATCGTATCGGATATCCGTGATCGCTGTTTTGATTATCGTGGCAGTGGGATTACTTGGGTTCGCGGCGATTCGTGGGTTGTATATGCTAGAGAACCGCAGGCGCAAGAAGGAGACAGAAAATTGGACCGCTGAGGAATATGAGGCGGAGAGACTTAATTCGCGGCGCATTGGCCATGAAAAGAAATACTTTGTGCTTAGATACTAGGAGAGGAAGCGGACTAGTATCCCAGAAACTTCAATTGACACACTTTGATCAAGGTTCCTAGGGTTGCACGTGTCATTAGACAATTGCTAATGGGCATGTAGTTCCATCTACGCATCTTTAGAAAACATGATTTCTACATTTTATGAGGATCAATAAGGTCCCGTCTCAATTCTAGGAGACGGTCTTTTGTTCTTATCATGGGAAATATGCCAAGAGCTACAGGGTATCCTTCATGAGACGAATTCAAAGTAATACAGTCAAATTGCAAACAGTATACTTCTAATCCAAATTCTCCCCAGTAGCTCTAAGATCTTCCTGTGGCCGGGGATAAAACTTCATGGGGCAAGTAGTCAGGCCGATCTCTGGTAGCCGGGCATAATGTATCTCCCCATCGACCTCAAAGTCGACCGTATTATCCAACAATGTCTCGAGGTAGATTCGCAGCATCATGCGTGCTAGTACCATCCCGGCACAGCGGTGCCTACCGTGACCGAATCCAAGATGTGTCGAGATATTGTCTCTGTGCATAATGAACTCATCCGGATGTGGAAACTGATCCGGGTCGCGGTTCGCAGCCGCATAAACGACCGTGATCGGCTGGCACATTGAGTCAGATTATATCTTGTTGATGATATCTAAGAAGGTAGAAACATACCTCATCGGTAGGAACCTTGTTACCCGAAATTTCCACTTCGTGCAAAGCTGTTCGGGAGAATCCACGGTACGGAACATACAATCGAATGAACTCCTCAATGGCCGCTGGTAGAAGCTTGTTGTCGTTACGAAGTCTATTTTGTAGCTCCTTGTCCTTGCTCAGATGGTTTGTCATGGAGGAAATGATGATGCTTGGAGCAACCATTGCAACGATCAATATCTGGCGAATGCAGCCGCTGGGGTTTGTCAGCCCAAATGCAATGCAGAATGACTCTCTCAATCAACTTACACTAAGTTGTGATCATCCAAAGGATTGCCATCATGATCCCTCTCGATCAGCAAACTCGACGCAGGATCTTCTTCCGGATCAAGCAGTTTATCTTTCCGCGATGCAATGACGCGCCTAGCAATCTCATAGAACATATCACTGGACGATTTGACTAGGGCCCAGTCCTGTGTCCGCCAGGCCGTCACAAATGGAGTGATTGCGCTGGAGAGTAGCTTCGAATCCGGCTCGTCGAGATTGAGCCACTCCTTTTCCACCCAACCGGAAAACTGCGCACCAAATTCCTCATATATGTCCCCATGACCTTGTTGGATTAAGCGGCCAAGCTCCCGCTCCGCATGGCTTCTCAGGACTGGTTCCAACCTTCTCAAACGAGCAGGCTTAAGGGTTCGATCTACAGCGGTGCGGTAGGGGGCGTGCTGCTCGCCATCGAACTTGAGCGGAGGTCGTCGGATTCCCCGGGGATCTGCGGGCACAACAGCGCACTTTGCTGAGATGAACTTGGAATTGTCCGAGGCGGTGGCCTTGACATCGGCATATCTGTCTTGCGGTTCAGTATGCAGTCCACTCGAGCTAGGTTTGGCAAGGGGTGATAATCAGACTTAGTCAGGATCCAATACCCGCCGTGTGCATCCACATGAGCCACCGGGCATGTCGAGCGCAAATGAGCATATTCCCGGTAGATTTTCTCCGGGTCGTCACTATGAACTAGGTGGCCTTTATTGACGTCCCAGTTCGTGGGGAATTCAGTATCGGCAGCAGCCATATTCTTGTCTTGGCTTGTGTCCAGATGTATTGTCGGAGTTATGTCTTTGTGGTTATCCTAGTGCAATCCAGATTTGGAGAGATTTATATGATCATGGTCAATCTCCATGGCAGCCATGGTCCACCCACGCACTTGCCGGATGTCGAATGTCGGATGTCGGCTATCGGAAAGCGGAAATTAGAGGCTTGTATCTCAACCTACCTGATATACTTGGGACAATGTGCCGGGTGGGTCTTCTGTACAAGCGGGAAACGTGCGGGGAACAGGGCTTCCCCACATTTTGCCCCAGTTCGTCTGCAGCGCCTGCGCAGGATCAGGCCGTTGTTGACCTTATCCACCGCCAAACAGACCGGACCGAGAAATAGCACCCCTAGTAGGAGAGGATTCCATACCGCAAGCAATGTCGTCCATGAAAAGGAAGTTCTACGAGAGGGTCAGTCAGGCCTGCGACATGTGTCGCAGGAAGAAGATGAAGTGTAATCAAAAGCTCCCGTGCCAAACATGCAAAGGTAAGATCAGCACCACCACCGTATGGGGCTAGATGCAGTGGGCTGACACTCTTAGATCGTGGCTTTCATTGTGTATATTCAGAGAGGAAGTCACGACGAACCAATTCGTCTCGACCGCTTGGGGATGCCTGTCGGTTGGACGAGCCGCCCCCAGCCGACATCCGCTCCCATGATCGGTCCGAAGGAGCGAGACCGAGTGAGATCGCCTCTGATGCAGTACAGACAAGCGCGAGGATAACACCCAGTAACATACGGGAAGTAAACCAAGAAGGGGTGGAAGGGAAGAATACGCACACGACCGGAACCGAGTTCTATGGCAACAGCTCTAACTTTGCCCTGCTGAGCCAGCTCTTTGCTACGGCCAGAAAGCTCTCTGGAGATTACGTAGATATGCCGAGGAATGCAGTTCAAACCCCATTATCAGTTGTGGATATGCTCTACGACGATCAGTCCACCATCCCTGATTCAGCTCCACCGGCCCCGGTCACAGCGGCGGGAAGGACGTCTCAACTTCCTAAGGCCCCCGAGGCCGTGTCTATCGGAAAGGAATCGCCGCCGGTCACGAAATCGACGGGTACCGGTCGAGATGTCACGGTGGGACTGGGACAATCGGGCGTTTGGGATTGCTTCATTGGCAGTCCGATGAGGCTAGAGATGGAGTACGTCAATCTCTTCTTCGATAATATCCATAACTCGCTGCCATTCTTGGAAAGGAAGTCCTTCATTCAACGATGTGAGCAGGACGTCTGGGTGCAGAGCACAGTCAAGCAGCTGCGGCGAGATCAAATGCACCTCTTTGCTCTTTACAATGCAGTGCTAGCAGTAGTGGCGCTAACTGCCAGTCCTGATGCCTTTCTTTCGCTACGGACTGAGCTTGAAGTTAGTCTGACTGAACGCTCAGCAACTAGACCCCCAAGAGACATCCCTTCCTCTATCTTCCTTTCCAAAATCTACTTTCGCAGAGCGCGTCAGCTGCTAGGAGACGTTTTTGAGGTCTGTTCCATTGAAAGCGCCCAGGCCCTTCTATTACTATCCATATATTGTCAACATGCGCCCAAGCCACATGCCTGCTATATGTACAGTGGTATGGCTGTGCGAACTGCACTTGCGATCGGCATTTCTCGCGATGATCGATCCCATTCTGATTATCACAATTTGGCCAGGGCCCGAACCTGGTGGGCTATTTACTACCAGGATGTCGAAGCATCCTGTCTATCTAGAAGATCCAGTACATTGGCAGGGCCAAATGAATACGGGCTGTCCTACAACCGCATGTCAGGAGAGCTCGCTTCATCCACCTCTCAAAATCATCCAGGCGGGGATGGAAGTGAAGGCGCGCTTGTGACTGTCTTAGCTGACCTCTCGGCGATATTACAATGCGCATCCAAGCGTTTATACCATTCCTCGAGCGCACTCTCACCGGAGCGGATGTCACAGTTGGCAACCACATTGGACCAGGATTTGCTTTGTTGGAAGCTCCATTTGCCAAAGCATCTTGATCTTGATCTTGACACCTTCACCGAGAATGAGTGGGTGAGCAAACAAAAGTTGATCTTGCAACTACGTTTTCATCACGCACAGATGTTCATTCACCGACCCTATCTGTCCATAGCAAGCAGCGATATCCAAGTCGACCACAGGCACATCTGCCTGGAGGCCGCTCAGAAGACAATCACTCTAGCGTATGATGCCTATCAGCATCGCCATTACTTCCGAACATGGTGGTACAACACCTTCTATGTTCTCTATGCCAGTCTGATTATTCTCCATACCATTCTTCTGGGATACTCACAACCCTCAGTCGAGACACGTATTCAAGACGTGCAAAAGGCCGTGAAAATCCTGGAGTCCATGAAAACACTGAAAGTAGCCCAACGATGCGCCGACGTGATAACTGAAATCCTCCACGTCTGCAAATTCTCTCTCGAGCGGGCTACGAGAGAGCATGAGGCGCCGAATATCCCCATAGGCTGGGCTACAGGAACTCATCATTCCCGTGTCCCAATCTCTGAGGGCAGCTTGCGACGTGAGGCTCTATCTCAAATGCCGAACCCTGATCAGGAAGTCATGCATCTTGACTCAGCATGTACTAACGTTTTCTCAACACACGATGATCTTCTCACATTTCTGGGAGATCCAGCACCATTGGAATGTTTTGCACTCGGCGTGGGGAGTTGTAGCCCCATGGACTTTGACTATTCGGCTGTTTCTATGTAAATAACTCATTTCATATAATAATAACCCGCCCTTGACATAACAGCAAAAGGCGCTCTCGCGCAAGACAGTCGGAAGAGTAGGAAATTGATTTTATTGCTTGGATCGAGTATTTTGGACACCATAGTAGATTCATAGCCAGCATAGGGCCTCCGGTGGCCCTCCATTTCCACGTATATCCATCTGTGGGATACTCCTCTTTGTGTCGATCTATATGGTATGAGCTCCTACTGGACAGTGGCTTGGACCTAGCTGCATGATATTCACATCCCGACTTCCGAGTCTTCTTGCTCAAGCGATCCGAGCGGAAGAAAGCGTGGAGCCGCCATTTCTGCATCCGCCATCCGGACAATCATGCATAAAGTGAAATCACGGACTGCGTCGTATACATCCAGACAGCCATTTTATTCGGGATTCGGCTCTGTTGGGTCCAACTCTGTACACTTTGTTGTATTTGGGGATATACCTTCCACCAACTCTATACGCGAATTAAGCTATTCCACCACGAACTTGCAATCCGCATGATGCGTCTAGTCTTGCTTCATTTTCTCATATACTATATTGTGCAGATCATTGCATTAGGAGATAGCCAATATGAATCACAGCCCATGGTGACAGTGAAGAATGGCACTATCCTTGGAAGTAAGAATAACCCGGAAGGAATCCAGCGATTCCTGGGCATTCCCTATGCACAACCACCGATAGGACCGTTGCGACTGCGGCAGGCAGTGCCGCTTAACGCATCCTTTGGGACACTGAACGCAACTACTATGAGTCCAGCGTGCTATGGCAAGTCCAACTCGAAGTACCAACAGAGCGAGGATTGTCTTACATTGAATGTCTGGCAGCCTGATGAAGTGGGAAAGAACGCGTCTTCTCCACTGGTGCCAGTCTTGGTATGGCTCTATGGGGGTGGGCTCACAGGCGGATATATAGTAAGTCAACATACCACGGTGCATCGATAGTGGCCACCACACTTTTCTAACGAAAATGTAGGGGGACCCACGATTTGATGGAGCCAATATCGTCGCGCTATCCGCCCAAATCAAAAAGCCAGTCATATTTGTCTCGATTGTAGGTGTCTTTCCACCAACAACTGGCTTAATTCTAGCATGACCTAACAGGTGAGGTGGCGCAGAACTATCGCCTTGCATCCCTAGGGTTCTTAAACGGACGCCAGATGGCGGAGCTCGGTCTGCTGAACATCGGCATGCTGGATCAGCGACGGGCATTGCATTGGCTACAGGAAAACATTGCTTTCTTTGGTGGCGATCCCAAGAAAGGTAGTATCCTGGTGTGTCCCTCTTCGCAGGTTACGGATCTATGATAACGAACCCCAAGTAACGCTGTTCGGAGAGTCGTAAGTCTGTTTGATTTTGGCCTGCACAAGGCAAGATATGACTAAACCTAGTCTCGGTCCAGAGCTGGAGCCGTTTCCATCTATTCGCATATGATGGCCTATGGTGGCCGTGATGACGGCCTATTTCGGGGGGCCATTCTAGAGAGTGGCGGAGCGTTTCCCCTCACGCTGCCAAATACGACTTCATTCCAGCAGACTTTCGATAGTTTGATCACAAATACCTCCTGCTCCACGTTGACTGGATCGACTGCAGCTGAACAGTTAGACTGTATCAGGGCCCTGCCAATTGACACGTTCCTTTCAAGCGTTGGCGACGCAACGGGCCAGTCGATTGACGGAAGCTTCACGACTACATCTGTGCAGTTTGCGTTTCCCGCAGGGGAATATGTAAAGGTGGCTACTATTGTAGGGAGTGAGTCCTCCCGACTTGAAGGATATCTCCATTGCTCTTGTCATTACTGATATTGGAAGCCAATACTGACGAGGGGACAACTTCGGCTCCAACTGGAATCGACTCCATGGATGAATTGATGGACCCCTTAGGTGAGCCCATACCCCCATTACTTACAGGCCTATAGTCCTCCAGCACTAACATCGTTCCGGTTAGCTGATGGTTACTTTCGGCCAGAACGTCTGCCCGACTCCATGGTGAAAGATCTGCTAAGCCTTTACACTAATGATCCCCGGGAAGGATGTCCGTATAACACCGGGGACGTTATGTTAAGTTCAGGCATATTAGACAAGAAGGCTTGCTCGATATTTGGTGACATGGTGCAGATCGGTCCAGCAAGGATGATTGCCGAAGAACTTACAAAACACAACGGCGATAAGCCTGTATATCGCTATCGGTTCAACCAACTCCCGGCTAACAGTTCGGAACCATCAGCAGGGGTCACGACCGGAACGGAAATCCCTTATATTTTTTCCAATCTCATACCCGACGTTGCATGGGAAAGGGCACTCGCCTCAGAAATGACCAAAGCCTGGGTCTCCTTCGCATACGACTTGAACCCGAATGCTAATGAAGGTAAGTTAGTCATTGTACTGTCCTTCAACATTTCTCTACCCGTACCCTCCTGTGGCTGAGAAGAGGATAAGATACCGCGCTGCCTTTCTGGCCTGTATATGGCGAGAATAAATCGAGTATGGTTTTCAATGCCTATGGCTGCACAATCGAGCACGATACATACCGGCCTGGTCAAATATCCTACATCATTGGCCACGTCCTGCGTTACGGTGCTAGGTGAAAGTGATGATATTAACATGGAGCGTTGACATAACCAAAGGACTACATACTAGCTCCTAGTGACGCTATAATTCTGTGTGCGCCTTTACCATACATAACGTTACATCATAAGGGTCATAGCAATAGAATGAATACCATTTCGCTTGGTGTAGGCACGTGAAAGAGAAATAACTCTCGTATAGTAGTCCGATGGTGCCGTGGGATAGACCAACACTGTCAGGCGAGATTATTTGTGTCTCTTTTCTTCAAGGTGGATATCTCATGATTCTATAACAAGCATATCTAGGGTGGTTCTTCTTGCCTATCTAGGTCGAACATGAACAGTTACTTACAAGAGGCGAGCGAAACTTCTAAGTGATAAGGTTGTGAACTATTACCGTGAAAATCCCTTTCTCCTGACTATCAAGGTGTCTTGACTTAGAATTCCCGAAAACAAATAGCAAGTCTCGACACAAGGGCCAAACAAAGTCAAGCAATGGCCTTCAGATACCTCTCTACGTCATCTTTTTGCTCGGGATAAACGCAAAGAGCTTCTCCAAATTCTCGCTCTCCACTTCCTCCTATCCGTCCTTCTGTGCACCACCCTTGGTGAAAAAGCTGGCCGCCGTCTGGTTGCGTCTAAAAGTCCATTGCAGCCAGTCCACAGCAGCAACACCGAATGCTCCACCATTTTCATCGTGGTATGTTCCACTATGTCCCACGGGATAATTCCCAATCCATTTGGGAACCCCCTTAAGACTATGATAGTCCGCTTCACCCTATAAGACCTGTTGTCAGCTCGCCATTTGGACCTTACAGGGGCAAGCAGAAATTGGAAAATGTCGTACATTGGCATAGGCGATGTCAGAAGGTCCCCCCAAGAAGTAGAACACCGGTTTGTGAACTTCCTTAATAGTAGCTGGGGGCTCAGCCGCCTGCCCCCCGACAATGGGAATAAAAGTCTCATTTCCTAAGAAGCCCGAATTGAAGATACCCAAAATACTGATCTGGTCATTGCTTCGCATTCGATATGTCTCCAGCCCACCGCAGCTTTGACCTGCCGCTGCTATGAGTGTGGCATCAACCGAAGCATACCGGCCCGGTGTTCCTGCCCTAGCCGTGATCCATTCGACTGCATCCGCCATGAACTGTGCAGTGGTGGAGCCACTTCCATTTGGGGGACCGGATGCAAGGACTAAAAATCCATATGAAGCGATGTTAGTCAGAAACGGAACGTACTTCGTCCCATTGTTGTCACAACCACCCTCTGCCCAGACGAGGACTGGGAGGGATACGCCTGGGGGCACAGAGACAGGCAAGTAGATGGTGTGATTGGATAGACAAGCGTCGGTAAACCAATCCTAAGTCATGTTAGGTTTGTGTTTCATGTTGTCTGAGGCATATCAGCCAAAGCTCGACAGGGAGACCTACAGCTGGGTAGGGCCCACTGCCTGGACTTTCTATGTTGCCCAAGCTAGGAGTGCCTGTGGCAGGCAATGAAGTGGCTAGTGGCAATCCAGCTATTAGTAGCGATGAGATAGTTGAGAACCTCATGATGTATCAAATCGCCGATTGCACACCTCTTGCACCGATTGGGAAGGCTGGAATTTGTGCTTCTGGATTCCACGGATCACTCGTCTGGGCTCAGCTGCCCTTTATATTATTGATCTAATCATCGAGACATATTTATTTGATCATCTGAGAACCAATATATCACGCGTTATGTGCGCATAGGTGTGGAATCATTGGGTATCGAATCCTTGGATATGGCTCTCGGATGTCGGAAGAGTGAGTAGACAGCGATCGACACCTCGGGAAAACTTATATCGATATTATCGAAATAACGTTTTTTAGATTGCACGGCATTTAATGTCGGTAGATGTACAATTTATCATATTTTCCGTCCACTTCTGTTCTAGCCTTGCAGATCTCTTAAAGTGTCCTATTCAGACTGTCATTCCCCACATTACCCGTCCCTTACCCTAAAGTTTTGGTGGATTGGGTCAGAGCTTTAAAATGTATAGACGGCATATATTCTGCAAGTTCTCAGGCTGTTTCACTATGAATCCGTGACGCCTTGTTCAGACATCACGGTCACCACTCGGTTACAGGGCACTGCCTAGTGGATATTCTAGTTACCCTCCTTACTCCCCGTGCTCTCGGGCCTCCCCAGTGTTTAGGCCCAATAAGATCTCGAGCCGTTGTGGTGTTTAAGGCTGGGCAATCCCTTCTCCCCGTTGTTCATTTCCCAGTAAGACCCCTCATATCTTTGAGTAGTCCACATACTCACCTTCTAGCTTGTGGAAGTCTTGCTCATCGACAAGTCTGTGAATCAACAGACTCGGAGTAAACAACAGCAAGGTACCAGACTGGCACGATGTCGGCGGATATTGTTTCCACCCTCGACGCAATTCAGCCAAGCCAATTCACAGCACCAGCCGACCGCTTTGCTGCCAAAGAAGCAGCTCGTCGCCTTCTTGCCCGCCTTGAGACACCCTTTGAGCAAGGCTGGGCCATCGCCTTCGAGGGCCCCGGCCTCGTTGCCGGCCTTCAGCTGCTTCAAGACCTCGATATCTGGTTGAAATGGATTGAGGCCGATACACAAACTCCAGGCGCGGCACGGACGCTTGACACGCTTCTCGGCTGGGCTCATACAACCTGCGAGCCGAACCTGTTGCGTCGCTTTCTGAGGCACATCGCTGCCCTTCACGTGATCCAGGAAGTGGGCGTTGATACATGGCAGTCGACGCCCACCTCCTTGGCCCTGGGCGCCAAAGAGACGCATGTCGGCGAAATAATCAAGGCGGGGTACGTGTACAAGGCTAGCAATACCAGAACCTAGAATGTCCGGACGGGACTCATAGAAACTCACTCGTCATGCAGCTTGGATCATTCCATTCCCTGTGGCCGGAACCTTGCGCGTTTTCTGGCCACGAATGGCTACAAAGAGCCGCTTGACATTCCTTCCTTTGACAACTACCGCGATGTCTTCGGGCGGGACTTCTTTAGCTACGTCCAAGATCACCCCGAAGCAGGTGGCTCGTTCCAGGGCGTCATGACGGCGGTGACTCAATACAAGATGCTCTGGACGGACGTCTACGATACCCAGTCCCTTGTGGCCGGGGCTGACCTGACCAAGCCACTTTTCGTCGACGTGGGTGGCGCTCAAGGCCTCGACGCCCAACGCTTGCTCCACCGCCACCCCGAGCTCCCGCCCAATGTCCTCATTGTCCAAGACCTGCCTGAGGTGGTCACCACGCATGTCAAGGAGAGACTAGACAGCCGAATCCACAAGATGGCGCACGACTTCTTCCAACCGCAGCCCATTACCGGCGCGCGCGCGTATTTCTTCCACGCTGTGCCGCACGACTGGCCCAATGCCGACGTAGCGCGCATGTTTGCCGAGGTGAAGAAGGTCATGACGCCGGGGTACTCCAAGCTGCTAATCTACGAAATTGTGCTACCTGCACAGGGCGCGACGCATTTGATGACCCCGCTGGACCTGGCCTTGATGAGCTGTACCAGCGGGCTGGAAAGGACCCAGGACGCGTGGAGGGCGCTGTTGAAGGAGGGCGGGTTTAAGGTTACCAGCATCTCCCGGCACCCGGTGGCTGTGGAGGGCGTCATCGAGGCTGAGATTGAATAAGAGATGCACCATCATGGCGATTGTAGATAAATAACTGACACAACCTGGAAACCGTGCCTTAACATGCCTCGTCGAACATAAACAATGCTAGACCGAGTTCGGTAAGACATATGCTGACTCAACCCTACTAGATCTATTTCGGCCTAGTGGAAGGTACAACCGGGGCGGGTTAACTAAAGTCCGGCAGGTTCGGGGTGGGGGTTGAACCTCCCAAAATCCGACCCAGCGCCGGGTCGGGTCGAACCCGAACCCGCCCATGAAATGCCCAAGCAACAGTGCGGAGTAAATTCGGCATGAGAACAAAAAAACTACAGTTCATATAGTTCTAGCCAGGGGCTGCCGGCTCAGTCATTTATACAGTCGATAATGATGATGATGGTTCATCCACCGACCCCTCGCCTCAGGGCGATCTGGTGTACTGCCGTTATCTATCTTGACCCAGGTGCAATATATATCTTGTAGTCTTAGACTCCCTGAGACAAGTATTATCCTTGTTCAATACTCGATCGCCATAGATATCGAGTCACCAGAATAACGACAGAATTACGCAGTCACATTACTTTGTGAAGTGACATAGTGTAGTTGCTCCGAAGGGACACTGGTGTGCATTGTACAGCTTGAATGCTCTCAGGGCTGGGTTCAATTCCTGGATGTCCAAAACTTGAAACCTTCGAAATTCTCCCGGGAATCTCCCGTACGGCTTCTCATTGGTGCCCACACTGCGCTTGACCCAGGAGGGATTAGCGCATTCTGGGCGAGCTGCTTTCAATGGTCGAGAGTACTGAACGGCAGAAAAACAGACCGACGCCCCTACCGCTTTTTCATTTGTATTTCCAGCCTATCTTCCCGTTGTTTCTTCCTGCCACAGAATGAGCAGCCAGTTAAGCGAATTTCATAAATCTGTTGTTTCTCTATTTATCGTTTCCATAGTATTTGCCCTGCGTATAAGGGATCGTCAATTTGTTAGCAAGTCCGAGAAGACGATTATCAACTGGTGACCGACACAGGCAAGTGTGTCGCTCTGTTGAGACTCCCTGCAGCCAAGATCTGCTGTTGTCTGATTTGCCACTTCACCATTTCGTTGGATCCCATTGACGATGTGATTGACCGGCTGGTTGATCTGTGTCGACGGTCTCCATCCTCGTTGTCCCGTCGTCGTGGATCTTGTCCCAATCCCGTGACCAACCCTGCGAAAGCTGCTGTGCTTACGTGCAGCATGGCGACTCGGGATAACCATGGAGATATTCTCCGTCAGGTAGAATACTCAGGTGGTTCGGAAGAGAGAACAAGGATAGGGAGGTTCTGTTGAGGGGTTACCTGAAAGTTCTTTCCCCAAGACACTCTCTCTGTCCATACAGGGCAAGCTGCTTGAGTCTAGGGAACCGGGGGTGACAATCAGTTCTCTCGAACTGCCCCTACCTGGTCGGATCTAAGTTGTTGTCTATCAGATGGAAAGATTTCCTCACCGTTGTCCTATTCATTCTTCTGTTTCACAATGCAAATGAATCCAAAATAGGCGCTATGCTACGTTCAGTTCTCCGCGGTCGCCTGTCAAAGAAGACACGGAGTATATCCAGAATGTATTCAAGAAAAACAGAGAGCCTATAGCCTCGTGATGCTTCGAGATGACATGCTTTGCATTCTCATCCTCACCCAAGTTCTTATATTTTCCCCCAGATAATTCAACTTTATCGAATTAGCGCTCTTCAAGCGCATAACACAGCTGGCAGGCCTCATCAGGAACAATCCATTTGGCTGTAACTCGACACTGTTAATTTTAATCCCAAGTATAAAGCCCGGACGGACCTTCTCCGCGATGGCTGCACGGATCCCTAAAGTCAAACGCATACGATTGGCAAGACTGCCTCCATATTGGTCCGTTCGGAGATTCGTCGTTCGTGAGAGAAACTAGTTGAGTATATAGCCCTGAGCTGCATGCAATTCGATCCCATCATATCTGGCTCGACCCAGAAACTCGGCCGCGTGGGAAAACCCCGTAATTAGATTTTGAATCTCATCCTCGGCGGCAGGCCGAGGAACGGCAAAGTTATTCCCCTTATTCCGGTTATCCAGTGGCATATCGCTGGCACTGATCGGTTCTGGTTGACGGTGAGAAGGGCCCTGGCGCCCTGGATGGCTAATCTGTGCCAGGATTAAGGATCCATCTGCACGGGCAGCAGCAGCTAGATCCGCACACTGATGGAACCGTTCCCCAGAGAATGGAGCGTTAAGCGGGATTATCAGGTTTCCCTCGGCTTCGATATGGTTGGGGTCGGTCATGACATTCCCAGTCACAATTGCTCTTATGTTGCCTCGTCCCCAGGTACGATATGTCTCGATCAACTCACAGCTTGGTATCCCACGAGTGGCGGGTTTCTCTTCCGACCACGATCACAGCCTCTCATTCATGGCAGCCTTGAGGAAACGATTTAGGGTGGAGCGCCGGGCGAAGTGAAACTCCAAGGGCTGACCCAGCGGCGAAAGGTCGGCGGTTTGTCCGGCTCGAGCCATTGGGGGGGAATAGAATGTGCCAGGTACAAGAGATCGGTACAAAGTAAGCATCAATTTCTTCTACAGGTCTGTCTCTGGCTAATCAATATCTGCAGTACTCCTTAAAGGACGTTGATGGTATGAATAGTAGATAGGTTACTGTCTGTTAAAGCATCAAGGCTCCCCCTCGACGTCGAAACCAGTGTGTAAAAGGCCGCACTAGGATGCTGAGCTTGACATTTTGAAGAAGGAAGTATTGTGGTGGACCCTTCGACTGATTGATTCACCGCTTATAGCTGAAATCTCCGTTGAAACCCGACCGGGTAGTCTCGCGTTGCAGGGCCTAGTCGGGTACCAAGGGGCTTCGTATACCATCCGAATGCAATGAAATGTAAGAATATGGAACAGCTGCATAGGATTCCAAGCTCGGGGGTAGTCGAGACCTGTTCGTTTGATCCACTTTGTCTCTGAGCTGGACTATTCCTAAATTCTTTTTATACTACTTATATCCATGGATTAAGAAGCACTTGCAGCTTTTTCCATATCAGCTTGAACTGCTACTTCTCCCCAATACGACAAGGCCCTAGTACACGCTATCATAATTCTTTACAACTATATATTTGACCTTGGAGTTTTACCCAGTTACAAGGGACTTAACCCCCGCTGGGCTTTCTATGTTGCTGGAAACATGTCGAAATCTCAGCATTGCTTTTCGAATTCTGAGGGGCTGAGTGTTTCTAACAGAAGGGTGCGAATGTTCGGTCAGCGAAGGCAACATTGCCGAGAGCATATAAATTACGCGGAGGTGGGCATGAATGATGACAGGTCTAGTGGTTCATGGTTGAGAACGACACATTGCACAACTGAGATAAGTGTGAAAACATGGAATCGCATGTATCAGCAGTCGCTGGCAAACCAGACCCTCAGAAGGGACCATATCAAGCTACTCCTTGGAATATACAGCTCTCTGCAACGGACACACCAGGTTTCACTCATGTTGAAAACCTGGAGCAGAAAAGCGCAGACCGGGCCTCGGATCTAGTTATGAGCAATTACTCGAAGTTTCACACCTTTCATGACGAAATTGTGGGATTCCACAGTGAGTGTCCTGATTGAGACACAGCGGAGCCTCTACTGACCAGCGAACCAGACCACATTAGCCACCATGTTTTGACGCTGTGGGCCCTGGGAGCTACTCCCGACGAGATGCAAGCTGCGTATGACTTTAACAAGCCCTTTCAGCTTCTGACCTACTATAACGATCCCTCCGTCACCATTAAATTGCGTGATCCCGAGTTCTTTCGGCAAGGGCTAGGCAATTTCGAGCTATATGGAGACTATGTGCGCTTCTTCCAGGCTGAGGTGGCGGCGAAGGGTATCCCCACGGTCTTGAATGACTATCTTTTCAAGGGAGACACGTTGGCGGAGGATCTGCTAGCCCGACTGTGTGCAGGTATGAATGACCCCGATGTATAGCCGGCATCAGTTGTTAAGATCTTGTGTACAGGCTTTCTCCACCCATTGATCGATCTCGGATTTGCCTTGGAGTTTCAACAGCCATTTTTAGTGGCGGAATGTCTGGCTTCAACGTGTCTGCACCCATCATATCCTGCGGAGTTCCTCAACGCGACTGAGCAGCATTTGGAATGCAACGGACGACCGCAAAGTCTCCCAATCCTCTCCATTGTGGACGAGATGCGTCTAGACCCGGTGGTCTCTAAAGCGGTCGGGCCAGAAGATGGCAACAATCGAATGGCGGATGCACTGCTGAAACGAGCCCTGAAGGAGCTAATCCCTCACTTGTCCCACTTTCAGGTAAAACGAACGGAGGAGGATCTCGCGCGCAAGACGGCGGAGATGCTGCAAGCCTCGGCTTATATCTGTGGTGCGGCCCAGCATCCACGCAAAGTAGAAGCTCTCGACTTTGTTACGCTGCATACACTGACGGCCGCCGTATTCTTCCCCACCATTAATAGACAGGAATGGATGAGTATAGAGACACGAGCTCGGTTATTGGAGTGGAAAGTACGCTCCGACCTGGTCACCTATGCGGCCCTGGGATGCCCAAAGTTGTACCCAGATAGAATCACCAGGTACCAACCCAAGCAAGTGGCAACTGGGTGGCCTGACGTGGTGCGGCGCGCACGAGTTTACCAGGACGACGGACATACATGCAAGGTCATCCGGGCACTGATGTGCGCCGAAGATGTGTGCCAACCTTTCGAGGGAGAGGAAGGTTTCCCGCTGAAGAAGGCAGACTTTCTAACGCTGGCACACATGACAATGGATTCGGTCGAGCGCATGTTGGATCCAAATTGGGTGCGGCAAACCGAAAAGGTCAAGCAGATGTCGGCTCAAGGCCGCGGACAGCACTCACAGGTCTCTGCGATCATGTTACGGTGGGTGCGTTGGTGTGGAGATGAAGGAGCCTGGGATGATTTCCCAGATCTGGAGGAGCTCCCCCCTTCTACGTGATATGGATTGGCTGCAACTTGGGTGAATATATAGAGCTTAAGCCACTAGAGGCAGACCGGGACAATGGTCTCAATCATTAATCTGATGGATAGACCTGTACGACAAATGCGTGAATAGCCTACCATTCTAATGCATCCAAACTTGATTTCCTTCCACTAGTGGAACTTTATCTCTTGTTCAGCGGCTCGCAGCGCTGTACTTGTATGCGTACGGATGTTCGGAGAGCGAGATTCAGAATCCCCAACCTTGAACCGAATTTAATCATAGACTGCCATCTTCCCAGCGAGAGAATGATGAGTAGGCTCCTCTAACCTGTGGGATTATCCCCTTGCAGTACTCCCAGAGAAGACTACACAATTGCAATGCGTCGGTACGCCATCCTAGGGGCCACTGGCAACACCGGCCAGGCACTACTGAACGTCCTCCTGCAATCGCCCGACAACCAGATCCACGCCTACTGTCGGTCTGCTTCAAAGTTGAACCGATTGCATCCTGAGATCACTCAACACCGTCAGGTGAAAGTGTGGGAAGGGTCGCTGAAGGATGTCTCGCTACTATCTGAATGCATCCGAGGCACGCGAGCCGTCTTCATGGTAGTGGCAATTCCCGACAATATGCCACACTGTACCATCGCCCAGGACTGCACCAAAGCCGTGCTTAACGCTCTCAGAAAGCTCCAAGCAGAAGGGTGTCAGGCTCTACCCCAGTTAATTGTGCTATCTTCTGCTAGCCTCGAAGACTCTTTGTGCACCGACGTTCCACCCCTCATTCACCGAGTCCTCAACATAGCCGCTGGTAATCTCTACAGTGATCTTGAAAAGGCCGAGAAGGTCCTACGTGCTGAGAAGCATTGGGTTTCCACAACTTTCGTCAAACCTGGGGGACTCGTGCACGATGTGCAACGCGGTCACACTCTCAGCACAAAAACCGCGAAGACGCCGGTTTCCTTCCTTGATGTGGCAGCAGGGATGGTGGAGATTGCTAACGCGGACGATAAGAGATATGACATGATGAATGTGAGCGTCAATGCAATCGGAGATGGGACGGCGTTTCCGTGGAAAGGGGTATACTATGTGATGACTGGGCTGCTATTCCATTTCTTCCCTTGGACCTACAAGTATTTCGGGGATTGCCCCATGGCCCAGCCCAGGCCGAAGAAAGATCTCTAATAGAATATTTATGTGAAATATCTAAGGCTTTTAGACCTCGTGCAATGTAAACGGATCATCGCCAATTGCCATGGACCTCTAATCTATACACATAAGGCTATTACGCGAAACGAACAAATGCCCAGCCAAGCAGGACCACTGGAATCCATTTAACCGCCATTGCAGACCAGGACTTCGATCCCTTGCTGCTATGCAGCGCAGTGGGCGATTCATGACCCTTGAGTTGTTCCTGTAATGTCCGCGGATTGCCGCCCACCTCTTCGTACCTAGAGGTTACTGTCAGAAACTACACTGGAACCGCCGTCATGTTCGATTGATCCCCACCATTTAGGGTCGATCTCCTCTAGACCCAGATGTGGACTAACATCGGCTTCCTTGGGGCCTTTGCGGTCCTGGATCGACCACCCCATGCCCAAGCAGGCCCAGGGATTCTGATGGAAGGAGCGGATGTCGAAGTCTTCGTAGCGAGGCTGGTCGATGACTTGCTGGTAGTGCAGCGAAGAACCGGGCCAGATGGCATTGACCCGACCCGTCTCATTGTTCTTGTACCCTAAATGGCTCTTGTCAGTACGTTCAGTCGTGGCCGTTGAGACAGGAAACGTACAGCTTCGGCATTCATCTGTCCACACGGTATGCTTCACCCACTCCTGGACATGATCATTGAATTGATCCGTGCGATCCTGTCGCGGCACCCAGCTACGGAGATTCTCGTTCTGAGCCTTTTTAATCCACTGCATCACGTAGTTAGAGACGGCCTGCAGTGGCCCAATGACACTGCCATTTTGGATGGGCCACGTCGGGCCGATGAATGTGAAGAAGTTGGGCATTTCAGGCACGGCAAGACCCAGATACGAATTGGGGTACTCCTTCCACTTCTCCCTCAAGTCCACGCCGTCTCGGCCCACGATGGGGAAACGTGGCCGATAAGAGGCATCGAAGCCAGTGGCACATACTATCGTGTCGACCTGGCGCTCTACCCCATCACCACCCACCACACCCTTCTCTGTACAGCTTACCACGGGGGTGAAGTGTACATCGACGTTCTCCTTCTGAATCGCCTCCATGTAGGGGTCCCCGGGGGTGATGCGACGACAACCAAACGCAAAGGACGGGTCAAGCCCTTGCCGTAGCTGCTCATCCTTGATCAAGTTGGCGGTGCGCTGGCGGAAAAACGCCGACGCCATCATTTGCCCCTTGGATCCCGTGTAAAAGGCCCCCCAGGTGCCGTTGACCTGGTCTTCGATGGCCTTTGCATGGGCTACAAGCGCCGCTGGATTGCGCCGGAATTCGTCGCGCTCGGTAGGCGTGTATTCCTTGGTCTGGCTGCCAGTGTTGCCCGCTAGCACTCCGAACCACACGCCCGTCCGGACAAAGACATCGAGATGATTCACCGTGGGTTGCATCCCGGGTACCGTTTGGATGGAGGATGCTCCAGAGCCAATGACCGCTACTCGATCGTGCTTCCATTGCGACTCTTCATAGTCGTGGGGCCATCGTGCGGTATGGATCACTCGGCCTTGGAACCGGTCATGGAGGCCGGGGATTTGAGGCCACTGAGGATTATTGAATACCCCCGTCGCGTGAATCAAGACATGACAATGGTCCTCAAACTCTCGAGGTTCACTCTCGCCAGAGTGCTGTCGCAGTCGGACTGTCCATTCTCCGCGGCCTTCGTTCCAGTAGCAGCCCACCACCTCCGTGCGGAACACCATGTAGCGGCGAAGATCAAAGACTTTGCATACCCGGTCGAGGTAATTCCAGATATCAGGCGCATAAGAAAAGTACCGGGGCCAATCTGGATTCGGGGCAAATGGGTAGGTGTAGGCATGGCTCGGGACATCGCAACCGGCCATGGGGTAGCGGTTTTCCAACCAGGTACCACCCACATCCGCATTTTTCTCATATAAAACATGTTCAACATTAGCACATTGCTTCTGGATCTGATATGCCATTAGGATCCCCGAGATGCCGGTGCCGATGGTCACCACCCGCAACGGGCGGTTGGCCGGGTCCTTCCAGGTGAGATCTTGCGGGATTTCATACCCGGTCGAGCCAAGCTGAGAGTAGTCTATTTTTGACATCTTGTTCTGTTATGACCACTGTGACCTTTAGTGAGATCGAGAGCGTTATCTGGAGCGTGGCTAAAGCGATGGGACTCTCACCAAATACTTGCATTCGGCGAGCGACAAGTCCCCGACGGCCGAGACGGTGATTTCTTCGTTAACAAGGGTATATTGATGTCATTTCTTTTCATTAGTCTACAGTGCAGGTGAGTAGGAACTAAGCAGGTTAGTGTCTCGCGCTATCGCTACTGACAGAAAGCATTAGAGCGTAACAATAGAACGATCATCATAGCAAGTGTGCCTCAATCATACATAGAGTGAGGAAAACACCATATTACGCCGCATAATGAAAACGTGTAGCGCATATCCGACTGCAATAGCGTCATATACTAGGCAAAACGGTAATTAAAACAACAAAAAGATCAAAGGACAAGATTCCGGTGGGCGAGTCGGCTCTGGTTCCCCGTCCGGTGTCCGTACGAGCAGGGACCTTTTGTGCCTCAAGATATGTTAGACGATTTCGTCCCAGACAAACGACAGGTTAGATATTGCATATTTGTTCACCTCTATAGACTATGGCCAAAACTCCGTCCAGAGAGCTCATTCGCGCTATCGAGCAAGTTCCGTTCACCTGGTGGTTCCTCGCCGTGGGTGGTGCCTGGATTCTGAGCACAATTGTCAAGGTAAGTCGCAGTTCCGCAACTTCTGGATTGATAACTGGAAGAATGTGACTCTGAACTACTCAATAGATTCTTCAAACGGCATATTTCAGCCCCCTTCGCAAGGTTCCTGGTCCCTGGTATGCGCGCCTGACAAGTGCTCGGCTCGCCTGGGCATCATTTGCCAACAATCGGATTTATTATGTGCAATCGCTCCACGATAAGTATGGGCCTATTGTGCTCATCGGCCCCAAGGAGGTCGACATAGCCGATCCCGTGGCTGCTAAGCAAATCCACCGCATGGGGTCGGGGTTCGTTAAAGCCCCCTTTTACAAGCTGCTCTCTCCCGGTCCGGTTGATAACATCTTCAATTTCCGCGATGCCAAGCTTCACAGCAACCGACGCAAGCTGTACGCTAAAGGCTTCACTTTAAATAGTTTGCGGCAAGAGTGGGAGCCGACGATTCGCAACATTGTTGCGCTGACGGTTGAGAAAATCCGCCACGACGCGCAGCAGGGCGAAGCGGAAATCCTAGGCTGGTGGACTCTGATGGCCAACGAGACTGTGTGCAAATTAACGTTCAATGGCGGACATGATACGGTGCGCAATGGAACCAAGGATCCCTTCGTACTAATGCTGGAACGTCGCATGGGCGACCTGGCGCATCTGCTGCAGCATTTCACCCCACCGCTGTACTATCTAGGTCGTCTGCTTGCACACGGGGTGCCCCGGCTACACGACGTCTTCTTCTCACAGGAGATGATGTTTGAGGCAGGCAAGAGCGTCGTGGCAATTGCCCGTGGTGCGCGCGGTGGCGGGGGAGACCGGAATCTGTTCGTCAAAGCCCTGGCCGCAGGCGATTTGGAGAGCAAAATTGGCGGCCTCAATGACACGGAGATCATCACTGATGCCGGGGCATTGCTCCTGGCTGGCTCGGACCCCACGGCATTATCTCTGACATTCATCATTTGGTGCGTGCTCAATCGCCCCAAATTGCAGGCCGATCTCGAGTCCGAAGTTGCGGGATTGCCGGAAGATATCACGGATGCTGCCTGTGCAGACCTACCAATCATGAATGCGGTGATACATGAAAGTCTCCGTTTGTATGGACCGGCCCCTGGATCGATGCCTCGCAGTCCGCCCCCTGACGGTGCCACCCTGTGTGGGTATTACATCCCTCCCTCGGCCGTGGTCGTCACACAGAACTGGAGTCTGCACGGCAATCCGAAGGTGTGGAAAGATCCTCATACGTAAGTTCTCTTATCTCCGTTTGAATTGTAAATCTCCGACTGACGTGGTAGCAGATTTGACCACACGCGGTGGCTGCCGGGGACGTCGCTATCAGAAGAGGCGAAGATGTCATTCAATCCCTTCGGCCAGGGCGCACGTCAATGTCTAGGCATTCATCTTGGCTGGATGCAGCTGCGTCTCGCTACGGCTTTATTTTTCCGTCGCTGCCCAGGAGCCAAATTGGCTCCTTCTACTACTCCGGAGAGCATGGCTATGATTGATAGTTTCATCGCCGGTATGCCCAAGGCACGGCGCTGTGCCATTCAGTTGTAATGCTGATGTGAGATGGCGGATGGGTAGAGGACACAGCTGGACTTGAAGGGGCTTGGGAAGATTTCGATTTTCAATACGCTAAGCTCGAGTTGAATGCAGGCTAGGCAAATAGAATATGGCTAGAAAAGTTCAATAAAGCTGTGCCAGATAGATTTGATGTGTGCAAAACCCTAGTCCTAGTAATCGATCCAATTCTGCCCATATCCATACGTAATTGTAATCTAGTATAAATTATGAAATGTTTGATTACGTTGACTAGGATAAGACTTTCAAATGTTAACAAAGTAAAATCGGAATCCTCTGGGGGGTGTGAACTGGATATCCTCTAATTCTATGTGCTGCTAGACTGGTTCTCGTACAGTTAGATTTAAGTTGATCTATGGTGAACACATTACTAGTGTGGGTTCTAGAAGGGTATGCAACATATTCCATTTGGAGTCAACCGTATTGATTGTCAATCTGGTTGGTGCTAAGCCACACAATAGATTGAAACAGATCAGGATGCCTTCAAAAACGTAACCATAACATTTGGCCAATGCCTAGTAAAAGCTCCAGATTCGACCTGATCCACGGTCAATACTTTTCACCCGTCATTTCATCGGCAATCTTCTCAGCCAGAGCATACACTGTCCCCATGGGCTGCCCATCGATAGCAAACGGAAAGATAGAAGCATCGACTACGCGCAGACCCTTAACACCGAAAACCCTGGCTTTGGAATCCACCACCGCCTTGGGATCATCTACTTTACCCATAGCGCAGGTGCCAACACCGGCATAATAAGCATCTGATGTCTCGGCGATGTAGTTCAGAATTTCATCATCCGTCTGATACTGCGGCCCGGGTAGAATCTCGGGTCCAGCAACGACCTCACGCATCACGTCTGATGCAACAATCTCGCGACAGCGGCGGAAGGCAGCAACTGCCATCTCCTGGTCTCTCGGATCGGCCAACCACTGTGGGTCCACGATGGGAGGATTGGCTGTATCATTGCTGTTGATCGTGACCGTACCGCGACTGAAGGGAGTCATCAGAGCGGCAGACATGCTGAAATAATTCTTGCCGTCGTATTGTGGAACAAAGGTGTCGTCAAGTGCAATATATGAAAAGGTCGGCCAGTCGTCGGGAAATGCGGCGTCGATATCGGCGGCAGTAGATTCCTTCAGCATGCCTGGCTGGTGTTTCTCGAAAGCAAAGTAATCTTGGCCAGGGTTGGTCAACAGACCCTTACGCTCCTCGTTATATTCGCGAATAGCCCGTGGCAGTGTCTCCTTGTTGCCCATTAACTGACTGTGGCTCTCGACCTTGACTGGAACTGTAGGCCCCAGGATGATGGTGTCCTGCATGTTCTGGCCTACTCCGCTGAGATCGGATCGCACTGGAATGCCCAGCTCCTTCAAATGGGCTTTGGGCCCGATGCCCGACACCATCAGCAGCTGGGGTGAACGCATGACGCCGGCGCTCAGAATGACCTCCTTTTTGGCCCCGATCTGCCACTCGAAACCGTCCGTGCTTACCGTTACTCCTGTGGCTCGATTCTGATCGTCGAAAAGAACCCGTTTAACCAGGGTGCGCGTGAAGATATTGAGGTTATTACTCTCCATCAGCGCCTCGCGCAGATACGAAGACGAAGCGGTCTCGCGGCGACGGGTGTAGGGGTTGATGGTGTGAGTTATGTATGAACGGCCCAACAAGTTGCCGTTGGAGAAGCCCTGGGCCTCAGGAAAGCCCATTTTTGCCAGGGCCTTGTCCACCCAGGACGAGATGGCATTGACCTGGAACGGATAGCCGACGTGTACGGGGCCTCCCGACGCCGTAAAGGCCGTGTTGTCGTTGAGAGCAGTCGCATTCGCAGGACGAGGGTTAGTTTGAGGACCAGAGAAGTGAACGCTCTTTTGGAAATATGGCAGCCATTTATCCCATGTGTAACTATCGTCGCCAACGTGATCTGCCCACATATCGTAGGCGCCTTTCGAGCCTCTAAACCTTCCAGTCAACACTTTACTCCCACTGATGTCAGCCAGGCGCGACGACCGTGACCTACCTGTGGTACAACATGGCCCCTCGTGCAGTGCTTCCCCCCAAGGTCTTTCCTTGCATATAAAACATCTCGCGCTGTGCCAGCCCGGGCTGTGGCGTGGTGTATTGATACCAGTCGAATAGAGGATTTTTGACCTTACCATTGTCGAAGAAGTAGTTGAACAGATACATTGGCACCTCTGTGGCATTTCCAGCATCGGTTTCATAGAATCCACCCGCCTCAATTACGGCAACTGAGGCAGATCCATCCTGTGACAGGCGACGAGCCATGGCCAGGCCCGCCGTTCCACCGCCAACAATCACGTAGTCGAACGACTGTCCCGGCCAGCCATACATACCAAAGTGTGAGCTGAGCAGTCCCTGCGCCTGAATCCGCCCGTCCATTTGACTGGCAAAATTGTCCGATGTGAAGATTGCTCCTAGTGACGGGAGCGAGGAAGCTGCGGATGACAGGATGGTGGGATTGACAGCCATGATACCCACCACGGGGGCCACCGTCATGGCCGCTATCTGGAACCAACTTCGTCCCATTGTAAAAGCTAATGAAAACAATATGTGAAGAACCCTAGCAGCTGTTAATACATCGGAGCGATAGGACTTCTGCCCTGCCCTTTAAATGGTGGTCATCCATACAGCCTCGCATCGTTTGCTAGAATGGTCTGCCTCGCTGTCCGAGAGTCGCTTTCTTGATCCCTGATCGGGCTTTCAGGGTCCCACCGATGTCTGGATACAATCAATAGTTCTTAATGAACAGGTAATTCGATAAATTCCGTGCTTAGCTGAAGGCACTGCCGTGCATTTGAGCGCAGCCTTTCTACACAGCTAGACTCGAATTAACAAAGCGATCTAAACCGCTTGTCATTTAGATAGCGTATTAACATGTCCACTTCGATTAACTAACAACTTTTGACAGTACCTTCTAAAGACATCTACTAGAGATACAACGGCGCGTATCAGAATATCTAGCTCAAGCATAGCCCGTATACATAGCCTCTGTTCCTCATCTAAACACCAGTCGTAATGTCCACGGAATACGTATATCTCAAATCATCTCATTTCTGGCCATGAATCGGGAGATGTCAGTAGCATCGGCATTCTTCCAGGGATGGTCTGTCTCGATTGAGCGAATCAATGCTTCGTGTGCAGGGCTGCGAGGCACCACGTTCAGGCCAAAGGGGCTCGGTTGGCTGATGACCCCCGGCAACCAGTCGGGCTCCGGAGCTGCTGGATCCTTGGGCGAGATCAAGAAGCAGCTGAGCGTGTGGCATGCAAGCAAAAACAGCTTTTCATCGGTTATAAACCGACCAGGGCATATGCGACGCCCAAAGCCAAACACAAATTTCATGGGATCTGTTTCCGGCGGGGAGCCATTTCCCTCCAGGAATCGCTCTGGCTTGAACACCATGGGGTCGTGGTAGACACTGGGATCATGGGTAAAAGCCCTGAACAAGTATAGCGTTAGCTTAAAACTGAAAAAAGAGAATGAATGAAAGGGGCACAACCAGATATTTGGCAGTAGGAGAGCACCCCTGGGCAGCAGATAACCATCCCAGATCTGATCCTCTTGCGTAATATGGGGGGCGCCCAAAGGGGAAGCAGGATGCCATCGAAACGCCTCCTTGACAAGGGCGTCAATAAAGGGTAACTGCGAGCGGTGCTCGAAGGTTGCCAGAGTAGTTGGTCCCACGACGCGGTCGAGCTCCTCACGCGCCTTGCGTTGAACCTCGGGGTACAATGCCATGGCCACGAAGAAGCTAGACACAGCCGACACTGTCTGTATAATGGGTTAACGCACTTCCTATCCGAAAGCATAAGGCAAAGCATGGCTTACCGTGTCCGATCCTCCCATAACGAATTCGGCATTAGTCCATACTAACACCTGTTCTTCCTGTGATCCAGATTCATAGTGACCCTTCTGCAACAAGCGCAAGAGAATGGAAGGACGGCAGCAGTCCCGAGCGACCTGATCTTTTATCCATAAGTAGGGAACCATAGTCATCTTTTCGATGGTCCGCTTGTATTCTGCTGCCTTGACTTGGAACGAGGCTCCGGGGAACCAGGATGGTACGTATCGCACTATTCCAGCATCAGCATCAGCCCCGTCTTGTCATGCAGGCTTTCTCACATATGGGGAAGAAGTTGACACTCCACTCTCCTGGGGAGAAGATGTGGGAAAACTGCCGAACTGACCGTTGGGTCAGATCATACAACTCATCTTTCCCATACGGCGCAATCGTGTACCCATAGGCCACATCCATCATGAACGCGTTCGCTTCCCTATAGTTATATTTCCCTGGCTCAGTATGTCAAACACCACCAGTAACCGTCAGACGTTGCTTACTTCCGGATATTGAACCGAAGGTCGTCCGGGCTGTCTAACGTCCTCAACAAGAACCGTCGAATGCCGATTTCCATCTTGGGATGAAAAGCAGAAACGGCTCGCCTGGTCCCGATTTCCTGTTTCATATTGGCTCGAATTGTCTTCCATGCTTGCTTATTGCGCTCGGTAGCCAAGCTCATGCCCCACCCTGCCCTACTATGTCATCAGTGCCAGTTCCTATCGGATCCTGCAAAGGATTCTCGCCTACATATGCGCAAAGGGGGCATCTGGGATCATCTGACTCAAGGCTGACTTCTTGTGCATAATCTCTATACCCAATTGAGTGTCATTGATCATGATAATGGTCTGCCCCATGACCTCCAAAGAGCTTATGGGCCCTGCTCACTCGCACATATCTCAAGGATTAGAACCGTCTATACGTCAGATCGGTGGGCAGAAAGAGGGTTCCGATACCATATTTCTCTTGGTGCTTAGCCCAAAATAACCATTCCGGAGTTCCCTTTGGCGGAAAGTCGGTCAGGTTCCCAATGATAGGCTTCCTCCACGGTCCTGGGGGAAGGGGAGGATGTGTGTCTTTGGGCGCCAGCAGCTTCTCCAAAAGCCACAAGCCTAGGAAGGCCCCCGCACAGATAATTAGGCCAAGAATCATGGTCGGGTGGAAGGCAAGTGATGGTAGTACTGGATGCTGAGTGAATCGTGCAAAGACTTATCAATCTCGCTTGCGCCGTATCCGGTGCAGAGACTGAAATGAGCATTCGGCTTCCGAAAGTTTTACCTGCTCGGATCTCAGGTATGTAAGTTTGATCGACAAAAGCCAACTTCTTTGAATACTCTAAGTCGAGATGGGGAGGCAGATCATATAAATAACTTCTGAAGAAAGCCGGCTCTGTGGCGCTGGCGTTAAAGCTTGCGGGAATTTCCCCTGACTAGTTAACTCCAAGGATTCCATCTACACAGTAATGAATAGTAAATTAACTGTTCAGAGTATGCAGGCTGTCTAGGAGGTCGTATTACGCCAAGTGCTATAGTAGTTCATATTGTTCTATATTTGACTTCAGCTAGAAGGATAAGCTTCTGCCATAATACTGCTAATCAAGGGACAGCATTACCAGACCATATACAACTGTCGTAGTGTACAAGGAACCTTGAAGTAGGATTCGCCTGGAGCAAAATGTAAACCATTTCTGCGAGGTAGTAATTAATCTGAACCTCCCCCTAGATACCCTCCAGCAAAATGCAGAGTAACAAGAGAGGACCATTTATTAACTCTACATAGAGGAATACATCTACAAGCCTTGTAGCAAAAGACTTAATTTACCTCAAACTCAGCTGGAGAAACAAATAGCAGGATTGGCATCTACAAGAGTGTAACCCTGTATCCCAGGCGCTCCAGAGTCACTAGTACGCTAATGGTTTCAGGCTCGGAATTCATCGACTGCAGGAATCCGTAATCTCTATTTGTCCCTAGTCGGGAGCAATTGGGAACGCTGCCATGATACATATCCGCCAGTGGTATTTTTCACTTTCCGACAGGCTTTCAGACGGATGATAGCCTCAGTCCATCGCTGGCCGAAGTGCCGCGAGTTCCCTTTTCCTTTCGCGGATTTTGTAAACTTGTAAAAGCAAAGAAGCTACGAGTGTGTGGATTAGAATAAATAGGCATAGCCGACACGAACCTCTATCTTCATATACTCCCTTCCCAAATCATTCAATTGAACCCATTAGACGTAGCCCCATCAGCATGGCACTGCCGGACAAAGCCGCCCTCGTGGGCCTTGCAAACGCACTTTCAGAACAGGTAAAGCGTTATCTGGCCATTGCGGATGAAACGGACCTTCCAAATGGCCATAAACACTGCATTGAGGGCGCGAACAATCCCTCCTCCGCCGAACACGCCCAGGCCTGGGAGATCGTGCGCACCTGCGACCGTATTGGCTCCTTGATTCATGGCCCAGTCCCCTGGCTCCTCAGCAACGCGCTGTCCCATCTTGACAGCGCCTGTCTAGCTGCTGCCACCCAGCTCAACCTACAGGATGTCATTGTGGACGGAGCTAGTCCCACATCACTCGACACAATCGTCGCCGCAACCGGTGTCTCCAAGGACCTACTACGTATGAGCTTCCACCTCTATATGTTCTCCACTGAAATGCAGTGCATTAATAGATATTCAGGACGGATACTTCGAGGATGTGCCCAGCGCTTCATCTTCGAGGAGGTTGCCCCTGACCAATACGCCCACACTGATGCCTCAAAGATGTTGAGGGTGAAGGGCATTCATGCCTTAGTGGGATTCTCGTGAGTATTCTCCTCTAACAATGAACTACCGGATGTCCTCACCAGGGAGACCGAGTTTAGTTGTGACGAAGTGATGCGTTCTGGTGCCTGCTTTTCCGACTTTTTGCAGCAGACGAAAGGCAATCCTCCGAGCTGGAATGTGCCTTCGCCTTTCTCATTGGCATTCGATCGTAAGTGATCAACTATATTCTATCAAGCAGCCCAGCTGAAAGGTAAAAAACAGCTGCCAAAGGGTTATTTGACTATTACAGCACGGTGGATGAGGTTCGTGGCCGCCGCTTTGACCTCGGTATGGGTGGCACCGAAGCTACAAAGCCGCTGGTAGAGGAGATGTTTGATTTCAGCAGTCTACCTGAGGGAAGTACCGTTGTCGATGTCGGTGGCGGTCGAGGTCATCTCAGCCGGCGGGTTTCGCAAAAGCATCCCCACCTCAAGTTCATTGTCCAGGACCTGCCTGCCGTCATTCACGGAGTTGAGGACACTGAGAAAGTCACCATGATGGAGCATGACATTCGCCACCCGAACCCAGTGCGTGGCGCCGACGTCTACCTTCTCCGATCTATTCTCCATGACTATCCCGATGCGTGAGTGACAAGGCATCCGAAACGCTTTGGTTTGATTTGATGGCTAATTGTTCCTACAGGGCATGCGTGGAGATTCTCTCTAACATCGTCAGCGCCATGGACCCGACCAAGTCGCGCATCCTGTTGGACGAAATGGTTGTGCCCGATCTTTTGGCGCAGGATTCGCAACGATTCATGAATCAGATCGACATGACCGTTGTTCTGACATTGAACGGTAAGGAAAGGTCGGCCAAGGAGTGGGATTCGCTCATTACGACGGTAGATGGTAAGCTGGAGACGGAGAAGACGTGGTGGCGCAAAGGCGAGGAAGGGTCGCACTGGGGCGTCCAACAATTGCGTCTGCACGGCAGCTTGGCAAACTAGGGGAATTCATTGGAGATATGTTTGGAGCCTGTTAGGAGAATTCTTGAGCTAAGATTCGCGAACATCCCTTGCCCTAATTTGTGATAAATTTCAAGAGAATCAGCACTTTTCTACTCAGCCATACTACTCAGAATAATGCTCTACAGAGCCCTTCGTACCATTGATAAGTATTTATGCCTACCGATACAATGAACATAACATTCTATTTTTATGCTGTGAATCGGCCTGCATCTATTGAGCCTTCACGGAGACACTTCTGCCATATACCCAGTCAAGGGCGCAATTAGACCTGACATGGAAGAGAGGCTAGATGGGCATTTTAAGGGCCATCTGAACAAATATCAACCTCATTAGACCCTAGAAACCGTAGATGGGTTAACTCTTCGCTGAAAGCAAGCTGAGCGCTACACTACCATTGCAGGACTGCGTTTGTCACATCTAGATATATATGTTTCACTGAAAGATATGTTTACGCACCTAGGCCCGATTTTGATAGACAAGTTTGGCATGTAGCTGCACTTCAATCCACTCGTAGTATCATCAAGCTCGGCATATACATTGTCTATTACTATACATTCAAATGGTACAGTGAGGACCATACAAATGTACGCTCTTAATAGCTCAAGCATCACCTACAAAATATAGCTGTAAAGGTTCTATGTCTACGATCAAGCTACTGCATTTCATACGTGAAGTATAACGCGTCGCGACTTGACCTATCCTAGATGTGGGCAGGCGTTCATTATACATATCAAGAAGCGGAAATAAATATATCTCAATATCACCACAAGCTCCTCGAATACCTAACGTTTTTCCACCCACTGAGGGCATATATTCTGTGAATAATTCAATTCATCATGTTTTTGATTATACATAGACTGGTGTATGGCTAGCTAGGTTAGGTTAATAGGGTTAGTTGCCCTTCCTACCTACTAGTAGTTTAACCCGTAGTGGGGTGTAGATAAATTTTGTTTCTTCCGGGGTTAAGCTACAGGTAACATAGTTCTGCCTGAGGCAGCAAAGTAAAACCCATTTAAGCAGGCGGTGGACAAGGGCTATTTCCTGCCGACTGTATTCTCGGAAACCTTACTAGACCGCCTCCTATATAGACTTAGTTCGACGCCTTACTGCCCTATAAGGCACCTCCGGTTAACCACGGTTAACCTACCTAGGTTAATCAGTTTTTTACCTTCACCTAACTTGGGTCGGTTAGGGTTCTGGCTAGGGTACGGCGGTTAGTTAGGTTATGCCATTCGAATTATACACATACACAACTTCTACAATGCTCAGGGATTGCGTACACAATCCCTTTATTAGTAGGATTTCATACTATACCAACTAGAGACCCGAAGTGTATTATTCTTAGCCTAGCAAAAAAAAATTGAAGCTTGTTCTGCAACTCCAGGCTACCGTCACAGTCACCAGTTGGTATTCTTACCCCTCGCGGCGATCATCACGGTGGATTCCGCGACTTTCGCTGAGCGACACATACTTCTCCCGAGGGCATCTAGCTCTGCATGGCCTCCAATGAGTTCGGTAGACAGGCGGGGAGTAGAACAAGAAGCGCGGAAGACAGGTTAAATGCCAGCAAATATCCCTCCCTATCTCAGGGACCGTTGCTTCAGGCATTGACCCCTCGTACATTCTTAATTTGACTGTACAATCTATACAGCCAGTCGTAAGTACCAGGGTTACAAAGATGACGGGCCTTGACATGGAATCCATCTTCGCGAAAATTAAAGAGGAGTATGCCAGAACAGACGATGTGGGCAAACGGCAGATTCAGGGCCATATCCGCGAGCTTCAGGTCGGCTTTTACTCGGACTGGGATGTGGTCATGCGATTGAGCAGTGGAGTAGGTCTCCCATATTTGACACCCTAGCTATGGATGGGAATGGGAAGGTTGATCATCCTGTAGCCCCTACAAGTCGCTCTCGCGAAGGTCGGCATTGATCTGGGCATCTTCCGCGACCTCAAGGAGAGCGAGACGCCGATAACGCTGGCGGAATTTGTCAAGAAAACAGGAGCTTCTCCTAGACTCCTTGGTTGAATCCCTATCTGCCTCGTAAGTGAGTTGCATTCTAACACAGAATAGGTCGCATCCTACGGACGCAGGCTGCGTTTGGCTTGATCAAGGAGACAGGCCCCCAAGAGTATACCTCAAGTGCATTTACAGAGGTGTTCGCGAACGCGGATGCCGCAGGTGCGGTGGCGCAACTGTATGGTCTTATCCCAATTGGCAGTTGACGTAGTCTCTACTAATGCTGAGGTCTCCGTTTAGATTCGACATCTCGGGTCCTTGCACCCAGATATTGCCTGACTTCCTGGCCGAGAGAGATTACCGAGATATCACCTCTAACAAAGACTGTGTCTTTCAAAAGGCCTTCAACAGTGACCTAACAATGTTTGAGTGGATGCCACAACACCCCAAGCACATGGAATCGCTGGGTCATTTAATGGCTCTGGAGCGTCCCGTTTCCTGGGTCGACCACTTCCCTGTTCTCGAGGAGCTGGGAGATTTCCCAGGTCCCGACAAGGTATTAATGGTTGATATCGGTGGAGGCTTTGGCCAGCAATCGAAAGCCCTGCGCGCCAAATTTTCCAATCTTCCTGGTCGCGTTATCGTGCAGGATATCCCTCAAACCCTGGCCAACGCGCAGCCAGCGGCAGGGGTCGAGTTCATGGAGCACAACTTCTTCGAACCACAGCCTATTCAGAATGCCAAGTTCTACTATTTGCGTCATGTCTTCCATGATTGGCCAGATGAACAATGCGTTCAGATCTTGAAGCAGGTCATCCCGGCGATGGGACCGGACTCGCAGATTTTGATTGACGAGATGGTGATCCCCAGTACCGGGGTGCCTTGGCAAGCGGCATTTACAGATCTGCTTATGATGAACTCGCTCGGAGGAGTGGAGCGCACACGCGCCGAATGGGACAATTTGCTAGAGCAGGCGGGTCTGGAAATTATTCAGTCAAAGGCTTACGACAGTAAAGATCAGTCCATCTTGGTTGCGGTGCCTAAAAGGCCCTAAGGACTTCCCTAGACTAGCCAAGTTGGTAAATAAATTCCTACGGCTTTCCTTTCGCATAGTTTACCACTGGTATTGTAAACATTGGACAAGCAGGCGTGGTAGGCTCACTATAAAGCTGCCTTGCCTCCCTCCTCGGTCTGTATCTCCAAGCTATGCACTGTCTTGTAGCAATATGGTCACATACGCCCTACTTGGCGCCACTGGGGCTACTGGCTCCAGCATTCTACGTCACCTGCTTCAGAAATCACCCGATTCTCTTCGCATTCAAATCCTCGTTCGGTCAAAAGCCAAGTTGCTACAAGCGTTCCCAGCTCTCGACACGACAAGAAACCCACAAATCCATATTATACAAGGAACGTCTACAGACTCCGATGCTTTGACTGAGTGCCTGAGGAATGCTAGTATTGCATTCATGTGTGTGGCGCAGAATGGGAGCCCAATTGGCACCACATTGTGCCAGGATACTGGCCGTGCCATCATATCCGCGCTCCAGCGACAACAGCAGGCCCGGGGGCCAAATTACCAGCCATGTACAATCGTTCAACTTCGTTCAGCCTCTTTGAACCCTGTACTGGCGGCCCAGGTACCGGCCTTCGTTCATTGGATAGTCAGCTTCTGCCTCTTTGCGAACTACGCAGATATCAAGCACGCGTGCCAATACTATAGTAAAGCACAGAAGCAAGGGACATTGGAATACATTCTCGTGGACCCTCCTACGCTTCATGATGCGAATGGAACACAGGAAACCGGCTATAGACTAATCTCCACGGAGTCCCAAGCTATTGCCCTTAGCTACGCTGACTTAGGAGCTGCGATGTGTGAGATTGCCTATCGCCACGACGAGTTCCACGGGCGCGCGGTGGGTGTAACCGCCACTGGTCGTGTCCATCAAACCTGGGGAGTCCTACTGCGTCATCTATTGGAAGGCGGATCGTCTCGTTTGATGGAGAAAACAACGAAGGAAACAGTGGTTGTCGGAGTGATGTGTGTTTTTCTGGTGGTATGGGCGTGTCTCAAGTGATCATTGCATGTCAAACTAGGCGAATATCATTTTCGCTGCAATAAAGGCTTCATGTTACGTACACCCATTGTTTTATTTAAAACCATGTTGCTTCGCTCGCCGAGAGCGTGCGAACCCATTATAAAATCCACTGTACTTGCAACTTCTCTGCACGCAAAGGTGAATGGTAAAGGAGAAACTAGAATATCCATATCATGATGATTACTGCACTTCAAGCTACCGCCGTGGTCATGGGCTCATTCATGTCTGGTACTTCTCCTGTCCATATTTCGATTATGTCCAAAGTTTAATCCATCCAGGAGCCATGATGAGCGTCTATGGGCTAGCGATGCCTGCCTTCTTGCAAACCATTACTCAGTCAGGTCCGCTTATTGGCTACCAAAGACGCCTCTATCAAATTGGAACTACGAAAGGCCGAGTGTTAGGCCTCTCTACAACCTTTCTCTACACTTCAGTGTCTGTTCACCAATACTTGAGTGGTGAACCTTGGTGTCTATGTGCTACTGCTGGTCTTACTACCATCGGCTTGGTTCCATTTACGGAGATTGTGATGGCCCCAACTAACAATGCGCTGGCTCGCCTAGAGTCTGAAGCCAACAAGGGGATGGTAGTTTCCTGGGAGGAGACTGAGCAGCTGGTGCGAGTATGGGACCGATTCAATGCAGTGCGAGCACTCTTTCCGTTGGCAGGGGCAATTTTGGGTTCCCTGGGATTGTTTCAGCTAGTCAACTTATAATGTACTATGTGAAAGGGTCGTGGTGGTTCTCATTGTCCTCAAATATAGCTCTTCATGACAAATAGCATAACCGTATGATATTGCCTGGCCTTCGATATGATTACCAGATAACATAATCACATAGATGGAAGTTGTGTATCCAATATACCATGCCCGAGTACCTGCCGTTCGCTGTCCGAGGAACAACTTCAATACTGTACTTCAACCCTTCATGCCTCGAACCAGGATTGAGCAGGGCCCAAACCACAATAGCCATGTATTTTCTCTCGCTATCAGTCTTGGCTCTTGTCATCCTGGTGAGCTACGTGCTCTTCCATCTGGTTTACAACCTCTTTCTCCATCCGCTCCGTGGATATCCTGGTCCACTGCTATGGCGAGCCAGCTCTCTGCCCTGGAAGATCGCATTACTCCGCGGTACGATGCACCATGACCTAATGCGTTATCATCAGAAGTACGGCGATACGGTCCGGATCAAACCCGATGAGATTAGCTACGCAAATGCTGAAGCCTGGCGCGATATCCACGCTCATGTGCCAGGACGACCGGAGTTCCTCAAGGACCCCGTACGCCTCCCCTTGGCACCCAACGGAGTCATGAGTATCCTCGTCTCCGATACGCGGAACCATGCGCGGTTCCGTAGTCTGTTCGGCCATGCATTCAGCGACAAGGGACTTCGCACCCAGGAGTCTACCATTGTGCAATACGCCGACTTGCTGGTTGAGGTCCTGCGTGAGGTGGCCGACACGGGCCGTTCTGCCGAGATGGTGTACTACTTCAATATGGCCATCTTTGACTCCATCGGAGCTCTGTCCTTCGGCGAATCCTTCGACAGTCTGAAGAGCCGGCAGTTGCACCCATGGGTAGACGCTATTCACAAGAATCTCAAGAGTGTGGCCATCTCACACGTTTTGCGCAGTATGGGCATCGAGTTCCTCACCCCCTACGTGCTGCCTAAGGAGCTCCGGGGTAAACGTCAGGAAAATTACAGCTACGCCGTTGAGAAGCTCAACAAGCGGATGAAAATGGAAGGTGACCAGGGGGACTTCTGGGACAAGGTTCTAGTCAAGAGTGCCGACGACAACCAGCGTGGAGATGGCATGAGCGCTGGCGAGATGCTCAATAATGCCGCCGTCATGGTCGTCGCAGGGTCAGAGACCACCGCCTCGGCGCTCAGCGGTTCGATGTACCTGCTGTGCTTATCGGGCAAGATCGAGAAAGCCACCGCCGAGATCAGGAAGAGTTTTGCCTCCCCGGAGGAGATTGACTTGATCTCCGTCTCGCATCTGCCGTACCTTACTGCCGTCATCGACGAGACGCTGCGCATGTATCCAGCTGTGCCCGGTCAACCCCCCCGCGTGGTCCCTGCTGGTGGAGCAACAGTCTGTGGCAAATTTGTTCCCGAAGAGGTATTCCACCCCAAATGGACCGTTGAGATCATGAAATGCTAATGATATCCCCTAGACTAGGGTTGGTGTTAGTCATCTCGGCGCCTACTTTGCCGACTACAACTTTACTCACGCCGACAAGTTCATCCCCGAGCGACATCTTCAGAAAACGGAGGAACCGTTCAAGTACGACAACTATGGCGCCTACCAGCCCTGGTCTGTTGGGATACGTAACTGTATTGGGCGGAATCTGGCCTACGCGGAGGTTCGCCTGACGCTTGCCAAGATCCTGTGGCATTTCGACTTCACTCTAGATGTGGACAAGACTGGCAACTTCCTCGATCAGAAGATCTGGTCTATCTGGGCGAAACGAGAGCTTTACATGACGCTTAAGTCGAGGGATACTTCTTGTTCTTGGCCCAGTACTTCCAGCAGCCCACAGTGAACCGGGGGTAGTTTTCCAGGCCACTCTGGGGCAGACGTCGTACAATGAGATAAATGATTAAGCAAACTGAATGTAAATGACTGAAGTAGAATACACAATGGCTTATTCGCACATATGCACCATGTAGAATGCAGTAGGATGGCTTCTCTCTGGTAACTTAGTAACATGGCGTGTTGAAATTAGAAAGTCTCCTCGATACTCGGCATTCTAGAGAGGGCTGATAGCAAGGGTGCTTTCAGAAGCTCAGTGCACACTGGGCCCTTGCAGCCTCAGCGTCGGAATCGGCCACTGCGAGTGATAAATGCCCGATGCTTCTCGCTCTTCGTCCTACTCGCAGCCCGGATAACAATCGATAGCATCAATTTATGAGCATGGACCCCCTCATGCAACGGCGCTTTCTTCTGCCAATTGCTCAATAAGCTAAGTGACCATCTTACCAAAATGGGCGTCGACGGATGGCTTTCAGACGGCCATTTTCGACTATTGATATTGCTGATTGTTTGTGATCGTCGTTCCTTCAAGGAGATAGGACTGACAAAGGCAGGTGCTAACGCCTCCCTCTCTCGCTGTCTACCGACTCTGGATTCATCCTCTACGATCATACCCAGGCCCTCGATGGTGGGCCATCTGGCGTGGCCCCTACATCCTCAGTAACACCCGAGGCAGCCTTGTCCGCGATCTCCAGCGGCTACACCAACAATTCGGGCCCGTCGTCCGAATCGCGCCCAATGAGCTATCTTTCATAGCCCCCGAGGCGGCCGCTCCGATCTACACAAGCAATCCGGAGTTTCCCAAGGATCCGATGCATCTTCCGCCATTCCATAATGGGACCCCAGGCATCCTGGCCGCCGACCATGCCCACCACCGCCGTTATCGACGGCTGTTAGCCTTTTCATTCTCCGACAAAGGTTTGAGGCAGCAACGCGGTCTTATCGAACGCAGCGTTAACCTGCTAATCACGCGATTCCATGAAAACTGTGGCCAGGGACCTCTGGATCTGACGCTGTGGTTCAACTGGGCCACCTTCGACATTATCGGCGACCTCGCTTTTGGAGACTCGTTCGGCTGCCTTGACAACGTCCAGACACATCCGTGGATTGCATCCATTCAGGGCAATGTCAAGTTGATTCCTATTCTGAATGGTCTGCGTCGCTACCGACTTGATGGTCTTCTGCGGCTTCTGGGATCCCGCAAACTGTTAGAACAGAGACGCCGGAACGCACAGTTCACGACCGACCAAGTCGACCGTCGCCTTCAAAACTCCAGCACCCCGCGAGGAGATATTTGGGATGCTGTGCTGGCCCAGAAGCCTCACGGGGAACCGCCCATGTCGCGGGCAGAAATGATCAGTAATGCGAGTGCCATCGTGCTGGCAGGTAGCGAGACCTCGGCCACCCTGTTAAGTGGGTGCACCTGGCTATTGCTAAAGAACCCGGAGCATCTTCACCAGCTGACCTCTCGCATACGATCCGAGTTCACTCACGCATCGGAGATTGACTCGCAGAGTGTCTCGCGTGTGGAGGGACTGCAAGCAGTCCTGGAGGAATCACTACGTCTGTATCCACCGGTACCAATGCAAAGTAACCGCATCGTGCCGCAGACGGGGACCCATATCGCAGGGGGATGGGTACCCGGGGGTGTAAGTCTTCTTGCGTTCTTTACAAATCCTACCTATAGTTCGGTCACTAATATGAAGCTTTTTACATCTACAACAGACATCGGTCGGTCTACAACAGTTTGTCGCCTGTAGGTCACCCAGCAACTTCCATCGTCCCGACGAATTCCTACCCGAGCGTTGGCAAGGCCAGGGCGAATTTGCCCATGATCACCGCGAGGTATCGCAACCGTTCAGCATCGGACCGCGGAATTGCATTGGGCGACAGCTAGCCTACGTGGAGATGCGGTTAATCCTGGTCAAGCTTCTGTGGCATTTCAATCTACGGTTAGATACTACGCGTATGAAGGATACAGACTGGTTGGCCGAGCAGGGCATTTGGATTCTCTGGGACAAAAAACCGTTGTGGGTTACGCTGGAACCTCGCAACAAGTAGTAGATCAACCTATTGTCTTTAGAAATGCATTCATAGAGTCTCTCATAATTCACGTACACCCTCAATCAATGCACATGGTCCCTCCCCGTGCCGCACCCCAGAGTCTGGCTCGGATCGCGAAAACCATCGATTTCGGACAGCGAAGCGGCCATCTCAAGCCCCCTGGATACACTCAAGTGGCTCAACGCTGCACTTGCATTTCTCTATTTCCACACAAATCTAGACCGGCAACCTCATACTCAATCCAACAGTCCCGAAAGAGCAGTGCCAATCAACGCCACGATGGGCGCATAGCTCCAATGCCCCCATTCCCCGTGTCCCCACGACCAGCAAATCGCGCCGTCTGCAAAGGCAACCGCACTGAACGCCAACAACGTCCATCCGAGTGACTTGGGTGTGCCGAATATCGAGGCCACGTACACCGACAGCCCGATGTAAATGTCCCGGACTCCGTACACGTACATGAGACTGTCCACGAGCTGTCGGTCCGCCGTTGCTGTGGGCGGCGTCCATTCGAAGAAGGAAAGGGCGTGATCGGGGCGTATGAGGGCGTTGACGCCAAAACCGAGGATGATGGTGCCAAAGGCGTTGCCTGCCAGACGCAGGGCTGCATTTTCCGAGAGGGGCATTTTAGGAGGTCAGAGAGTCGGCTCAATCGCAGTCCAATCTAATTCAGGGACGGGCAAGGGAAAATGTGGCGGTTATCCAAACAAAAAGGTGGATAGCTTTGGTTGAGAACTGGAGATAGACAACAATGATATGATAACACAGCAACGTTCCTCCACAGCAGTCAATTAATCTTTTCGCTCTCCGAACAAGAGATCCCTGTCTTCGATAACGTAATCCACAAGCCACAGACCAGATCTCTTGTGGCTTGCTTTGCATGTCCCGCCTTGGCTAGGGTCAAGAATTGTACAGGACTACCGTGAATGTTTACTTGGTTCTCTGACCAGGGCATCATATTCCTAAAATCTGTAGACCCCACCAAAGCATGGGTTGCTCCTACAGCCGGGCAGGGACAGGTAAAGTGCGACACGCATGCTACAGGATGATTGAATGGAAGCTATAGCCAGTTTCAGCATCGGTCCTTGACACGGCATGGAAACCCATCGGCAGGGTGGGCGCCCCCAGCACCTCTCTCCGCCTGGTAGGCACGATGCCCATTTACTTCTTTGGCCGTCGTGGCCGGGTGAATGCTGTCCCACTCATCGTATGCTGGCGTAATATCGAACTGACGGATAGTCATGGCCAGGGCAATCCGAAGCTCCAGCATCGCCAATGTCTGGCCAATGCAGCTCCGTGGCCCAAATTCAAATGCTCTCCAGGCACCTTTAACCGGATATAAGGGATCTTCGGGCCCCACCAGCCATCGCTCCGGAATGAAGCTCTCCACCTGCTGCCAGTGGTCACTGTTATGGTGGAGAGCCACCGTGAGCGTCCAGACGTTGCATCCCACCGTGGGATATCTTTGCCCATCTTCCCCAATGATTTCGGCGTCAGGTCGGCCCTCCCGCATCGACGCTGATGGAGGGAACAACCGCAACGTTTCCTTAATCACGGCAGTTGTGTAGCTAAGCTTGTTCAGCAATTGGACATATTCCTTGATGCGGCCCTGAGCATCCGCTGGATCCCCACCCAGCACATCTTCATGTTCAGCACGGATCCTCGCCAGGACCTCGGGGTGCTGAGCGAGTAGGTAGTAGGTGTATATGAGAGTGCTACTTGTGGTGTTGCGGCCGGCGAAAAGAAAAACACGCAGTTGAGGAGCCACCAGCCGCTTGAATTCCGCCAGTGAACGAGTGCTGCTGCTGTTAGACTGTTCTTTGAGATATTCTCGTAGAGCCAGCGAAATCACAGATTTGGAGGGATGATCTGGTGGAGTGCGGTAGGCACGGTCCACTTCACTGTCAATAATTCGGTCCATAACCTTGTTATTATACCATAGCACCAAAGGCCGAATGGTCAAATAACGCTTGACGGGGTTAAACGTAGTACCAAATGAAGTCCAGTCGATCTGTCGCTGCAGGGCCGTGGCGAGTGGGTGATCCACGATTTGGTGGTGCAATTGAGTGTCCCTGCTCGTCTCGTTAATTGAATCTCCTCGATAATGCAATATGTTCCATAGGAGTCCACATACAGCACGGCCGAGCAAATGGTATCCACCGTTAATCGGGTGGTCAGCGACTCGAGAGGAAAGACCTCAGCCTGTTGCGCTTTTTTGCGCAATTGAGCGCAGAAGGTGGCTACCTCATCGGCGATATTTGGCGCCAGGCCAATAATGTAGGCAGGATTAAATCCTGGATTGAACAGCGCCCGCCATTTCTTCCACGTCTCGCCATGCATGCTCATCATGCTGGGTCCCCCGGTCACTGTCTCCAGGGGCCGACGCAGGATGGCCGGCTTCGTCAGATTCAACTTCTGGATTTGGCTGGCTGCCGAGGGAGCTGAAACGATCATCCAAGTCCCGCTAAAGGGCCACATATTAATGTAGAAGATGCCGGACGGGAATTGCTGGGAGATCTTCAGCATGATGCTATGAAGCGTCGCGTCCGACGGCATCCCTTGGATCGTTTTTTTAAGGGTCCCGAAGTGTCCAGCCAGAAGCTTGAACTCTGGCATAGGCTATACATTGTCAGCTCCAGGGCCTTTCCTAATATTTCCATGATCCAGGTCGAGGAAGACTACCAGATTCCCTTTTTGCAGCTTCCATACTTCCTGGCGAGCCTGGTAGAACGCTGTCAGGAAACGGGTGAAAGCAAGCACGCCCAGAGCTATGAGGAGCGAAAGGTACATGATACGATTTCGCTTCCAGGGTATAGTGAATGCGGTCCATGAGGATTGGGGTACTAGAGGAATAATATCGATTGAGGTTATGTCGCTAGTTCTTCGAGTTCGGGGACCGAGGGCTGCTTTAACCCCCGACTGCATGCCTGCCAACATAAGTATACTCCACATCTTTGCCGTATCCAGTCTTGAAGAATCAATCTAACCCACATTTCCGGTTTTCCTCCTATCGCCTTGCTGAACCTTTCTTCGACATGTCGAACGATGGCTTTACCGTTGTTGTTTTCGTGACTCGCAAGCCAGACCTTTCCCCCGATGCCTTCCAGGATTACTGGGAGAACCACCATGTGCCTTTACTCCGACGACTTGGCGGATCCACATTTCCACGCAGTCATATTCGACACTATCTGAAACGTGATAGCGAAGCCCCCGGTTTCCCCGCTGCTGTAGTGGTCGGGGAGCCATCCGACTGTACCTATGATGGTTTTGCCATTATCAACTTCGAGAGCGAAGCCGCATTTCGAGAATTTCTCCCCGTTATGTCGACTGCCGAGGTGTCAGAGGACGAGCATAAATTCACAGATCCGTCCAAAATGAGAGTCGTAGTGCTTGGTGGCGTGAGGAAGACGACAGATTGAACTGTGAATTGTTTACTCTCACAAATGCCGTATTGCATATATCAAGTTAGGGTGATTGGTCCAATGTAAAAGGTTTTCAGACATTATGCAAAGAGTTTGGCGCTATTATTTTGTAACGGTAGAACTTATTTAAGCTGTTGTTCACCTAGAAAATTTGATGTGATACGTCGTCTAGCTCTCTAGAAAATGAAGGAATACACTCCAGCAACGAGTATCTACTGCTAAAGATTTATCGAAAAGCGCCGCCATCCACCCCAATGATCTTGCCACTTACCCATTCGGCTGCATCAGATGCCAGGAAGCTAACTACCCGGGCGACGTCCACGGGCCTGCCCACGCGGTTCAACGGAGAGAGCCAAGCGGCACACTAGATTAGATTTCGGTAAGTAGAAACTCAGGAAGACGCAGTCTATGGGTAGAAAACTGACCTCGTCTACCTGCCCATCGGTGAAAGTCTCACCATTTGGGATATACTCCCGCGACACAGCCAAAAACATATCAGTCTTAATGGCTCCGGGAGCCACGGCATTCACGGTGATCTTCTTGTCTCCGCAGTCAATGGCCATGCAGCGAACAAAGGTGTCAATAGCCCCCTTGGATCCCGAGTATACAGCATGCTTGGGTACCCCCTTGACGCACGCAGTGTTCGAGCTGGTCAGAATAATTCGACCTCCTTCACGCATATGGCGATAGGCCTCCCGCGCCACGAAGAACTGGCCACGGGTGTTAACCCGGAAGACTCGGTCAAACTCCTAATATTTTGATTAGTATATGAGGTACTTCAGTGCGCTATCTGTGGTTCCTACCTCCGGGGTCACATCTTTAAGGTGGCCGAACGATACAACCCCAGCGTTCGATGACACGATGTCCAGGTAGCCAAAATGGCGCACCGTCTCCGCCATTAACTTCGCTGTCGCCTCAGGATCCCCAACATCAGCTTGAATTGCGATCGCGTCGGTACCATTGGCCTTGATCTGTTCAACCACCTTCTCCGCGGCCTCTCGGGAGTGGGCGTAGTTCACCACAACTTTGGCTCCGCGCTCACCAAGGGCGACGGCGATGGCTGCACCAATGCCGCGGCCAGCACCGGTGACCAAGGCCACCTTGCCATCTAAACGGTGGTTGTCCGACATTCTGAGGATCTTGTCTGGGGTAGAGACTCTGAGGGGGCGAAATGATATGTAGGTCTGGGGAAACAGTGACACACGAGACTGGACGGAGTATATATGTACGAAGAGACGGATAGTTGACCACCCAACAGCTCTTTTCTCGGAGACCGAGAGGTATGAAGACCAGTACCTCATCGGCCGGCGAGTACAAAGCCTCTGTAGCAATACATTTTGTATATGGTAGGCTGACAACATAGGAAACTGAGAATAGGAGCAGGATCTGGCGAATCAGACCAAAGGACAGAATATTGAGACTACAACCGCCGTTGGCGTCGAGTTATGTACCCGGGAGGTTGCTCAACCTCTGTCTCAATTAAGCCGCAATATCTCACCGGTTATTTAGAGAACCTTTCGTTGATTGTAACCTTCCGTGCAGTCTGTAGATGTTTCTCGAATGTTGTCGGAATACGCTCAACGGGGGTGCTTAATCGGAGGAGATATTCTAGCTTGTATTATCTAGAAATGAATTCAACAAGTATTTCTTTTTGCTTGTTTGTTTGTGATCTCAAGTGGTCCTTCTACTGGCTTGTGTCTCTGTTTCACAGCGGGTATATCTACGTCGCGTAATAGGTGCGTTTGACCAAGCAAAGATTCTCCCTATATTACGTTGGAACAAGTGGCTGATTCTTTGCTTAAGGACCAACGAGACAGGGAAAAGTAAACAAAAAGAACACGATTCCTCTCGTCGAAGAGGCATCCTCGTCTGAAATGGTGATCAGCCATACAGCAAAGTAGCCCAGATCCAGCTTGCAACGCTCTCCAACAGAAGTATTCCACCAGGGCCAGCCTCACTTTGAGGCGGATCCAAAGTACTTCGCACCTTGTTGGGGTTCGATCGGCTAATAGAGCACATCTAGTTAAAAGCTATCACACTGTGACGGACACAAGGACACTACTCACTTGTTGCTTGGGCACTGTTTCCAGCCGAGTGTTGCATGACAGCTGCCATATATCCTTGCTCGTCATGTTCACACGGTATCTTTGCGTCGGTGTTTCGAATAAGAAATTCATGGGGAATCCGACATCAAAAGGTTCCGCATCATCGATTTCATGGATTTCCTCCTCGCTCAGTACCAAGCGGAGAGCCTCGATGTTATCTTTGAGATGTTCCACTTTGCGACCCCCAATGACTGGGAACACATAGGGGGCCTTGTGCATGACGTAGGCTTGAGCGATACTGGTAGCCTTGGTGTTCTTCCGTTGCGCCATCTGCTCCAGTTTCTCTCCGAGTCGCCGGTGCTTCTCATCCTGAGGACCCATTTTACGACCCTCACGAGAAAAGTCCTCAGCGCTACGGAACTGACCGCGGCCCAGTACACCCCATGGCGCGATGCCCATGCCCTCGGACTCACACATAGGCAGGATATCCCGCTCGAAGTCGCGGAAAGCGCACGACCAATGGCCTTGGTAGACACTGAACGGCGTCAGTCCGTTGGCTCGAGCAACTGTAGCAATCATTAACTTCAACAATCAACTGGATTTTACAAGAGAAAATGCACGTACATGCATTGCATTTGACCACGAGCCAGGCTGGGGTATCGCTGACCCCTAGATACAGAACCTTGCCATTTGCCACCAGGTGGTTGAGGCTTCGCATCACTTCCTCAACACTTGTGGTAAAGTCCCACATGTGGACGTACAACAGGTCGATATAGTCAGTCTGAAGCTTCTCCAAACTGGCCTTGACTGAGAGACGCAGACTTTTGGCATGGTTACCCTGAAAGTTCGACTTGATCTTCTGCGGGCCGAACATCGTGTAGCTCATAGTGTACTTGGTGGATAATACGATCTCATCACGGTTCTGCCGCCGGGCCATCCATTCACCCACCCATCTTTCGCTATCGCCTCCCTGATAGAAGTTGGCTACGTCGATGAAGTTCCCACCACTCTCATAGAAAGTATCCAGCATGTTGAAGCTGGTCGCCTGGTCACACTCACCCATAACCCCTTTCCAGCCATTGCCAAAGCTCATCGTTCCCAGGCATAAGGGCGACACACGAACACCAGCGCTAGGTGACAGGATTCGATGATACCCTAGCAGGGTGGGAGGCTCTGGGGCAGCAGGTAGAACCATGATTGCTTCTTGTTGTAGTATTTGGTGACTAGAAAGGCCAGAAGGGGTTTGTAGGAAGTGATAAAAGTTCGACCAGCTAGAATCTTTATTCGCAGTTTATAAGGGATGAAGTCAAAATCTCTGGACTGCCTTACAACATGATCGCTTTCCGAAAGCCTGGTAGCCCAACCATTTCGACAGCTCATCCATTGGCAGAGTAGGCAGGCTGAGTGTTACTAGTATTCTTGTTACCGTAGTATCAGATCCATTATTATTTGTTTCTCTCCCACATCAATATGCCTATGTACTGTACGCTACTACGACATCCATCGTACTGCCTTAGCTACTCCCTCCAAAAAAGCCCTCTGATGCTCGCCCAGAGATTGAAAAGGAAACATGAACGAGCAATGCGGATATCCTGGATAAGCATCGTACATAACCGGCACCTTGGCAATGTCCAGTGCCCCCTTCATCAACCTGGCATCATCTCGTAGCGTGTCCAAGCCCAGCTCGGCAATATACACCTTTGGCAGAGCAAGCAATCTCGGATGCAGAAGGCAGGAGGTGTAGACGTCGTCCACTGGCGCGTTGTAACAATTGAAAAACACCTGCATGGCAGCCCGCGAGTTCACTGTCAACTCCGCATTCTCCTCATACGCCGTGTACTGCTCCTTCAAATGGTCGGGTACTGCATCCGGGTGCACGGTGATGGGCGCCAACGCCACCACCCCGCCGACCTTATCCACCATGTCTTGGTCGATCAGTCGCAGCGCCGTGCCAAAGGCCAGATTCCCGCCGGCGGACGTGCCCATCAAGACCAGTGGCTGGTTCCCATAGCGCGATAGAGCCCAGAGAGCAGCCCTCACGCCGTCATTCAGCGCGCCAGGATAGCGAGTCTCAGGAGCCTTGCGGTATTCCACGCTGACCAGGCGCATCTGGCATTGGCGGCTGATAACGCGACAGAAACCATCTTCTTCCTTGACTCCTCCCATCACCCAACCTCCCCCATGAAAGTAGAGGCCCACTGGTCCCTGGCCCGTCGCGTTAGGGGGGGTGTAGCAACGCAGCCACAGTCCATCTAGCTGGACATCCTCGGTCGTCACGCTCTCATCGGGTGGAGGAAATCCGTATCGCGTAGCTAATGTACCAGCCAGCTGTCCCCAGCCGGCCAAAACGCTGTTTAAATCCTTCCCTGGGAGACATGGGGTTTGCCCCAAATCCTCGACGAACTACAGTCACCGTTAGTCCCATTGATATGCCCTCTGCTGTCAACCGAAGCGTTACCTGCTGCCACGGAGCGGCAAAAGGGGTCTCCATCGCGGTATGGTCGTGTATCTACAGCGATATTATCATGGTCCTTGTGAAGCCGCCCTGCATCGGTACACGTATATAACCAACATCAAAGTCGGACAGCGAATTGTCGCTTTCCGAGTTCTATAACACGTCCGTTCCGCCACAATGTCAGTATAGATTGTCCTCCAGAGCACATCGCTTGTAGTAAAATCCCCACATTCGCAGCAGAGAGTACTATACAACATGCCTGTCTACCATATCGGTACGTACGAATAAGTCTCGGAGTAAAAGCGATCTCCACTAACTATCCGTTATCGCCGCCCCAGCCCTGTTCAAGCTCAAATCCGATGCCGATCCCATCAAAGTAGAGCAATGGAAGCAAGAAGCCCATGCGATGGTTGGCCAAGTGCCCGGTGAGTTGTCATCGCCCCAATTTGCCATGAGTTACAAATTTACTCATAGGGCGGTGCTCAGGACTGTTAGACTTGCGGGCGGATTCACCGACGGAGTTCACTGCCCCCTTGGCCAAGGGGTTCGACATGGCAGCTGTCGTACTGCTAGATTATCTAGAGAGTTTAGCTACATTCTTTACACATCCAAGTCACCACAAGTGAGTTTGGAGTTACCAAGTACAGGCCGAGGAGAACTGACGCGGACAGGGTGAATATTCTCTATCAAGAAGTGTGCGATCCTAAAAGTACGATTGCGTATGATATTGAGTTTTAGGAAATAACTATTGTATCCATGAGACATGGTTGTACGGGCGTAACGGCTTCTTCAAGATAGAATACCAACGGTAGACTATACTCAAGCATCAAAACCCGCTTCGCGTCGGCGCTGCATAATTGGCCGTAGTTGATCGCCTCCCCAACCATCCTCGAGGTCATCCTTAAGGTCAAAGATTCCCTCGGGCTGGACAGCGAGTGCCCGACCTACCAAGGCTCATCAGGTTAGAAGCAATAGATATACCATACTGGGGAATGCAATCGGACGTACCGTGGAGCTGCGGATTAGCAGCGCAAGCATTGGCCGCCTCCACGCAGGAGTCGACGCTTGCAAATGTCAACCGCTGTGCCATATCGATTCCTCGAGCAGCCATAGCCTTCTTCATAGGTTCAATTAGTGGTGTATCGATGAACCAAGGAGCGAGAAGGTTACAGCGCACTCCCAGCTCCTGCGTGCGAGCGCGGGTGCTGCGAAACAAACCCCGGACGCCAAACTTGCTGGCGGGATAGGTTGAGGCCTTGGGGGTGTCCATGTACGATCCGATGGAACCCATGAGCAGCAGTGACTTGTCGGGCGACAGATTGGTGCCTTCGTTTGTTGGGGAAAGACGCAGGTAATACAGAGCCAGCCACGAGGTGTAGTAGACGCCGATCAAGTTCACCTGGATGTTGCGAATATCCGGAGCGGATGGATTCACGTCTAGACGAGGCTCACCGGCGGCCAAGACGTGGTCAACCTGGTTTCCGCCTGCGAAAGAGACACCTGCAAAGGCAGCCACAATGTCAAGGGCCTTCGAAGGGGTGAATTCAATTGCTTCTTTGAAGGCCGTTACCTGACTCTCCCACGAGGTCACATCACAACAGACGTAGTGAACATGTCCGCCTACTAGATCCACGAGGATGTTCTGCCCCATCTGTAGAGGTAGGATGTCAGCAATAGTAACGTGCATACCGGCTGCTGCCCATGCTCGCGCCGTGGCTAACCCGATGCCTGAAGCACCACCAGTGATAAGGGCCCCTTTGCCCCGTAGAGTCCCCAAGTCAACAGTCGTATCCAGAACTTCCATTGCGTCGTTTAGGTAGTTGTTGCCTTCAATGTCACACCCTCTCGCACTATGCCCTTATATGTATAAACTGGCGTGATATAGTCCCCCGGGTACCGGGTCTCGGAGTGCGAAAGCGATCACTTGTCACCAGGGGGTGGACGAGGCAACGACGCAATAGTTTTCAGTATTGGATCCTACTACTAGCAGAGCAAGATCAAATCTATGTCCCTGAATTACTTGCTGGCTCCTCTTTAAGCAACTCCTCGATCATTATTTACATGTCAGCATCAAATCTGGTAACAAGCGCGCCAACGAGCTCCAAGTGAGCGAACAACGAAATGACATTGCTCACACCTAGAACTCCACTCGAAGCCCCTTGCAATGCAACGCCGTGGTCACCCTATTATCCAGCCTATGATTAACGCCGGGCTGAATTGATTTTCTGCATTTTGATAATTTCCAGAAGACTCTGGACACAGATGGCCCCGCTGCGACATTGTCAGGATGTTACTAAGCTAGTTCTTAAGCTTGTGGACAATATAGCTGCGGCATGGAAGGCCACTAGGATTTAAAATCGCGTATCATCATTGTCCACACGGTACTGAATCTCAAATGCAATCACGGCGTTGGTGGGAGATCGAACCTCCCGCATCAACACCAGCCCGTCGGAGCGACTCCGCAGCAAATCTCGTATCTCGCCCATGTTGAGGGGCGCACCATTGGTGAGCTGCAGTAAGGAGAGGTCGCTCAGACTGACAGCTGCTCGCGCCGCAGGGTCCATCGACCTTGAGACCGCCGACATCGGCAGAGTCAAAATGAGCCTCGCCTCTGAATTATTCCGCAACACGTCCACATGAGCTCTTAGCATCTGAGCTACTCGCATGGTGATTTCCATCGCTGACGACTGCGGGGATGGGGATGGGATGGAGATAAGATAGACCACCGCATCGAGGACAGGTTGTGTTGCTGTTGATGGACGGGTGCCCCAAGTGATGCGGTCGCGTAGATGCAGAGGTATGCTCGCTAGTTTCAAGGTAGACATGCCATGATTAACGACACATGGTTGATGACCGCCAGACTCGGTCTTCGGTTCTGTCTGCACGAGGAAACGGAGTGATGGAAATTGGGGAGCGAGGGCAACAACCAGTGAGGGTGACTGGGCACCCACCTACATGAGGATGAGGTTAGTCACAAGGGGTATGACACAATCGGGAGTGGGATGCGCACATGGACGACTGTTGCCATTCCCAAGCTTTGCCAGTTCATCTGAGTAAGTGTATCTTCCACGGCAGCATCCATGGCACTTGACACGTAGGAGAGGTAGGCACCCAGCTGTCGCTTCACCTTGGGTCGTTGTTGAAGACATACGGCAAAAGGAGAGTTACTTCCCACGGCGAGGTTCCATGCGGAATCTTCCGGCTGCTCTGAGGCCCCAGATCTGCGCGTCTGGGTCCCCATCGCTGACGCTGACGGAGCCAGAGTGTCCGACATGAAGAAAATGGCGTCCAGCAGGCCTGGTTGGGTCACAAACTGTTTCGACAGCACACTGTGTGCCACATGCCCCGGTGAAGGCTCACAAAGAAAGCCTATTGTAAATAGTGGTCGCACCAGTCGACGTAGCCGACATTCAGGGACTCCTGCAATGTCTGCAACGTCTTCAAAGGGTACGGATTCATCCAGAGGGATACACGCTAGCACCTGGAACTCCCCCAGCCACCGCAAGCATGCCAAAAGCTGATTCTGTACAACCCCATTAGCATCGTTCTGGGCGTATTTCATCATAGAGTGGGGGGAGGGGGGGTAGGGGGAGGGGAAGTATGCACATAGAGAGCCAACTGTCGGACAAAGTCGGCGGGCTGACCGGCGAGGGCGAATACTTGCGAGGCATTGGCAATCAGTGTTCGCTGGACGGGTCGGAGATGGTCAGGGAGCCCAGCTGAATATCCGCCAGAGTGCCCGTCTCTCGCCAGGGTTCTCGCGGCGGTGGCAATCTCCTCGGCACAGATTTCTAGATCAGTCAAGGTCATGGCTGAGGATCGCTCGTGAACATGGCCTAGAGAGGGGGATATTGAGTGAAAAGCCCACCAGCGAATCTCCGTGTGGTGCAAGGAGAGTTCTTGAACTTTCCATGGGGTTTTAAAGTTGTTGAGATTACGGGTGATCTGGGCAGGTTCTGCATTTGGCCCGTGTAGTCCTTCCCCCGTGTCAGGGAGTGCTGATCTGCAAGCCGGGCCCAATTACTGGCTCGTACGTTTATCTTTCGCAAGCCACCGGTAGCAACGGCATGCATATCTCTGTCCCATTCTTAGAATAGCTTCGCTCGGTCATATCTCAACATCGCAGCGAAACGGGCCCAGGGTTCCTGGGAGCTCATGCGGGTGCTGCAGATCTAGCTTGCAGGAGACAAGTCTTTTGTGGGTTGTCATTCCATTATCTTGAGCAGGACGCATGCATGCAGGTGGGCGGGCTGGGCTAACAGTATTGGTTGTTCTTGGTCTAATTCGTCAAAGCGAGTACGCAGTTCTCTGGTCACACGCATCAGCCTCGGTATAAACAAGGAAACGCAAAGCTAGACGATCCCTGGGCTCAGTCAGAACCCCTCAGCTGGTGACGTGAGTGTACATTTAGACCTCAGGGCGAGGCAACGAAAAGGGCGGGCTACTCTCCCAGGGAAAGCCTTCACATTGTGTCTTTTCCTGCGTTCCATTGAAGATCATACTGATTTCCTTCCTCTGGACCTCCACGATGGTAGACCAGATCTCCCCCCGGGCATCGCCCGGACCGATCCGTTCCTCCCAGACTCGCCGCGCCCGAAAGCTCCGGGATAGCTGTACGAGTTGTGCCAGTTCTAAGGTGCGATGTACCAAAGAAAAGCCGGCCTGTGCTCGGTGTATCGAACGTGGTCTTGCCTGTCAATACATGGTCTCCAAGCGGATGGGCCGCAATCCGCGCGCTCCCAGTCCCCTTGAGCCAACTCGGCGGCCATCAGAGAGTCTTCCGTCCGCCGGGTCGGAACAGGGACATTCGGCCCATAATACGTATTCTACTCCTCATGCTCATTCTCATTCTCATCCGCAACCGCATCCACCACCTCCGCCTCAACCAGATCAACCACCACACGCTCTGCCCACCCCCAATGGTAGCGGTAGCGTCTCGGCCATCTTTTCCCATCAGAGCCCCCCTCTACCCTTGGAGGCCCAGGGGCTGGGAGGAGAGTTGTCTGGTCAGGAGCAAGGCACCCTGTCTTCGCTAACGGTCGATTCGGAATTTGGGGACTCTTTGCAGTCCATCGATCACGGAAACCATGCCGATTTCTTGGCGGAGCCGACGGGGAGTCTTTTTGACGCGTTCTTGGAAGTGGGGACTCCCATGATCGACCCGTTCCTCGAGTCCGCCCCAGTACCGCCGTTTGAGACGCGCTATTGCTGCTTTTCGCTCGCACTACAAACGCTGTCCCACCTCTTCCCCCACGCCCCGCTGGGCTGTCAGCTACGGCTGACGGGTGGCGATGATAGCTCGTGCAACCTGACAACGATCGACATGGTCCTCTCGGGGAACAAGAAGGCGACCGATGTGGTCCGGAACATCCTCGGGTGTTCGTGTGCGCAGGATGGCTACTTGCTGAGTATGGTTGTCCTTATCGTCCTCAAGGTGCTGGCATGGTATGCTGCCGCAGCCGGCACTCAGTGCCCCTCGACGGCGGTAGGTGGAAATAACAGCAGTGACAGCAGCGGTAGCAGCCGGAGCAGCAGCAGCAGTAGCAACAGTCCCACCACCGTGTCCGAAGAGCGCGTGCTGCATGTACCTAGTCTGGTGGGCGGGCATTGTGTGGATGAGGAAGACCAGCCGCGAGTCGCGGCACAACTCGTTCTGAGCGAACTGCATCGAGTCCAATCGCTGGTGAATCTATTGGCCAAGCGCCTGCAAGAAGGCGGAGACGACGCAGCAGGGATGCCGGCGCACCATCCAGCGTCTCCTTTCTCCCTCTTCGGGTTCAGTGGGCTCGAGGCGAATCTCCGCCACCGCTTGCGCGCCGTGTCCTCAGACATTATTAATTTCCTGCAGCAAGAATGAAGAAAGGGCCCACCTATCCATTGACCATGGAATGACACCGGCATGATATCCGCCCCCTCGCTCACACTCACCCCCTTGCATTTGGTGCTTGTGCGCTGTTTTCGAGAGCTGAGGGGGGAAAGGAAGCTGTGGCAACTGTCATCTCACCAGGATGTGTCTTTGTCATGGTTACATTGCATACACGACCGGCCGTGAAAGGGCGAGACTGGCCGATCGATCAACACACACGCTCCACGGACGACCAGGGATCGTGCAACTTTTACGAGGTCATCGCCCGAGTAGGTTTGGTTTCTGGATTCAGCCAGCCATCATCTTTGCTCCCCACGAGAGAGCCGGGTGGGGAGTCGTCGATGTTGATATTGGTGTTAGCGTTGGTGATGGTGACGGTGATGGTCGTGTTGTTGCTTGTTTGCCTGCCTCACAGGCCCTAAGCCCTGAAACGGCCAGGATCAGGTGGGTCCGCCCGTTGTCATGATCAGCATTCCGCAAGCCCTTGCAGTGGCTTCGATCGCGTCATTGCTTCTCGTGAAGTTTCCCTCTAGAATACTCCTGATCCAACAATTTGGAATAGTCTATATACTCTAGATGGTCTATTTATTACGTTTTCGTGGTAGTTACAGTCATTGTCATTGTCAATCACCGCGTGAGAAAGAATGATATATTGTTCGCCATGGTAGACGCATCCGAGTTGAGAATTCAAAATACGGAACAGTAGTGCGCAGTATGACATGTAATTCTGACATGAGATAGCTATGCTGGCTTCAATTATGGAGTGGATTCCAACGATCCACTCTATTGTCGTATGAGCAATCTCAGCCCCTAGGATGATCAGATGCACGAGGGTGGTCTCGGACTCCGGTGGTAGACCCAGTCGGAAAGCGAAGAGTCGACGAGCAGAAAGTACGAGACTCGGCTACGCCGGACACTCGAGGATCCGGACTTTCCTAGGATCCACCTGTCCAGGAGAGAGGACGTCCATTCGTCGATCATCGTGAGTGTTGGTATGCTTATCTAGCGTCATGGTTGCCAAGCTTCAGCTGCGATGTACGTGTCCTTGCCGACCCGCTAGGAAAGCCTGCAAGCTATCGAGGAATCCTCATCGACGTCGACGCGGCGATCGTCCAATGGGATCGCGTCATCATGGCCAACAAGGCCAGAACAGAGCCTAAGCAATCCAACGATGACCCTAATGTGGGTCTGATTTTTGGATTCGAGCGACATTCGAGATGGTTTATGTACAATAAATCACTAAACAACATGATAGCTTAAATAAATCGCAGTGGTTTCCATCGGGTAAAGTGTTGGGTTTGAACAGTTGGATAAACAGGTGGTGATCTAGTAAAAAAAAAAAAGCAACACAGGAACCAGAATAAAGACCAATACCAGAGTAAGCCCACGCAGGCAGACGGTCAAGCCATTTGTTGAAGTAGAGAATGAAGTCGGGGACTACCAGTGATGTCGTGCACCAGCTGAACGTAAGACTTGTCGACAGAGAAAGGCTGGCCAACGACATTGGGGATCCAGCGTCCCACCAATTCGCACGGCTTTACATCCGCCACCCGGATGCGCTCAGACAGATATTCACGATAAGGCTCAATCTCCCCTCGTAACAGGGTCGAATGGTAGGGGATGTCGATCCCCGGGAGTGGAATCGTTGCTCGACCCCGTTCCATGCGATCCTCGCGAGACACCCGCTCCACCGTCGGGACGTGTTTCCACACCATGGCCCGTAGCTCTTGGTCCTCAATCGCTTCCGGTCGAGGGTGGCAGGAAAGGTCATCGCATAGCCTACCCAGCGTCCAAAGGGCTCGGAACTGCGGTCGGGCGAGGGGAACATGGTCAGTGAGAAGGAGCGGAAATGAAAGGATGAGGGCAGGGAGGATCAGAAATCACCCACATGGCCTGCACAGACGTATTGCTGCGAGTAAATGTTGTAGTTGACGACTTCCACGAACCAGCCGGTCTCCTGGTGAATGATATGGACAAGGCCTTTCAGACTGGCCTCCTCGAAACCTGCACCCATGTTAGACCGAGCAACAAAGAGAGGAAGATAGATATCACCTTTTCCGATCCGCGATGGATCGGCCGCCAACATACCATAGTCGGTGTGGCCGTTGGCGTCGCGCGGGAGCGCATTCTGCATCTTCAAGCCCCGGTAAAAAATGAGAGAGATGAGATCTTCAAATGAGAGGAAGGAGGCACAGGCGCCAAGGGCTGCATATTCTCCCAACGAATGTCCCGCGAACCGCGCACCCTTCTGAATGACACCTTGGGCTTTGAGCCATTCAAACTGAGCCATTTCCATCAGCGCTAAGGCAGGCTGAGCGAACTGGGTGGACATCAACAGCCCCTGGGAATAGGAGAAGGTGTACGAGGTCGAATTCGCCGCCAACCCCTTCAGGATCGGCGGATGTTGACCATCGGTCGGTGACTGCCCCATCAAACGCAGATAGTTGGCACGGACACGGCGCCCTCGCGGGCCGCCAAAATGAACAGTGAGGGTCAAAGGATTGTGTTGCACTATGTGCAAGATAGAGAAGCCTGAAAAAGTTTAGTACGAGCTACACACGTTGGGATCACAAATTTCCTACCATAGTTCTCCCACAAATGCGTGTCAGCGCGGGTCCACAACGCTTTAGCCTCCGCACAGTTGCTGTACAGTTCCATGCCCATCCCCTGTTGTTGACTGCCCTGGCCGCAGAAGACATATGCCGTCGTCTCCTGCTCGACATGGGCATCTGCCTCCGCTACACGTTCTTCCGTCCTTTCGTTGAATGCTTGCACTTTCAAAACCATATCCCCGTCCTCCATGGCCCTATGCTGCAGCTCGACCCGCAGAGGGTCGTTGGGGTGGATGGGTGCTTGCAATGTGATACGCCAACTCCGGAACCGAGATCGGTCTGCATCTCCCACGGCCCATTCGGCAATTCTGCGCATCATGGCAGAGGTTTCCATACCATGGACAATGGGGCCCGACAGACCGGCGTATCGCGCAAAGGCTGGGCACACATGGATGGGATTATGATCCAGGGAGACACGCGCATAGGATTGGCTGCGTCGAGGGGCTTGTACGGCCACAGTCGAGGTGCCCGTCCACCCAGGATGTTCAAGCTCCAGCAGCTGCGCCCGAGGCGCACCGTGGCGGTGCAGGAAGTCCATCACCACGTTCCCTATACAAGACTCACTTTCGAAGTATACGCGACCAAATGGTGTCGTTGATCCATCAGAGCTGTAAGTGAACACGAAACCGGTTACCTGTAACAGTGCTAGCTGACCGTTCTGCTGGAACAGTTTTTCGCTCTTTAATCTGAAGAGGAGCTGCTTTCCTAGCAGATCTACCGCGCGATCTTCTCTCATGAGCCACTTGCGGCTGTTTAAAATTGCACGACGCACTTCAGAGTCGACATGGACAACCATTTCAGGCTCCTCCGTGAGTTCGAAAGGGGTTTCACATGCCGGAACGGTGCCTCCCACAAAGAAGTCTGATTTGACGGTGACAACATGTTGTCCCTGGCGTTGAATGTCCGCCGACACCGTCAACATAGTTCCCCTGGGCTTCACCGCGACCGCTAGGATACGGGATGAGGTTTTGACGATATCGCCCACCCGCAATGGTTTGACGGATGGAGCATAGTGGAAGCTGATAGCGCTGTGCAGCAGGTCTAGGAAGTCGCATTTCAAAGCGGAGACCATCAGAGGCTTGGTAAGAGCAGACCAGGCGATGACCACGCAGTAGTCGATGGGTACACATCCTTGGGGGTTCCATGACTGCAGCTGAAGGGGACTGGTTTGCCGCAGTACCCTCTCGAAATTGCGAATCTTGTCCGTTGTGATCACCAGTTCTTCTCCCGTAAATTGCGAATTGAGACCCAAAAGAGAGCCCTTGTTCGGGGAGCCCAAGTTCCACAGACTCATGTACAAAGCCTTGATCCTCTCTGCCCGACCAGACGTATCCTCCTCAAGCATCCACTCCTTCGGCTTCTGGTCGACCTTGAAGCAAAAGGCAACGGTGGGCTTGGGGTTGGATGGAACGTTGGGGGCCAAGGTGGTGAACACTCTTTTTCCATCGTCAGAGACGATCTCAAATACAACCTGAGAAGTGGACCCACCATCCCCCGTGGGTGAAATCAGTCGAATCTTGCGAATCTCCGAGTCTTCAGTGTAAAGCACCTCGATAGTGTCGCCACGCTGGGCTTGGAGTGCGGCGCGAATGGGGTTAGGCAGACGAGAACCATCCCTAGAGATCGACTTGCTCATCAAACATGTCCGAGCCCACGACCTCGACAGTCCGACCACGTGCTCAAAAAGAACGTCCATTTCGGGGATGGCTCCCACTTTCTCCAACTTATAGAGCCCTCGAACCCTATTCGTCGTTACGCTGAGCCCAGGAAACGCGCTGAGGGGGCTTTTTTGCGTGATCGAGTGTCCATCGCCGATAGAACTTTGTCTTGAATCAGCTTGTAGAGCACCCACGTAATGATTACAAATCTTGTCTAAGATGTCTTTGACGGACTCATTGTCGGATGTTGAGTACTGAGCGGCCATGGGCCCTTGGATGATGAAGATTCGGTGGGCGTCCTGTCCTATCACGGCTTCTACATCTTCGGATTGCCACAATGTGTCTTTTTTAAACCAGGTCTCGAAACGCTCATCCAACCTGGGGATGAATGGGACCGGCTTGATGTCACGTCTGCTGAACAATTGCATAAGAAGAGAGATATCTTCTGGATACAGCGTGCGGTATGCTTTATCCTTCAGGCTCTCTTCGACCCGGGCGATGATGTCGAGTGGTTGTTCGCCGGGGTTGTCAATAGCGCATTGGAATCGCTCTCGAAGCAGATGAACGAAGTCCAATACTAACACCCGATATGATAGATCTACCCATCGCTTCTGGTGAGAAACGTACGTGAGATCGCACAGACGGCGGAGGACCTCGAGGTAGGTCATGTCCTCCAGCTCCACATTCTGTCCGTGTCCGTCAACAGCAAACCAGGGGCGGGCAAAGTCTTGGTTAAGACGACTAGCGATTTCTTGCCGGTGGTTGCGGAGATATTCCAAGCGCTTAGAAGTGTCTTTGATTGAAAAGACCCGGCTGTCGAGTTCTTTCCACAGCATCACTCCGCGAGTAGCGAGAACATGGATAGGTTGACCAAACTCCGAATTGACCGTCACTACACCGCCGGTAGGCTCGTGGAAAGACTTGTGCCAATCTCCATCTTCCACGCCTTCTGCATCCATAATCAGGCGTTTTGCCTGGGCCGACGTGTGGGCTTCCCGAGCCACCATCATGCGACTGCCCAGCAACACTCCGTCGAAGGGCATGCATGGATAGCCAAAGGCCTGGGCCCATTGGCCCGTGAGGTACGGAAACGTGTCCGGGCCTCCACCGAATCCACTACCTGCAATGAGGAGAATATTCGGACACGATCGGATTTGCGCGTAGGTTACCAGAATAGGTGCATGGAAGTCCTCCCAGGAGTGATGTCCTCCCCCTCTCCCTGCGGTCCATTGTAGCCCGATCAAAAAGTCAGGATAGGTACGCGCGATCTGTATGACTTGGTGAATGGCCTCGATAGATCCAGGCTTGAATGAGATGTGCTTGAGGCCGATGGACTGTACACATTCTTGAACGACCTCAGGAGAAGGGATGCCGGCGCCGATGGTGATTCCTTCCATGGGAACTCCCTGGCGCACCAGATCCTTGATGACAGAGATCTGCCAGGAAAAGGTCGTAGGTTTGGCGTAGAGAATATTGCAGGTGATGCCGCAATCCGCTGGGATGGCAGTTGCCAGACGCCGAATCTCGGTCTCGAACTGACGCTCTGTGTAGTAGCCGCCACCGGCCAGTTCGACATGATATCCAGCTTGAGCAACGGCAGCGACAAAGTCCCAGCGTACCGTAGTAGGTGTCATTCCCGCTACCATCACGGGAGGCTTCCCAAGAAGTGTTGTCATACGGTTGTGCAGTTTAGCAGTACCATCCACATCTGTACGAAGTTGTAAGCCAAACTCAGCCTCCCAGTTCACTGCATCCGCATGGCCTCCAACGGGTTTTGGTCCCGATTGACTAGTCAATTGGATCACTGATACGCCCGTTCCTCGTGTGAGCTCGTTAATCAGACTGCATGTTTGCCCAGGTCCAAAGTCCAACACGTGCGTTGCGTTCAAGCCCCGGCAAACCAGAGGCCAGTTCAACTGGTCCACGGTAATGGCGTGGATAAGAGTCGGGATTAGCTGATCTGTTTGTAGTTCTTGGAGGTTGCTCCCCGTGCCTGTGTGATAGAGGGGAGTTTTCATGGAATGGAGAGGCAA